TTGGCAAAAGTCTTTCAGCTCGAGATTCAAACCGCGAACTTAATACGTGTTGATCTTATCTCCTTCCTGTATCCAATAATGTTTTAATCATATTGCATAACAGAAACAGGCAACATCGGACATTGAACTCGTCAATCAGCTTCTTTTTCTGGTGGTTTTGCTGCCGCAACTATGATAAGTGCGCAAAAAATCCTTTCCGATTCATATAGCTTTCCTATTCAGTCTTTGGACGAAATTAAGATAAATTTATTGTGAATGTATAGACGTGCGATTCAGCCGGAGCATTTGTGTGAGTTAAATTTGAAAATTTTGGTTCCTTTTTTTTTTATAAGCACATTTGTGTATTTATTCAGCCTAGTGGAGTAGAAAAATCATAGCAACGTCATATTTCGTATGAATTTTAACTGTGCTTTAACACCTTCAAATTGAAATAATAGGACGCCTTTGGCAAACGGAGCAAGAATTAGAGGTACGACTCCGAAAGCCGACAGAAAGAAAACGATATAACGCCTGATAAAAATAAATTGAAAAAAAAAAGCCCGAATTTTTTTTAAATGCATATACTTGTCAGATATTATCAGATTTCAACATCTTATTTTGTATTCGGAAAAGAATAATAATAGTTAGAAAGCTGAAGGTTTTCAATCATTGTTTCCTCCTGTATGATGACTTTGATCAAGCACGTACATTAGCGGAATCAACGAAGAATATACAATCATCGTAATGACATATTTGGCTTGCCAAGTGATATTTTATTTATCTGACATGAGATCGGGAAAACCACAATTTGCTTTCCTATGCCCTCTTGTACAAGTGTTAAATTTTAATTAGCCTTGTGTAAATGACAAATCACCAGCTTGTGACAGTACATATTGCAACCATAAGCTGAGTTTATTTTGCTTTATTCTTGTGGGTGAAGGTGTCTGCCAGGTTTTGCCATATTTCTAACAAACCGCGCGGGTAAAAGCAGTGAGTAGACCTTCCGGTTATACTTTTTCTCCAAGAATATCGCTTTCTAGTTTTTTTCCGAATATGTATGTTTAAGAAATAGTAACATGATAAGCGATTCTGATGTAGAAAATATGTTCTTTGTGGCGTATATGTTTCAGTTACGTTGTCGCGGTAATTTTACCAAGTTAAAATGCGCTTTAACCTATACTTTTCTTGCATCCTTTTGAAAATTTTGTTTTGTCTTAATAGCCCTAAGTAAATCACTGTTTCACGCATTCGTGATTATTTTGGTTATTCTATTGGCCTATGAATTTTAAACACATTTCTTGTGAGATATCCTGTTGTCTGACGAGCAAATATTGACAAATATGCCTCGCTATATAGTGGCTGCTGTCGGGCGGCCTCATAATACTGTTAGCATGACAAATTACGACTTATCATTTAGGAGGAAACGGAATTATTATCAAGCGTTTCTTTTAAGATGATTTTGCAAATGAATCATATAATGATTGGAAATGTTATTACCACGAAAACTGTTAATCCAAAGTTCATCTGCATGGTCTTGCTGATGTCGTATTTCACTTAAAAGTTCGTGCATTTTTCTGTGGCAACCAGATTAAGAAAAAAATACTTAATGCTTTTCGTTTATCAGTCTAACCACATCAAAAAAACCACGATGTGAAGACATATTTTTTACTTTCGGCGTAAGTTTGATGACAGGAACCTTAAAGTGAGCCATCTTTAGACGTAAATTCAATATCCTGGTTTTTAAAAATTTTAGTCTTTTACGAAGGAAGAACCTATTACTATAATCCTAAAAATGACTGAGGCGCACTCATGATAGTCTTCATATTCATATTTATCTACACAATTCTTTGTTTCCTTGTGAACGCGCTTTGATATTGACATTGTTGCATGGAAGGGTAAATTTATAATGCTGCATGAACCTGTTTTGCTGACTCCACTAAAAGCCAGTTTTGACTTGAAGAAAAGTAAGAGCCTGAAATCTCTACTGATTTGTGTAAAAATATTTTTTGGACTGATTAACGTAACAGTCAGGACATTTATCACAGACCAGGTTTGACGTTTCCTCGCAGTCCGTATTATTAGCTAATTTGGTGTGATGATTTGATACGACGATTCGACTCACGAAAAAAAGGACCATGACTTGGTGGGACGGATGGCATGTGAAAATAAAAACCTCCGTGTGGAGCAATTCTTCTTTCTCCCTTTTTTAAATCTGCGTTTTTTAAACCTCTAGAATATTTGAGATCTTGTTTTTAGGTTTTTTTAAGATAAGGCGAGGAACCAACCTTCCTCGTTGGTCCACATCACATGACCCTTAATTAGGCTCCAAGGTATCCCAATTATACTTATGTTGAAGAAAACTATTGAGATGTCTACTCTTGGGAAGACAAATTAATGTTCCCAATCATTTAGTGGGGTTTGTATGTTCCAGGGTATGACACGCCGATTATTAGGTTTTACCGCTCACTATGAAATGACTGTAACTGTGACTGTAAAAGGATGATTTTTTTATTCGTTTTCATTTCAAGTTTCTGTGGTGTTCAGTTGGCTTTTACCTTAAGAAAATTTGTAATTTGTTCGAATGAAGTCTCACTTCTAACAAAGATCGCCTCCCTATTTCAATGGTCCACTGACTGAAGTTTGGTGAAAGGAAAGGAGTTGTTGTATGTAAACCAAAAATATCAAATTTTAATGAACACTAGTTTATAATCGAGTATACTTTAGAGCGCCACAGGAGACATATAGCAAAGTAGTGAGTGTAAATTCATGCACTCAGAACGGCACTTTGTGAAACTAAATGATGAATGTCATTATCTGCTCCACTGCTTCTCTGTTTATTGCTTAACATTAGGATTGTTAGAGACTAAGACCCAATTTAGCAAATATTTAGCCACGTAGCGAGTGCATTTGCTTCGTAGCTTCTTAAAATAACTTGGGACAAAAATAAGACTACAGTCAAGAAGAATTTGAAACAAAAAAAAAAAAAGAAAGAAGAAGACAATCACTGAAGGCGGAACTTATTTTAGGCGGGAAAGAATAGAGCGGTCCTATTTTGTTTGGGAATTAGTGTTGAATGTCACCATTGAACTGATCGGTTGTCGTGAGCCGGTCCCGACAAAAATTTGTGTTCCCGCAGCAGCAAATGTCACTATAGGTCCGATGCTGATTCACTTGTAAATATCACCGAGCTTATGTTTGTCCCTCAGCTCAGGCTTGCTTTGCACGTGTAAGCTTAATTTTCATGAAAAGAAAATACCTCAGGACTAACTGAAATGCCTGCTCAATGCATGGCTTAGTTAGTTTTGCTTGTTCTGGTGTTTCTTTCTCAGGCGAAACATAGAAACATTGTTTTGGTGACCTTATTTTACATTTAGGTGGGCGGTTTAAAAGTTGTCACACGTACCCGTACAAATATATTATTTAGCCACGAAAAATTAAATATCTAGATATAGAGTATGGTGCCGACCGCCCCTGGCGACCAAAAATACTATCAGCGTTTATATTTGGCGCTTAAAGTTTTTTGAGGGAATCGAGCACAAATTCCTGAGCCGTGGTATTGCAAATAGGTACCTTTTTAGACTTTTTAACCAACGCTTAAAACTAGTATTCAATATTGTGTTTATCATATGACCCACACCGCCTGGGTCACGTAATCCTATAAAATACTGAAAGCTGACGCACGCAGGGCCGAACAAGTTGACGTGAGCCGATCCGGGAAAAGCCGTCCGAAAACTCACACACACGGATCTCTGTCGGTTGTGATCTCCTAGAACGTGAATTTGAATTGTGGACTTAAACTTGCAATGTAACAGAAATGAGAAGATAAGGCGCGTTTTTCAGTAAATTGTGATTTTCTTGTTCTGACTCGAAAAAAATAAAGGAAAAAGTTTTTATTGTAGAATCTCCAATGCGCTCCGTTTTTTTTAAGTGGGCAGTCGCGGTCTATTTGGTTTCAAACATAATATCATACAGTTTAAAGACTTAGTGGTCACACGATAAAATACTTATTGACAGAGTTTGATTGGACCACACAGGAAAATATGGACCGAATGAGGAAAGGTATGTGCGTCATGACCCTGCACATAATATTCAACCGTATGGCCCTTCTACTCATTCAATAACTACATATTGAGGCTGAGATAACAATGGGAATCGGCTGTTTAAAATCTCGCCTACAATAAACCGCAAAATTTGTCTTAACGTGTGGGACTAAATCAGTTTGTGGTGGCATGAGAGATGATTTAAGAAGAAATTGCTTTTAAAACAATCTTCTCAAAGAGGACAGCAGTTTTTTGAAACTCGATTAGTTAGTAAATACATAAGTAACGTGACTTTGAATTAGTAGTTTGTCCTTGAATATCGATAAACAGGGAAAATAGCAGGTCGATGTTCCGTAAAAATGGTCGAGAAGTTACAGTTTCCACAGTCAGTTCGGAGGAGTATTAAACAAACACCTTGATTTGTTCGAGAGTAGCTATTATCGCTGCTCTCACCTCTTTTACAGTGTTTTAAGGTCCGGGAATGCCAAATTATGTTCATGACTTTACCCATCAGTTTACTGAATATTTTATTGGGGGTGGTGCGATAGGTTTAAAATCGCGTGTGAACTGTGAACTGACCTGACGAGGACAATCTCTTCTTTAAGCCTATTAAAATCAGTTGAAAAGTCACTGGGCTGATCGCGTTAGATACAAATGAACACCAAATAACGCGAGAGTCACATTCTCTGGTCATTTTTGTTCACGAAAACATCGTAAAGTAATGGCATGTTTACGAGAAAGGGCATTAATAATTAAACACGCGTAGGAAGAAATCCCTTCAGATTTTATCTGTTTTCTGTTTGCAAAAAGAACCACGGAATCACGAGAGGCTTTTCCAGTTATAAACTCTCTGAGTATCCTGAAAATCATATCATTCACACTTTTATCTGAAGTGGCTTTAATAACACTACACAATAACTGCTGTATATTTTCCAGGTTCGTGTCGTTTTGTTGTGGACGATACCTGTAAAAAGAGACAACATGGATGCCAATTCCAGCGACGGCAGTATTATTGTTAACATCGCAAAGCGGAAACTTGGCGGAGTGGGTTTTGTGACGAGTAAGCGAAGCGAAAGTCCTTACCTCGTTGTGTCGCACGTCGTCAAGGGAGGAGTAGCTCACGAGACGGGTTTGATACAAACTGGGGACGTAATTCTTGAAGTGGATGGGAAGTCTGTGGAGAGCATGCCATACCATAAGGCGTTAGAGATTATCGACAAAGTTCCCACCGGCGAGGTGATGGCGATGAAACTACGCGCCAAGGACGGGTTTCAAGCGTACCTAGAAACGGCCTTCGACGACAAAGGTGCTGTAAAGACGGTGCGAAAAAACAGGCCACGAACGCCAAGTACTCCAAAAGCTAACAAGGACTTGAACGGAGAGCTAAATGGTGAATCACATATGGATCAAGCACAAACCACCCAAGTAGGGCCAGTTTCTACAAGTGAAGAGGCAGGAAAAAAGCATCATGTTGAGAACGAAGATCCTGAAGCGCCACCGTCTCAAACTATGGCCAACGGACATCCAGAAAACGAAAGTGAAATACTCAGTGAGTCACTCCAATCCAAAGGTTGCCCGGTCACCAACTTTTTGTCAAAACCACAAAATCCAAAATATGTCAGGTTACAGAATCTCCTCGATGGCAAGTACACGACGGACACTCTACATCAAAAGGCCATGATTGTAAGTTGCAACTTTTGTCCCTTAAGCGTGTCTAATGGTAGTTATCCTGATTGCGTATTGGTAAGCAAACAGTTTCAAAAGAGCTTAATGATTATCCACTTAGCCATCGCCACCCACTTCTAACTCAAAATTTATGACCTGTCCTTGAATTGTTGTAAACATTTTCAGTACGCTGTTTTGATAAAAATTTTTGATAAAAAAAGTGGTGGACGGTAAAATTAGCAAACAGGAGCTCCTCTCAGAAAATATATCTTCGTGAATTCCGAGAAATTCTCTTCCCCGTCCAACCAACAACATCATTTATTGATCAATATTGCTAGCAAATATTTTTCCGGCTTTTCCAAATCAATAGCAAAAATAACGAATTCAGTAGTGTTGAGTGAACACTATTGTCACTAAATATTTTCAACAGAATTCTCAAGGCACGGGTTCGAATCCCGTCGAAGCCTGAATTTTTTCAGGCTTCTTATTTGCAATTCTTTAAATTTTAATCCACCTGTGAGGCTTCACTTGATTTTCATCCACAGGTCGAATGAAATTTATTTCATCGAAAATTATTATTTTCAAGTTACGTGGATGATCCGTCGCGCTCTAAAAATGATTCATTCAACTATTTTGCTTTTTCTTCTTCCATTTATTTAACCCTTTCGCTAGAAGTACGAGGGCTTTGATACTTTAAAGTTACTGTGTATGAGGTTGTAAATGAATAGAGCCTGAAATTTGTAAAAACTGTTTGTGGACCGACCGTTATAAACAACAGCATCTTTGTTTTTCCAGCCTCTAAACTGCACTGCAGGTCGTTGCTTGGGGTCTTTGATGCAGCCATACGGGGGAGAAGCTGCTCCTAAGAGGCTTTATGGTGTACCGCGGCAACCAGAGGAGGTGATAGTTCACGCTAAGGATTTCCTTCAGCAGTATTACGGAGCCATGAAACTGTGAGTTTTCGAAAAAAGCTCGAGTATACAATGGTACACTGGCGGAAACGCAAAAAAATTGAGATTTAAATCACTCTTCTAAAATGAAATACCAATACCTAAGCCCCAGTTTTAATGAGCATTGTTGAAAGAGAAATAAGATGAAAATAACACGATACAATATTAAGGAAATGATATTAAGTGAAGAAAATCAGTAATCTTTTCTTTGTGTCGTTGTGTCGCAAGTGTAAATCAGAACTCATATGAAGTACTCAAATAGTGACAGACGTCTTTACTAGTGCAGTATTGGCATTTGAAGACTTGGTACTGACTCTTCTGGTATGAAAAAGCGTTTAAGAGAACTAAAGTTTTGTTGGGTTGAATGTGACTGTAAAGTAGTGGTGAAGGATATAGAATTATTAACAGTAAAATTGTCTGCAGAGCTACAAGCTAGGGTTAATAAAGAAAATGCGCTAACTTTGTGTTAACTTGATCATGGTTTGAACAGCCCTTCCTTGAAAGGTTTCTGATAAAACAAGCTATCAGGAAATTGTCCATCAGTCTTAGCGAAATTTCAAATATTGTAAATGAGTACCCGATTCCTTAATCGAGATAAGTTCCATTGGCTGATTTGTCGTTCCTTTTCTTCAGTGAGAATAGTTCGGCCCACAAGCTGCGTTTAGGGGAAGTAATGAAGGAGATTGAAAAGACTGGGACCTATGAACTCACAGAAAAGGAGCTCATCTTTGGATGTAGAATGGCTTGGAGAAATGCCCCTCGATGTATAGGACGAATTCAGTGGAACAAACTTCAAGTGAGTCACTCTGTCTCTACAAGCAGTGTTAAGAGGAAAGCAAATTAATGACGAGCTTGAAAATCAAGGCTAAATCGTTAAGAAATTCTACAGCGTCACCTTGCTCCTTTAATCCTTTAACTTCCAGAAGTGATTAATGTGTAACTTCTCCCTGTAATATCCATGCATTATCCAGTTCCAATTTTACTTTGAAACTATCAGTGTTTAAGTGCTGGAAAATTTGAATTGATTCTTGCGAAAATTCAGACGTCCCGTCTTTCTTACTTATTATGGGAACAGTGCATTCCCCCATACCTCTGACGTAAATTTCTGTCCCATTTCAAGCTTTTTCATCACTGAGCTACTGAGGCCATTGATTCGTACTTATGTCATTTCTTTTTCACAAGATTTCGTTTCATTTGTTTTAGGTATTCGACGCTCGACATGTGAACACACCCTCCGAAATGTTCGAGGCGATTTGTAAGCACATAAAGTACGGAACGAACAAGGGAAATATCAGGTGATTGTGAAATATTTACGTTGTGATTATGTACTATTTTTAGTTCTGCAAGTGTTGTCAATATTATAATTTTCGGTAAAAAAATTGAGGAATATATAGCTACATAACCTGTCACTCGCTTATTCACCTATATCCAGAGCGTACACATCCGCACGCATAAGCTTGCCACCAGACTCTCATATTATTATTAATTAAAGAGAGCAAGTTATTTTGCGCCCTACCCGCAGAGCAGGGGAACTGACTTGCTTGCCAGTTCGAGTCAACAAGCAGTGATCTGCGGTTTCTCTTTTCTCTTAGACAGAAATTAATGAATCTACAGATGTTGACCTTTATCCAGCCTTCATTGTGATGAACTATTTCTAATTTTGCCGCAGCTCGTTCCTGCAACGAAAAGCGTGGCAGTAAGCGTGCTGTAATCCAGGCCCCGGTTGTTCGAAGGTTGGATAACGCCACTGGATAAATCTCTATCCGTTAGATAGCGCAGCACGTTTTGTCGACACTTATCCGTTTGATAGCGATTTATCCACTGGATAGCGTCATCCCCCCTTTGAACAACAGGCCTGGATCGAGAAATCTAGGCCAGTTTCGAGTCCTTGCTGAGTCATTGTATTGTCTTTATTTTGGTTGTGCTTCTCTCCACCTAGGAATATAGATAGGTACCTGTAAAACTATTAAGGAAATTTGAAATATTTATTTTGGAAAAACCAATCGGTAACATTAACAAACAATTTTAAATTTTCTTTTTTTTCCTTGTATCTCTTGATCTAAGGTCCACGATAACTGTATTTCCTCAAAGGAAGACTGCTTTTAAAGACTTCCGCGTGTGGAATACACAGCTGATTCGTTATGCTGGATATAAAAAACCGGATGGTTCGTGCATCGGAGATCCTTCAAACATTGAGTTCACTGAGGTAAAAAAGGATTTGAATCAGCCTTGCATTTATTTCCCGCCTCCGAATGCGTCTGGCTCCGAAAACTTGAGTCAGTTCCAGAAAATGCAGAACTAGTTTGGGTTTTGCTCTTTCGAGCAAAGTTGAGTCTTGCGTTTTCTGTGCTTGTCGGTTTACGTTGGCGGTTATAGCTACTTGTGTTTTGTTTTTAAGATAATATATTTTTTTAATAGATTTGTCAGTCTCTTGGTTGGGAAGGAAAGGGAGGTCCTTTTGATGTTTTGCCTTTGATTCTTCAAGCCAACGGTGGAGAACCCGAAATGTTCGAGATTCCGCCTGAAATCGTACTTGAAGTAGAAATAAAGCACCCAAAGTAAGTCTTGAGACATGTTCGGGTATAATGGCAGATATTTCTCATAAATGCTATTTCTCTATATTACAAGGGAGGCAGGAAGATTTTCTATCTCGAAGGAATAAACTTCCAATGTCACGATAAATTGCCAAGGAATCTTACATTTCTTACTGCTTAGGTAATAAACGATGTATTTTTTCTTGATACTGGTAAATGACACGACATTTTTTTAACAATCAAGGAGACTTGTCAAGGAATATTAGATAAAATTTGTCAGTATACACGACAAGGCACTTGCGGCGGAAAACTCTGAAGGTTTTAAGGGAAATTCTTTTCCTACATGATTTACTCGACGTATGTTTTTCTTCAAAGTTATTTGGCGAGCCATTTTTTTTCTGGTTAAGAATACTTGCCCAAGGAAACTTGCCAAAATAGATACGGCGTTCCAAAGCAAACTACAGTTCTGTCTTCATTTTTTAGTGTCTTCATTCGTTGTCGTCCTCAGTAGTCCAAAAACTTAAAATAAATTTTGTTTTCTGTCTGACCCTCCACCAGACGTGATCAATTTGAAACTTCTCCCAACAATATGATTGTCTGTGTTTAGGTATCCGTGGTTTGAAGAGCTGGGATTGAAATGGTATGCATTGCCCGCAGTCTCTTGTCTTTGCCTTGATGTCGGAGGAGTAGAAATACCTGCATGTCCCTTTAATGGCTGGTAAGCATCGCAAAATACTAGAACGGTAATTCTAAAGAAAACCAAAAAAAAGGAACGAAAAAGAAACTGGAGCTTAAATTTGTAATAAAAAAAAAAGAAACGGTTTTACGTTGACCGGAATGTAAATATTGCTGTACAGTTGTCCTAAAAAGCGTTTGTTTGTCTGGTCGCTGTCTGTATCTATTCGTAGGTATATGGTTACAGAAATTGGAGCGAGGGATTTCGGTGATACAAACCGATACAATATGCTTGAGGTAGGTTACCAACGATTTTTTATAATTATTCATAATTATAAGGACACACCAAAGATTTCATACATATAGCACCTGTGATACAAATTGAATTTTCCTACCAAAAGTTCTATTTCTATTCTGTTCTTAACAAACATTAAAGAGTTTTTCCAATCGTGATTTTGTCTTTTCTTGCTCTCTTCCAAAGCCCGTAGCGCAGCGTATGGGTCTGGACACCAAGAGTAATGCTTCTCTCTGGAAGGATCTCGCTATGGTGGAAATCAATGTGGCAGTAATGCACAGCTTTCAGGTTTGTCTGGACGATAGCTCTTTCCACTTTAGCCGGTTACCACTCAAGTAGCGATAAGTGTTACTATTAGAAAATCATACGAATTTGAATACATTTTGATTTGAGGAATGTCCGTGTCTGCAGTATTTCAGAGGATCTAAAATTACACAGCGTAACAGATGCGTGAGTTGTTCGTAGTATAAATGTTCTCGTCAGATGAAGTTAAACGAGAATTTTTTTACCATAATTTCGTCATTTCTTTTCTAGGAAGCAGGAGTTACAATGACTGATCACCACAGCGCTTCCGAATCTTTCCTAAAGCACCTTGAGAATGAGGTTCGTGGTCAGTTTGTTTGTAAACTTAAAGCTTAATAAATATTTATTACACCTAGGTTCCCCATAGTTAGGAACACTTGGGGGCTAAGAAAACGACTCAAGATATCGAGGGCCAGAGTTATCCTGGGTAAATTTACACCTTAACGATTTCAAACTGGGGGAGGGGGGGATCTTGCACTGGCCTCATACTAGTTGAAAGAATTCCTAGTCTTTATTCATTACTATAAATTACAAATTCTCCCAGACAGAGAGGGGGTAACATTTATCACAGGATCATCCCACCCCCCGTTAGCTTTAGGGCTCTGTCACAAGTTAAAGTTTGAGAGTCAATTGTAACAAAATAATGTAGATGTCTTTGACTTGACTTTAAGATAATACTAGGGACCTTTAACAAACCACGACGGCGACGGAAACGAGGACGTGGCAAAACAAAAGATCTAATGAGCAGAACAATAGCTCAATACGTGTCTTTTAAAACTGTGTACATTTCTTAGCCATCCTCTGCAAAATAGCAACGTGAAACCTTCAAAATTTGCGTGGTCCGAGAAAAGCCCGGACGGCAAATTATTTGTTTCCATTTGGAACTCAACGCCGCTCTCATACGTGATGCTGAGGTTAACTTGCGGCGTCATAAGAGATGGTAAACACATCCAGTCATTCGCAAAATTCTAACTGAACATGTATATTCATTTTCAAATCGACGTCTTCCTTTGCGTTGCCGTCCTAACTGCTAAAGGTCCCTTCTATCGGACCAAAATAGCATCTTGAATTCGTAGATAACATAACATTTTACTTAAACTGACACAGGTTAAACTCCGCGGAGGCTGCCCAGGAGACTGGGTGTGGATTGTACCTCCCATATCAGGCAGTGCTACGCAAGTGTTTCATCAGGTTTGTTCATTCGAGAGTAACTGTTTGGCCAGTCAGGAGAGCTTAGAAGTGATATCTTTACTTTAGGATGCAAAGTGATCCAGACTGTTGGCCAAAACATGAGTTGGGTCTTATAACCTGAAATTGAATCCCTCTCCCCCCCCTTCCCAAAAAACTGCAACCTCGATAAGAATTTAGTACAGTTTTCTTGTACGCAATGCCTTCAGAGGCTTTGAAGATTTGCATCCCGAATTTCATTCCACGGTATCCCATAAGTAATACTGACGCTAATTGACGTTCTCTTCGTCCACAGGAAATGTTAAACTACACTTTAAAACCAAGCTACGAATACCAGGTAAATCTCATTACGAAATTCCTTTTGCGCACTTCGATACTATCGATGTAAAGTGTACAGTTTGGATTGAAACAGGTTGATCAGTCTGGCGTCTGCACAGTCAGAAGTTTTAAAAGTTTGAGTGTATTTTCTCTGACTTTTCTTAATTTTTAAATGTTTCCCCTTCCCATGATGATTTCAGAGAAACTCTTATGAGATAGATAAAGAAGCGTCTCAACATTGATCATAATTACTGTTGTATAATTCTAGGACGATCCTTGGAAACATTATTCGATAAAGAAAGACACGTCTAGCGATTCTCCACGGAAGAAAGCTTCCTTTAAGGAAGTAGCGAAGTAAGTTAAATGTATTCGTCGGCGAAGGCGAGTAAAACGTACACTGTTCTTTTCTTGAAATAAGAGCTAAAGAAATGTTTAAGGGTCCTTTCTTGCGGAAGGTCATTGCTGCTCTCAGTTAATGTCTGTGAAAAAGTCCTTATGAAGCTTCTTTTGTGTGGTTAATGAACATGTACTGTGAAACAGCGTGTGATGTTGAAGTCGTACTTCATGTCACAAAGGGCACAATAAAGAGAGTCCTTTGCTAAAAAAAGGAGAGAAGGAGGAAGAGGAAGTAGGTAAAGCTGTTACTTGAGCCTCTGTTCCACTGAGAACAATCTAAGCGAAGAGCACTGATTCTCTAGAAAAAGGTGATTTCTTTTGTCAGACTCAGACTAATTACATGGCGGTAACAGTACTCATCGCTGTAATTGCATTTTCGCAAGAGATCTATTATTATGCCTCTTCATCTTTCAACTTCGAGAACCGTTGGTGTTGTTCCGGATCAATTAATCAGCATTCTTTTTTGACTTGGGCTGGTCAAGATCTATTCCAGATAATTTATGCAGTTCAGTGTCATCCTTCGGTGGAAAGGAAGGTTGAAAAGCTTGAAATTGCCCAGACAGTTATGTTTTTAGCAATCAAATCTATGCTTACTTCCTTTGTAGGGCTGTTAAATTTTCCGCTAAATTATTTAGCAAAGCTTTGGCTAAAAGACAGAAGGCTGTTATCCTCTATGCCACAGAAACAGGAAAATCAGAGCGTTATGCCAAGATGCTTGGAGAACTCTTCTCTCATGCGTTTGATCCGAAGGTTAGGAATGTTTGATTATGAGATTATGTTACAGTGGTCCATGTATTAACCCCTTGACTCTTCAGATCAGTGACCAGCGTATTATTTCTCCTTACATTATCACCCCTTGAATCAATCATTAAGGTCATGAGAATATAGGAAATTATCACCGACTAAATAAGCTCTTTATTGTTAATCAAATTCTCCCTGTCAGCTCCTCAGGAAAAGTGTTGAGAATATTCATACTGATGTTAGGGAATAAAGGTTAAGGGAAACCGACGAAGAATTTGAGACTTGAGTCTCTTTCAAGGCCTTCATGTTGTTTTGCTTGACTAGGTAGAGGTTTAATGGTATTTGTGAATTGAATTTGAATTGTCGTGACGAAGGAGCGCTTTTTGAGAAATAGTTCTTATTACCGTTTTACTGTATGTATTTTACAGGTTGTTTGTATGCAGGACTATGCAAATCCTGAGATGGAAAACGAACAGCTTGTCCTTATTGTAACTAGCACGTTTGGAAACGGAGACCCTCCTGAGAACGGAGAGGTGAGCCGAAATTTATGTGCTACTCTTTAACACTTTGCAAACATTGTAGACATAGGGGTGCTGATGAATCCCAGTCCTATAGGCAGTAACGAAAAGAATAGTGTCCATAAGTATTCCCTCCCCCCCCCCCCCATTGCCATCTTGAACGAGATGAGATCTAAGTGAGGCCTATTCATCCTACTTTACCACTTACAGGGACACCATGACCCTCACAACCGACTCTTAAAATTTCGGTCTATATTTAGGCGGCATACAAACCTTTATACCACTGTATCACCCATTAGCCATTGCCAAATGAAACGGATTTTTGCTGTAATTTGCATCCATGATTTTCTCCTCAGGAATTCGCTCGTTACTTGTACGAACTCCGCCACCCACCAGATGGGTAAGTCAAATCTTATTAGGTTGGAAGCCCATTCAATTTTTTGTTTAATCCCTACTCAACAATTGTATTTCGTCCCTAGAAAACTTTCACGCCAAGCTTCTCTTTTCAATCCTTTATAATATCATCATAAACATTATTATTGCTGTTATTTCGCTTATAATCTGATCGTTAAATAGGGGATGCAGATTTTATTTCCTCGCTATTTCTTGTGTTTTAGAAGTCGATCGTCGCGCAACATGATGAAACAACTCGGCAGCCTGTTGGTTCAAAAAGAGAAGGAAAAACGTATCGATGTAATGAACAATAGTCAACCACTTGCTAACCTCAGGTAAGCAAACAAAAAAATATCCCAAAAAATGAGACACAACGAGAAATTCCTACGTAAGTGGTTGTTCTAAAATCGCATATTAGACACATCGCGTTTGGAGGATACAGTTCCTGATTAAAGAGACCAGTCTAAACGAAATGTGTAGAATTCGAACAGCTATAACCAAGTTAAGATACGGAAAACATTTAGTGACGAGGGTACAAATGAACTTGTATAAAAGGAACTCCAAAATTCGAGTTTTTATTCCACATAAACTTAGACCCTACATGTTTAATTAAAAATTGAAATTATAACTGACGACGCGTCTGTTTGTTTAATATACTATGTGACAGTAGAACGGAGTCGCTTATTTACGATGTGTCGCTTGCAAGGGTTAATACATATGTTTTAAACTTTAAAGATACTCTGTGTTTGGCCTGGGCTCCAGGGCCTACCCAAACTTCTGTGCATTTGCTCGCTCGCTTGACAAGATCATTCGGGAACTTGGAGGAGAGCCCGTGTTGAAGATGGGAGAAGGGGATGAGTTATGTGGTCAAGAGGAGTCTTTCAAAATGTGGGCCAAAGACGTATTTAAGGTAAAGAACAACATGTTCGGAGAAGCTTACTAACATTATAGGTTTGCAAGCCCGTTTAACCGTTAACTGTTAGACTCACCCTGAAAGCTGCCTTATTCTCTTCAGAACGAGTGAAAATATATGGGAACTGATCGAAGTAATAAATACTAGAGGACTGAAATACGGACATTTTTGAGATATGAACGGTAGCTGGAAGTTGAGTGTTGTTCCTTACAGCTGTCTGAGGCTTTCCGATTGAATGCCGATAGTCAAAACGAACCAAAAGCAGTTGCAATCATTTCCCAATCAATTTATCTTCCCCTATGTCAAATTCCAAGACCTATTGAATTTATTTGTTTTTGAATCCTCAGGCCGCCTGTGACTCATTCTGTATCAGTGACGAAATAACAAACGAGGCCAGTCAGTCTCTAGACACAGTACCGAGCGGCTGGGTACCAGGCCGCTTTCGGCTTGCTACAATTATGATCACCGCCGTGCATGCTTTTACTGAAGCAACTGATGGACCGGACGGACACAGTGAAATTGTCCGAGGTTAGAAATGTGTTCAGAGACCATTTTGAATTTATTAATTAGCTAGTTTAACCTCTCACCGTTAAGCCGGGCGAAGTAAACTTCAGAAACAATGTAATTTGTCACCGCCATTAGACAATTGTGACACTGAACTCGTTTTAAAAAATAAATGAAAATTACGAGGTTCTTGAAAGTGACACTTCTCCCTTAATTAACAGGTATTTGAAATGGCGCGGATTCTTATTTAGCTATATAACCAAAATGGCACAAATACTTGCTAGGGACACGAGACTGCAATTGCTTACAGAGTAGATCAAATTACAAGTCTATTATATTTCATATTTGAATATTCTGTCATCTTTCTTGCCATCCAATTATTTATTTGATTCCTTCTTCTCTGTAAAGGTTTGACTCATATTTGTGGTAAGACAGTGCGATCTGCGACGTTGTTATCAGTGAAGAACTTGCAGTCTCCTGAATCCAGGTCAGTGAATGAGTAAAGATGTCTTTTCTTTATTGACGCTCTACCTTTTTGACTTGCAAGAACCGTCTTTTTGCGTCGTGAAAAGTCAAACAATATGAGTAGTAAAACCTGAACCCTTACAATGATGGAGCTGTAAGGCCTTCCAAATTAAAAATGTAAGCTTTCATTTGGTTCTTGTAATGACTCCGGTTGCGTATCAATGACCCTCGAATTAAAAAGCGCTCTGAGGGGGTAGTTGTTGTGGAAAAATGGTCGTGAATAGGCCTAAAATGAGGACGGTTACCAAGCGTCATTCAGCTACAGTTACCGGCTTCGAAGACGGCTGTTACGAACACATATCACTAGTCAAATCAAGGGAATATCACCAATGAGTTTAGCTTAAAAGAATGCTGACTAAGGGGCCTGTTCCCACACCGAACACGATTGTTCAACATGCTTTTCGGCTGACATTTCGCAAGCGAAGAATGGTGAGCTTCCTATTATTGTTTATTTCACGCACTTGAGATATACTCACTCATTGTCTTTCCACAAGACCACACTTGTGCTTTTCCTATCGTATGAAAATCCCATCATTGTAGTTTCCATCGTATTTTAATAACAGAAATATATCATATTACGGTATAATCGTGCCTCGTGTTACAGCTGACTCTTTCGTCAAAAGTCAGCTTTTGGTTTGCTAAGGGAATTACTGTACAGCAACGAAACTCGAGAGCACTAAGCAAGGGGAACCTTCGTCACACTTAGTGCGAGGGAATAAAGTGTTATGGCAACAGAAACGATCACAGCTACCCATTCTTGACTTTGATTTCGTCATGGAAAACAAATTGGCCACCGTAAAGAGTTTAAAGGCTGACGTTTCGGGCGTTAACCCTTCGTCAGAGCGATTGAGAGGTTTCTCAGTTTCCCTACGTCATCACCCGCTAATTCGTTACCAGTCCACGGGACACTTTGTAAATAAAATAAGAGCACTTTATGGCCCGAAAAAACGACTTTTAAGTTTTTTTAAATATATCTTCTATCGTTATCGGTTTTTACATATGATAAGCTAAATATTTACGCCAAAAAAAGGTTTCATGACATATGCTCTTAGAAAATGTTTAACTGTGTCAAATTTGTCAAAACTTAGCAACAGGTAACGATTCCGTGACTTCAATTTGACCACCTAGCGCTTCACATTTACGTTTCACATTTGCACTTCACATTTACGTCGTTTCTGTGTCAAACTTGCTAAAATAAGCAACAGGTAACGATTCCGTGATTTCAATTTGATCACCCAGGGCTTCACATTTACGTCGTTTCTGTTGACTCCACGTATACCAACCACTTATGACCTCATTCAATTGAATATAAATTGAATGCATTTAACTTAAAACACTCAACGTTTCCAACTCGTACCAATTGTCTAGTTGCCTCCTAAAAATTCAAAGAACATGAGCCGAAAAACCCAAACTCAAACGATGATGGAGTTATGTGAGGCTTTCCGAAATAGGAATCATTGCTGTTCTCCAGGAGATACCGGTCTGAAGCAGCCCGAAGGGGTTACAACACAGACTTCGTTCCGCAAAATTCAAGAAACATCGGACATTTTCTGTTACCGTGACACTTCGCTCCTCACGAATGAAGAGACACCAACGATTTCTTGTACTACGCTGTCGACGAAGTGCGAAGAAGCGCCAGTAACAGCGAATTCCTCGTCTCAGAGTGTAACGGGGGAACAGAACCAGGCCTATTGTTGTGCATCCAAAGCTCCCAAGAAGAATACACTTTGTTTGCCTGCAATCAACGAACGGCGAATAAGAGAGCTTAGTTGTAGTTTGGTTCAAGATCAGTTTCGTGTCAGAGAGAAACAGGTTGAGGTCCATTGCTGCAAAATAACACAGAGTTTAGTCAGACATCCTGAAGGTCAACAAAAAGAGAGGCGGAGAGGAGTAGCGGTGGCCAAACCGGTGTTAACGTCACGTAAGAATGATATTGTCAAAAGTTCAAGAAAAAGATCACCAGCAGTCCAAACTGAAGGAGAGATTCTCAGGCCGAGCTTAGTTCGTCGAACGCGAGTGACAGTTATGGTGCCCAAGCGTCAAGGGGACGAGCCGGCCATGGAACGATCAACAAAAATTTCACACAGGAAGAACACGATTGGTGGATGCCATGAACCTCGGTCAGTTTCTGAAAAACCTGGAAAAATAAAGAACAAGCAGAGAGTTAAGCGAAATCAGATCACTAAACATCAGCAGAAGGGGACTGGTGACCAAATGCAACCCATAGATAGAAGAGTTGCGCCTGTGGTTCAAGTGGTGCATCTGCGCAGAGTTGCGCGTCAGAATGTGACTGGTGATGTGCAGGTCACCGATAGAAGGGATGGACTCTGCGCCCAAACAAGCCCTGACCAACAACAGCTGATGTTTATGCGTGTTCTGCGGAAACGATTCTAAAATGTCATAAGGGATTAAAAAAAACAAACAAACAAAGGGAAAAAAAAGCAACAACAACAACAACAACAACAACACTGCCAACGAAAATGTTTGCGTTATCAACTGCAGAACTGCCTTTTTCTTTATTTTCAGCAATACCAAAAACTCATGCCATACCCTCATGAATTCAAACTTTCGATCATTTTCCCGCCCGTCAGACTTTTTATTTGTTAAAACTGGTGTTTGCCGTCGTTCTGATTGGCTGTTGTGGTTATTAGGTATTTTATTTACGACATTCGATCTATATGCACTTTAAAGAGGTAGTTTTCGGCCCAAAATGGTCGTGAACAGGCTTGTAATAGAGGGTGTCATTGGGATCTATGCTTTGTTCAGTTTCAGCATTCTGATGAAGAATTTCACGTCGAATATCTTCATAATAAGTGCATGTTGCTCGATTTCTTTAGTTTAATTATCTAGGGCGAGTACTCCTCGATCATGTATCATAAGATGTGAGGGGTGTATAAACGATAAGCTCTGTAAATCGTATTTGTACAAGAATAAAGTTGATTCTACCAGAGTTCGAAGCTCTCGATAAGTGGCTCCCAATGAGTAAGGGTGGGCTGAAAACAACAACAACAACAACAAAGAAAAAAAAAAAGAAAGAAGCTTGCGAATCATGATCTCCCTCGTAAGCATGACTGTCTGAAAGCAACTAGCTAATCTCTTGGAAAAGGACATGGACAGTCATGACATTTGAAAAAATGCTTAAAAGTGCAATATCATAGAATTCCTTGAAACCTACTGAAAGTATTTCAGTGTTGTTCCTTTTAAAGTTAACCCGTTAACTCCCACGCTCTCATTAGTAGTTCTTCTTACTGATTGCCAAGCGATTCTCATTATGTTAGTCTGGAAAAATTGGTATCGGATCAATTAGTAATATCATAATTGATATTTTTCTCTATTCTCATCACTTGTCTGCATGATATCGTATAAATATAGTCGGGAGAAATTCTGTCTTGGTCAGTCACGGGAGTTAAAGGGTTAAAATATTATAAAGGTGCCTAAAGATTGCCGTTGTCAGTTTTCTTCGAGAGCGACAAACACAGGAAGAAGGCATTTCTTGAATAAAGGCTGAAAATCAGACAAATTATAACTTAAACGCTATTTTTTTCTTTAAGTCGCTCGACCATCTCAGTCCGGCTCAAAACAGAGAACAGCACAGAACTGCAGTACAAACCAGGTGATCATGTGGCCATCTTTCCCGCTAATCGCCCAGAGCTGGTGCAAGCTTTGATTGACAGGCTATCAGATGACGTCGATCCCGATAAACCAATCGTTGTCGAGGCCTCACGAGAAGTCAAAGGTGAACTTTAGTTCAGTTAAAAAAAAAATTGTGAGATATTTTCAGTGACCAGTCAGCACGTCGTCTATACTTAACCGAAAATCTTCCAACAGCATTTCGTCCAGTTTCCTTGACAGCACGCCGGCCCCCATTCATGCTCCGGGCTGGAAAAGGCTCTGAAGGAATTTAGTATCCTGCTTAGAACACACTATCAATTACCAAAGAGGGGTGGGATCAAACGTCAGGTGAGAGAAGGTAACAATTTTACTGCGATTCTTTACTTAGGTATTCTAAAAACAGCCAAGAAATGGGAAACTTACAACCGTCTTCCGTCACAAATCACACTGCGTCAAGCTCTCTCACGTTACCTGGACGTCACAAGTGTTCCTTCACCGCAGATCCTGAAAGCTTTGTCTGCTACGGTAAAGTCTCAACGGTTGAACCAATTATTGTGATTTACAATTCCGCTACAGTTCATTTTAAGTCTAACAGATTCCTCTCTCTAATGCTAATACCAGTGCTTTTTACTGTAGTTCCAGTTTATTTTATTTCGAGCCCTGAATATCACGAACTTTCCTGTACGTCGGCGGGGTATCTGGGTTGGGACGAGTAACAGTGTATCACTGTCAATTTCGTTTGGTTATCTGTAAGATCCCATTCGTTATCGCATCCTGTACCCCAGGATGCGATAACGAAAGCCTACTTTCGTAGTTTTCGTTTATCGGCAACATCTCATTTCCACTTATTCGTTTGTCTATATTTTCGACCTACTGAACTAAGACATTACCATTTTAAAATCCATTTAAAAATTTCCACACTTCTTTTTAGGCTACTGACCCGGCAGAAAAGGAAAAACTTGAAATTCTTAGCCAGGTGAGGTGTTCCGTCTGTTCCTCGTTATATATGTAAAAGCCCTTCTAAGTTCTGAACTTGAGTCTTCCTTCATAAATGCTTTTAATTTAACTCTTTCGTTTTCTTTTGTCTATTTCTTTTTCTCTCAGGGTAATAACCGATACGAGGACTGGAAGTTTGGAAGTGAATGTAACATTCTTGATGTGCTGCAAGAGCATCCTTCCTTACAAGTTCCAGCTGACTTATTACTCACCCAGCTGCCTTTGTTGCAGCCGGTAAGTCACACTGCTTGATAGACCTGAAAGAAGTTACAATCACCTAATTGTTTACGGTGAAACCCGCTAAAACAATCCCGTTTGATGACGTTGATAAGTAAAGGTCCCCCTAGGGTAGGAGCACTTTGGTGAATTTATTGAAGGAAATAAACATGCGCATCATATAAACTGGGTGTGGGCAGTACTTCCGAAAAAAAAAAAAAAAAAGGTTGGAGTCTACAGTAGCATCCTAATGGCATTGAGAAGCCTGCATAAATTAACACTTTTTCTTGACGAAGAGAGGGGCGAACGGTGGAAGGGGGGTCACATGCTCCTTTGGGCTCCCATCCCTTTCTTTAGCCTTGGTAGATCGACAGAAGCTGAAGCTGTCTTTGTGAGAGTCAAACGAGCCTTCTTCGTTATCAGCCATAAGTCATGGTCACTGTTTAAGCCCTAAATCCAAAAGGGCGACTAGCGTCGAATCTATCTTTACAGTATCACGGCTGAATCAAACATTAAGGTCATGAGAGTAAAGGAAATGATCACCAACTGAAGGCGCTTTTAATTGTTAAGCAAGTTCTCATTGTTGGGGACCATAGAAATTGTGACGAGAACGGTTTGGAGAAAATTCATCCTGATGTTAAGGAGTGAAGTGTTATGTTAGAGTTTTAAAACCCGTCTCAAATTAATGGGACTGAGATAGAATGTAAAGTTTGTTTTTGCTCAAAGTGAAACTCCTTAACGCGTTACCAGCCCACTCTAAGAGCAAAGATCTCAAAAAGAATTTGTGAAAGTCCCGTGTGTGTACCTTACTCAAAGTTATGACAAAGCTGATTAGAGACTTTCTGAATCTCCTTTCATAAATTACTACGATCTTTATTAAAATTATTTCTTTGTTATCAACAGCGTTTCTACTCCATCTCATCATCGCCAGACTTTTTCCCAGGTGAAGTTCACCTCACAGTGGCAGTGGTACAATATAACAAGAGAGGTAAGGTAGTTGATTCTGCAGTAAGAAGAAACACGAGTAAGTAAGAAATATGAGGAACTGTGTTTAATTGGAAATTCTCCCTTGACAATAGAGGTCAACAAATTTTATAACATAGCTAGTAAATTTGTATCATCAAATTCAATTGCGCGAGCGTGCTTCATATTCCTATTGTGCACGCTCATGACGTCAGCAAACAAGTCCCTCGAGAAAAAAAAAATTTCCATCGGGTTCAAGAAGCTAGAGTTGCTCTCGGCTACGCTTTCGTGCTCTCCAAACTTCCCGCGTGCTTCATATCTCGATGAACACACGCTGACGTATGAACCAATTGTTAGAGAGTAGTGCTTTTTGCGTGCGCTTCAGAAGTGATTAGCAATAATACAACAAGATGGTGATGAAAGTAGACTGAAAGTTATCAGCGTGATGGTGTTCTCTCAATATGACACCAACTATTTGACAATATAATGTATAGCAGGTAAAATGGAGAAATTTAATTCGATTTATATCTTATGAAGTTAAGGATTAATTGTGGTATTCTTCGGAGTTGTGTACAACCTGATATATTTGACGAGTTTTTTTCATGGATTGTCTTTGTAACTCTATGTACTCTGCTGCGTTACGTCTCAGGTGGAAAAGGTCCCGTACATCATGGCGTCTGTTCCACATGGTTAAATAGTTTGCAACCTGGAGACAAAGTGGCTTGTTACGTGCGGCAGTAAGTCCATTTCTCAACTTCTTTTGCGTTTTGAAACTCAGTTAGTATAAAAACGTTGGTATGTACTGAGTATGAGTGGAGAAGAATGATTTTAAAACTCAGAAATTCACCTCAGGGCAGTACACACCTTTAAAGTCACAAGATACCATGTCCAATGTGCATCATTTAAGTGTTTATATGTTCACCATTTCTCCGCCTTTTTTTCCTCTTAAATTCCGAAAAAAGGAAACTCTCTGTTTATCTTAGATTAGCAAACATATGAGAGGCAAGATCCCCTTTGACCAGGCTACCTATTTCCTTTGTTATAGAGCCCAGACCTTTCATTTGCCCGAAGATGGCACGGTCCCAGTGATAATGGTGGGGCCTGGGACTGGTATAGCTCCTTTCAGAAGCTTTTGGCAACAGCGCCAATTTGACATTGTGAACACAAGTGCTCCTAAGCCAAGGACGTTGGACCTTACACCAGACTCAAGCCCTTTAATACAGCGTCGAAACTTTGCTTTCACCCGTGGGGACTCCCCTGAAACAACTCCTCCTACGCCACATCGTTCCTTTGGGGGTAGCTCTTCTTTGCAGCGCCAACTCTTCTCAGAAAAAGAACAGGACGAGAATGCTTCACAACCTTCGTCGGGAAAGTGGGGCGAAATGTTGTTGTTTTTCGGATGTAGAAACTCTACTCAAGATTATATATACAAGGATGAAATGGCGAAAGCGAAAAACGATGGCGCCTTGACTGAAATATGGACAGCTCTCTCACGTGAACCAGGACAGCCAAAAGTAAGGAAAATTTTTATTAACGTAACTTATCCTTTAACTCTTCAATAACTGCGAACATAACAAAGTACCTTCATGTTAGCCTTGCTGTCTTTCCAATTTTACTAGAGGAGAAAATGATAGAACAGCTACTGTTTCTTTCCTCTCAGTGGTACATACACTTGCCATTTTACTGTTGATAAAAAACGTAAAGTTCGCGAGCTTAAGTACTTTTATATCCACACGTGCACCCAGTGAACGCTTTTCATATTCCCAACGTAACTGAATATGAACTATTTTATCTTATTTAGCGAATCTCATCTCGTATATATTTCAGAAATATGTTCAGGATATGTTGAAAATGGAGGCGTTTGACATTTGTGACAAGTTGCTGAGTCAGCGGGGACACTTCTACGTGTGCGGCGATGTGTCAATGGCAGAGGATGTTTGCAGAACATTGCAGGTGATACCTCTTTGTTTAAGTATAGTGAAATTTTCTTACACTGCGCGCGTAGTCGAAGCGCCAGCAAATATGACCGTCCCCACCAGTACTGAAGGCAGATTTTTCTTGATGAAAATTTCAGGACCCAGCGAAAGCGTGGTTTACCAATGAAGCAGTTGGTTTGCTTATTTTATACTCCATTATTGTAATAAACGATCGATGTACTATGACGACGGTTAGATTCTATGACGTGGTGAATGTAAATTTGCGCTCCATTCTCCCGCTGTTATTCGCTGCTAATCTAACTTTTGTCTGAGGAAGGAAGGCCCAGTAACTTCAATAGTTTTCTGGACACAACTAAAGAATATCCGAAGTTATCAAGGGAGGATTTAAGCTTCTAAAAATAGATATATGACATGGGTGAGATAATCAGATAACTTGTTTTTGCGTTGTGTTTTAACTTCCTCAGACCCTCCTACAAGAGTACGCTGCCATGTCTCAGCAAGAGGCTCAGGACACAGTAAACAAAATGAAGGTAACTTGGACGTGTCATATTATTTGGGTGCTCATAGTGACTGAGGGATAACTTGCAATTTAGGAAAGTTCGCGCCTGAAAAATAATCCAGGACTGAGATTCGTACCCCAAGAATTTGGTATTGATTTTCTTTCAGTTTTGAGTGTTACGTGCATCCTCATTTGATTCAGCCTTGAGATTATTGTGGACGACATTTGTCGAACAGGAAAACGTGGTATTACCTTTTACATCCCTTGCACTGGTTTCAAACGTTTACCAAAACAAAAAGAAAGCCTTCACCATTACATCAAGGAATTCGGTCGTTTTCATAATTTAGTATGACCAGTAGTCTATATTTCAGCCGATGTTTGGTCTTGTCACGAAAAAGTTTGCTCCTCTAGAGTGATTTGCGCGTAAGACCAAACAACGGCAACAAAAGAGATAAGTTATTCACTAAACATCCGTTTGTTATATTCAAACACTCAGACGTAAAAGATTATTGTATATCTTTTTCAGAGTTCCGGCCGATATCATGAGGATATTTTTGGAGTAACTTTGAAAACGCGAGAAGTGACTGACCGCGTCCGAACCGCAGCTAAAAGGTTTGTTAGTAAATTATCGTTAAGCAAGTACGGTGGTTATGAAACCCAAAGGATTTAAATTATCTTAGGTCCTCGTCAGTTGTTTGGATCTCCCCGAGAACAATTTACAATAGCGTTTCTACTGACTTATTCGGTCGCTATGCAGAGTGAACAACGTGAATACAATTGATTGCAGCGCCGGTATTGCTATCGTTGAATGAACCATCCTCTACTAACATTTTCTCACTGTTTGATAATCAAACAAACATCCCTTTTAACTTGAGATTCGTACCACTTTTGTCCTCCTTTGACAGATCGTGGATGTATCTAAAGACTTCTAGTAAAATGAGGGTGAGTAATCAATTGCAAAGAACTTTAACATCTAATTTCTCCTTACAATATCACACCTGAATCAAACATTAGGGTCATGAGAATAAACTAAATGATCACCAACTAAAGAAGCTCTTGATTGTCAGACAAATTCTGAAGATCTTCGGCGCTTTGAGGAGTGTATTATGTATGACTTCTGAACTGTCTTTTACATTAGATAAGTGAGCACAAATTGAAGCCACGCGCCCCTACTATTACCTTGCTCATGGACAGAGATGGAGCAGAAGGCACTGCAGTGTGAGTACATCAGTCGGTAAAACCGCAGACCATACACGTACGTACACTCATCCTTCCTGGTACATTATATACTTTGTTGTTTGTGTGTTGTAACCTCACGAACAAGAGGTTCTCTTCAGAATGGAAGTAACCATTGCAAGCACTGCTCCATGTTCTTTCGTGCATGCACCATTCAACACTGGTCCACATCTACCGCGCTTTCTTAGCTAAATCTCACGAAAAGCAGGGGAAAAAATTAAAAATCGTCCTTGTCAAACTGAACCGCAAACAAAACTGGTAATAAAGTCGAAACCGGTTTTTCAAATTTTTGCTAATTTCAAGCTGTGGCTCGGCCTCGTTAAAACGTTCCCATAACCTTATAACAGACCTTGTCCAGTATTTGTGTGAATTGTTTCCTGTAAGAAAAAGAGAATTGTGTACTTCTTTGGTAAACATAACATTTTCCTTTTTACCAATCAGTGATTAAATAGCGTCGGGTCAGCTGACATTTCTTTAAAATTGATAGCCTGTTTAAGTGTTCAATTAGTAAAACGGAAACAAATAGTAAACGGCGCGACAGTAGCGGCAGAGCCAAAACAATAAAGGTTTGGTAACGTGACCCGACCCAGGCCTCCCTCGACTTTTTAAGTCCACCTCCGCTGCTGTTGCGCCGTTTACTATCGCTAACTAACTGAACACCCGGAGGAGGCTTCTGTTTCAGATCTCTAATATAACAGGTTAGCTTGATGTCAGCCCCCTGCTGTATATACTTCTTTTAAATCTTAATGATTTGATTTGGTTTACTTAATAAATTTTTCACACATTAATTCATTGTCCCAATTCTTTTTTTTTTTTTTACAGTCAAGACTCCACAAGAGAAAGAACTTATTCAAATCCAGTGCACTAGGATGAAAGTTAAGACGAGAAAAACTCATGCAACTATATAGAAGCAGCTTGTGCTTAAAACGCAACAATCAAAATGCATTTATGATCTAGAATATTGAAATGCCTCAACCCAATAATTTCCAACAACAATGTTATAAATTTATTAAGTTATGACAGTTGAAATTAAGATTATGCCAGTAAAGCGATATTATATTTGTTAGGAAAATTACCAGGAAAATAAAGAAATAAGTAGAATTGGCCTCGAGAACGTTAGAGCTTTATTATTAGGAACCTCAAGTAGCTAGAATTATAGAATTTATTTGCAATTATCAACGAAAGAAAAAATACTCCAACAATATAGGAATGATTTTTTTCTCTTTATTGCATCTTGGTTAGAAATTACTACAGCTATTAAGTAATTTTGATGCTGAAACAGGACAGATGAAATTCCTTTTGTACAAGAACTCTCCCGGCTTTTGCTCAACCTCTTATCAGTCATAACACTGAAAGCGAAATCCATCTGTCGGTTTGTAAAAACTCGATTGTGTCTTGCTTTCTCCATTTCGTAGGCTTGCAATCCTTTTTCAGAACATCATTCAATCCTACATAAAATGTTGAAATGTGCCCTAGAACAATAATATTTAAATCAACTCTATCCTATAACAGATTCAGACATGAGATAGTAATTGAGCGATATGTATATACGTATATTGTATTGTGCAATTATATTATGCAATACTGCTTTGCACTTTTGATTCAATCGGATTACGAGCTGGCATTCCCTCGCTTCTCCGAGTTCACACGATGCCAGAATGTTTGGTTTTTGCGAAGGATTACTGAGGGAGAGAAGTCTGGATCGATCGTAGTCTATGGCTACATCGAAAACAGTGTCCATATGTATTCACTTTCTTGATTGTTGATTATAAACGTTGATGTTGATGCGTTTTATTGATTAGCGAGATTGTTACATAAAATAATGGCAAGGATGTTAATTAAATTATGAAATGTACAGAGTTGTTTGGAGAGCAAACAACTAAGACTCTCCCCCCCTCCTCATAACCTTCTCTACCTTTATTCCGTTTTTAATTACCCCCCTACCCCTACGCTATTACTTTTCCACCTTCTCCTCCTTTAAAACTTTAAAATTGATCAATAGTCCCAGTCCCTCTTCTGTTCCTAAGCGAGGCCTCAGCATTTAGGACAAACCCCAATATGTCTGGTAGTGCCTTTTTCATCTCACGCTTATTATTGAAATTTGGAGACGTGGAATACTGGCGAAATTTAAAGTTTATGGGGATGTCATGGAGTCGTAGGGAGACAGCGCAAAATTGAAAATAGGCAGGCGATCTCAAGTAAATAATTAATCCTCATCAATGTGTAGCTTACATATTTCTGAACTGAGTTCACTTAGCCACTACCCTTGGACCCATTTCACTTACATCGGACCAACACATCGCTAAGTCAGAGGCTTGATTCCTCATGGCTGGATACCGATTTTTTCCACAAACCACACCTGTGACAGATGCATAACATCTTTTATTCTTACACGTTATTTTCTTTGGAACCGATCGAACTCTTTAGATCCTAACTCAAGCAGGTCGCAAACCATAGTTAGAGGGGTTACACACAGGACACTTTGGCATGACTTATCTTACCAGTCACTCGCCGCGGCAGCACGCAGGCAGGTGCCTGTCAAATATATATCTTATACTTGCTTCAAACTACCCTCGCATTTTACGTGGCTCATGCAGTGGGTAGAGTAACGTATCGCATATCCGGTGGCAGTTTCGGTTCTAATCACCCTCGTACATGTCGCATTTCTTTTTTCTTTTCTTTTCCGTTTAGACATTTGCGCGCAGATGTGCATGTATCAAAACGTTTTCAAACCTTTTCATTCCGCTGGTATGTTTTTTCCTTCAAAGCCGGTTTTCATCACAACAATGCTCTGTCAGTTTAGCTTTTTTTCTCAAGCAACATTGAAGTAAAATTAACTTTTTTCATTAAATTTTCTCTTCTAAATAACAACTGCTATCATTAACCCGTGTAATGCCAGTCATTTTTTGTATTAGGGGGTAAGTTAACATGACAAAACCGCCCTAAAATAGGTAAAAAAAAATTGTACAGCAGAGACACATTCTTGTTTGAAATATGTGACGTATCAAAAAGCAATTGGCCCAAATTCTATTCCATATTCATGAAGATTCACAAGCGTGGTTACCGTAATTTGTCGGTTAAACGAGATTGTGTACAGTAACAGTGTTCCTCTCCGTTTTGCTCGAGATATAATTTTTTACTTCGAAAGCTTTTGGAGTGGAGAGCCTTTGTGAAGTTTACATTATGGTGAGTACTAATTCTTGATGTTTTTACGACCGTCAAAACATAAAACATTTGGGAGAAGTTTGTTTGAGATGTTAACACGTGCACTTGCTGAATCCGTGTCGCGTCGAGAAGGTTTGACTCTTTGTAAAGTTTGTAGCAGACGCTAAAAAATAGGCATAACACGGCCAGTGTAGTCGATAGAAGTACTATTAAATTGAATGTGAGGCTAGTGAAATTTCTTTAAAAAGTTGCAATGGTCTAATTTGTTACTCAGCGTCACTGTATTGCACGCCTAAACAAAGAGTGAGAAATTTTGTTTCAAGAGTAAATTACAAAATGTCGAAGTTAAAAACTTAGCACACAGCTCTACAAAAATTTATCCATTTACGTTTATGTTAGCTTCCTTTCTTACGCATTTCATTCTATCGACTTCAGGGTGAGAAATCTTGGATGATAAAGATGACACTAGAAGTAAAGAGAAGAACGAGAGCAGGAATGAAGAGTGAAGTTAGCTTTTCTGAAGATCATGCGGAGGGCATGCACTGGTCTCGCTTCAAAGATAAGGAAATCAATCATATTGTGAACATATTTTTGAAAAGAAACCTTTCCTACAAGAAACTGCATATGGCACTGCACAGAAGCTGTAATTAAACAGAATTCAAAATAATTTGTATCGACGACTCCACTTTCATTTAAAATTCATCTAGAACAGAAAAAAAAGACAAATAATAAACATTTTTGGTTGTAAAAATGAGGTTTTATTGATTTTTTTGTCGGAAAGGTTTCTAGAAATAATTAAGGTGGCACTGCATGTTCAGATGTAATTGAGCACGATTCAGATCAGGCATGGACAGAGGGACGCTCTTCAATGAGGAACAGCTACTTCAAGATTATCAACGTGACGAGATACAACCAAATTCTGTATATTGCAAGCAACCCCAAGACTGCCTTGATTCGGGAAAAACAGCTTAGAACGTGTCAACGAATACGCTGAACGATTAACATGCAGAGCTACCTTAAAGCTAGATGATATTAAGAGATTGAGGGTTTCTGAAATTGTCTCTTACGCTGAGAACTTCGAACCGACGAAAGTATGTATGGCGTTACTTCAAATATTTCCTCAGCAGCCTTCAGTCTCTTGTCAGGTTTTGTCATGTAGAGTGATGTTCTTTGCAATCATGTCTGGCACATTTAATATGGATATAACTTGACTGCAGCTTATTATACAAATGGCCTTGAAATTTTCAAGATCAATCTCCGGGAAAAAAAATAGATGGCACTGAAATTTAACAATGTTGCCGCATGTGACAGAAATTGTCCTTTTCCCAGTCTAACTTAATTTTATTGTCTGATCACATTTTCCAGTGCTTTTCGCCAACAGAAATTTCGATAAAAATATAGTCGTGAAATTTTCATTAATTCTATGGAGATTTGTTTCCAGTCAACGCCATTGAAATTCTTTTCCCTTTGACAGACTACCATTTGATTGTCATAGTGCTTGAACAGAGCTTTCCTCTGGCGAAAATTACACTTAATTCGCGTCATAAACTCCTTCTTAAAGCTTGCCTTGCAAAACGTGAAATACTTTGCCAGACACGAGTTTTAGAATATCACTTTACTTGATGTAGAGCGTTTTCACTCACGTGACATGCAGCCATACTGTTGTTGAAATAAAAGATGATATTTGTATAAAAATAGAGTTCAATTCCCAGAGGATTAATTTGGAAAACCATCATGGCCATTGTTTCTTTGTCTCGGAACACCACGCAGTCTGCTGTGACGTCACGTGAAAACGCTGCTGACCGTTTCCAACAAAAGGACAATTGCAGAAATTTAAAAGAAAGCGCAAAAATATGAAAAGATGGTGGTTTCCAAAGAATAAGGAAAAATTGATGGCACGAAAAATACAAAATAAATGCCTTTTAGATGTGCTGAAATTTTATTCAAACAACGAAAATGGATAATTATATAATATTTGGTGATCAAAAGTCTTTAGAGGAAAATAATGAGTTCAAATGTCAAAATAATAATTCTTCAAAAGAACCTGGAATTGTTGCTAATCCATCGAAGCTCTAGAGACATTGAAGATTTTATGATATCGCCCGAAAAAAACCCTCAGGGGGTAAAGACATCGTTTGGAAGAACAGCAAATAAAAAAAGTCAACCCTTTATCCTATTTTCCATAGGATAAAGAGACGAATTGAAAACACGAAAAATAGAAATTAAATTTGTTTTTGATTATTGGAATTTTATCAAGACGTCAAACATGAATGATTTCATGATTTTGCCGAACATTTCTCAGTAAATTGCTTGTTACCATTCAATTCACTTCTGCGTCCTTTTTTGGCGTGCAACTTGTCCTCGATAGCATTGGAAACGGTTGTTTATCTTATGGCTCAGTATATGTTACATAAAAAGGCCTTTTCCGGCTTTCGATTGCCGCATCAATGAAATCAAAGTTATTTTGATGTTTAACCATCTAATTTTTTATTTTATCTATGAAAAAATAAAACTTACAGCAAATGAAATTTTGTAGTGAGGATTCAAAGATAGTTTGAGTCAAGCAATTATCTTAGCCTTTGGTATCAAAAAGGAAAAAAAAACCTAGTCAGACTTTGATAGGAAAATTTAATTTCGTTACAATTGTTATCAGTTTGGCATTAAATTCCTTCTGTGCAATAAAATTTTGTGAACAGAGAAATCGAAAGCTGGAAAAGGTCTTGTTAAATGCAACGTGGCAAAGTTAGCGTAACCTTGTTTTAGTTTTAGTATAGAAATATAGCTTGCCAAGTTGTTTACATGTACCTTGTGCAAAAACTTCAAAGATCCAATTTCAACCCTAAGAGAATCGTTTGAAATTTAACTTTATTTCAAGAAGTAAACCAAATTTTGTCCAATTAAATCAGAGCAATAAGCCGTTCAAAATTTGTTTTGGAAATCTCTTTGCACAAGGTACTGTTCATAGATATTTGGCGAAAAATTTTAAGGGAAGCTATTTTGAATATTTTGTGGGAAATGTTGTAAGGGGAAACTCTGTGCAAATTCTCTCAAATTTTCCCGCCAAAAGTCTTAGTATATATTTTAACGAATTCTTCTTGACGCTTTTGATAATTTAATGGGAATTCACTTAACTAATTATAGAATATATAAAGAGAATAAAGATTTGTATTGACTTGTGGGAAAATAAAGATCACAATATAAAGCGAACAACATTGCAGTGTTTATTCAGTATATAGATGAATAAATAGACTTCAGCCAACTTGAAGATAAACTTTATTCTTATTATATAGTAAGGGAAAACTAAAAAAAAAAAAAACGGCGCATGCGTATTTTGGGCGCCCGTATTTTTCTAAGTTTTTTGGCGGGAAAAATAATGTTTGATTAGGCGCTACAAAGGACAAACGTAAGCAGAAATTTTTGGTTTTGAAATAAGCTCAACTTGACAAAGTGACTTAACTAAATGAAGAAAATCTGAAATTTTAGCGTCGACTATCAAAATGAAATCTTGTCAATTTCTTTACTGCGAGTACCGTTCTGTTCTCTTCAAGATTGTTACCGTTCGCAGGTACCTTGGAAAATTAACCTAGAAAATCTCTTTGCTGCCCATTCGTTTCGAATTATCTTGCCTGAAGGAGAAACTAGTTAACTTTGGTTTCTACCTTGGCTGTTAATTTGACTTTTGCTTGAATTATTGTCTTTAATTCTTTGAGTCTTGACATTAAACATCTTCGTCTTCCAACGAGCTGTGACAAAATGATAGAAAGAAAATTAATTTTTACTCTTAACATTTCCATAGCGAGTTGAACAAACATATGAAAACTTCAGTTATGTGAATGCAACTTAAATGATATATCTGAGTACATAAATTCACAAAATTCTGCTCCTGTTTCGATCGAACATCAGACTTAATCAACATAGTGTTACGTGCAATTTTAGATACGCTGAAAATTAAACCCTTTGGTTTAAATTGTACGCCATCCTTGTTTACCAAACAAGTTGCGAATTAGTGTTACACGAAACTTCAATTTGGTCGCTTGTAAACCAATTTCGAAATTCTTCACGACATAATTCTGGACGTATTACTTAAATGAAATTGCAAACAATTTTGCTTCAGAGTTATTTCTTTCTATTCTTTCGAAGAACTTGATGGGAAAAAATAGTTGTTTGGGGTTCATTAAGGAATAAACAAACGTAAAACTCCCGAACTTGTCTTCAAATATTTATTAGTAAACGAACCTGCATTCAGATACACTTCTATTTAAGTGAACGCACAAACTACATGTATTTGCCGTTAAATGCAGCTTAATTTTGAAAGATTTAGCCTTGATCGTCAACAAAACCTCCAATTCTTTATACAGAAGCTTCTGTACGCTTAACTTTCAAGTTTCTGTCTGTCTTCAACTGTGAGTCTTATTATTTTCCCGATCAAATTTGTGATTCAAATTTGTTGGTGACATATTCACGCCCGCACGATGGTATTACAAAGGACGACAAATTCACACACACTCGCACCATTAACATGATCTACATTCAAAGACTTTTAAAGGTAGTTTTAATGCATCAGGTTAGTCAAGTTAGTTAAGTTAAGGCAAAGCTGTCAAAGCTCTAACCCTAAAGGATAACCGTCAAAGCTAATTCGTTTTTTTTTTTTTTTTTTTTTTTTTTGCATCATTCCGCAGCAAATTAAAGTTCATTCAATCTCGAAACTAACAAAGAACATTATGTTCAAAAGTTATCTTTTAAATTGAAATAAATAGCATCAAATCCAGAAGTAATTAATAATACGTCCAGGAATCTTCTCACTGATGGCCAAACGATTTATTCGTGATAAATTCTTAACTTTTTTTTGTTAACTTCACTTTACATATGATATTATTTGTTCGTTCCCGTCATACTGGTGGATGACCTAACATTTTATTTAACTTGATCAATTCAACTTGATTGTTTCCTATATTTTCCTGCCTGGTACACTTGACTTTGTTTTGAAATTACGAGGAGAAATTGAAAATTGATCACTTTTCAAAATAAACAAAACTATTTCTATGTATTGACGTCAGTTCATAGAAAACAGGAATGTCTTTCTTGGAGAGAAAACTTCTCATTAAAATGAAAATTTGATCCTTTTCTCTTTTTCTTTGTTTTGTTTTTTTGTTTTGTGTTGTGTTGTGGTTTTCTTTTTTTTGCATAGTGGACAAACCAGCCCCTATCAAAACTATCCAGATCACTGAGCCAGTGAGACAATATCTTATGCATATTCCTCTAAACCTGACGAGAAATCAGCTTGATCAAAGAAACAAAAAAAAAGAAAACAAATTAAATTTATGTATTTTTTTATTTAAATCTAGTAATCTACATATTATTTTGTACGGAAGAATCTGCGGGCTAAACAACGAAAGATTAGGGTCATGAAAAAGAAAACTAGCCAGCGCAGCCATTTCAAATCGTCCTCGTCAGTTTCCGATGAAATTCATTTCCGGATTACTTTCGACGACTGATTGAAAAATTCCCATTTATTGGCGTCACTGATTAGTTTTGGCCCAAAAAAACCAGACAAATCCAAAGCATTTATTCTGTAGCCGGTTTTTGAATCCTTAAAATATCAATAATCTTTAGAAAAATTGTGAACAAGTCATGCATAGTACATTTTTATAATTAATTTTATTGAAGGCAAAATAACTCTAAAACTAGAGGCTAATTTGTTTGGACAAAGTGTATGGTCATAAGGAGTGCTCAGAACGTTCACAGAAAAGGAAGTTGTATCAATTTTCCAGACTTTTCTCATTTTTTACGACAAAATGTTTACTGTATAGATTGATAATCAAAAATTATCTGGTTTTTTTCTTTTTTTCACTCAAATGCTACCTGTGAAATGTCATACATCACTGTGGAATGACTACCTCCCTTTTTAAAACAACATTTAATAAAGCCTTTGGCTTGTCACACATAGATATGGTACCCAGAAGATAAAAAGACTTATCTTAATTATCTGATTGATAATGATAGCTACAGCCTTGAGAGGATATACTGTGGATTGTCGGCTGCTAAGTAAAAGATAACAGGCATTGGCCAATGTGAGTTTTTTATGTCACTCCATCAACAGCTTACTTCAAGTTTCCAATATTTTCCCGATTTAATTGTATTTTGAGCTTAGCACAAATTATTTTGTACAAAAGAAACAACGGAAAATAGGAATTGTGAGAAAGAAACTATCGAATCAAGCCGTTAAAAATTCTCCTCTTCGGTTCCCCATTAAACGCAATTTCGGATGACTTTCGACAACTTATTAAAAAATTCCCTCAATTAGGAATACAATCGGTGAACATCACGACTTGAGATTTTCACAAAATCTAAATTAGCGTAGCTTTTGTAATATTTCATATTTCAATGCGTGACAACATTCATTCTATGTTTCCGATGGCTCGGTGCGGGGGTTTGTGTTTGGCCTCTTAGTTTACTTCTGAGCTGGACTTCTAAACTAACGACTCAAATAACAACTCAACCAAGTTCAAGGGCAAAACTCGCCTGTAAAGTTACAATTATCACTCACGCTTAAAATGCCAATCAAATGAGTAAGACCTCAAAGCCAATGTACCCAACACACAATTACGTGCAGATAAACTTTGCTTGCTGTTTTCTGTGATATCTACCTCAATGATATTCAAAATACGCAATAAAACGGATAGCGTGATACATACCGTAGCAGTCGTCCATGTGCGCCTCAAAGACGTCGCCATTGCTTTCTCCAAACCCATACGTAGACCAAACATTTTTGATGATGAGGAGGACACTGAAGTTCCAGTGACAGTCCTTTACGTCTAATACTCTTGTGGCGACAATTTTTTCGACATAAGCCGATATTTAGAGACCTTTTTCCAGGAGAAGCCAAAGTTTCGACTCCTCGTGTAGTAACGTTGGACAACGTTGAATACAAAATGAGGGCGTTGAAAAAATTTGCAATGCAAATCAAACTTCGGGCTTTGACCGTCTTTATTTGATGACATTAGGAAGATTTTTGTCTACTTAAAACTGACAACAAATTATTAGTTTGATACATTTGAAAAACAGAAAGGATGAACAGAAAACTGAGCGTGAACAACGATTACTAAAATGAACACAATAAAAAAAAGTATTCTGAGTGCTTCAAAAGTTTCCGTCGTCTTTTAACTATAATTTGCAAATAATCGGCCACTAGTGGCCAAAATCCAAAATCCAAAATAGGCCATTACTGCCCAAAATCCAACATCGACCACTAATGTCCGAAACTTCAAATCAGCCATTAGTGTCCAAAATTCAAAATAGGCCACTAATGTCCAGAATTCAAAATCGGCCACTACTGTCCAAAATCCGGAATCGACCACTACTGTCCTAAATCCAAAATCGGTCATTTTTGTACAAAATCCAAAATCGGCTACTAGCGTCTAAAATTCAAAATGGGCCACTAATGTCCAAAATCCGAAATCGGCCACTAGACGCCAAAATTCAAAATCGGCCACTAATGTCCAAAATCTGTAAACGGCCACCTCTGTCTAAAAACTAAAATTAGCCTCTAAAGTTTAAAATTAAAAAACAGCTACCAATGTCAAAAATCCAAAATCAGCCACTGGTGCTAAAAATCCAAAATCGGCCACCCATATCTAAGATCTAAAATCGGCCACTAGTGTTTTTAATCGGCCACTAGAGTCCAAGATCCAAAATTGGCCACTAGCGTCCAAAATCTAAAATCGGCCACTAATGTTCAAAATCTAAAAACGGCAACAATTGTCCAAAAATTCAAATCGGCCACTAGTGTCCAAAATTGGCCACTTAGGTCCAAGATTCAAAATTGGCCGCTACTGTCCAAACTCCAAGATCGGCCACTTGTATCCAAAAGCAAAAATCGGCCACTAATGTTCAAATTCAAAAGCAGCTACTAGCGTTCAAAATTCAAAATCGGCCACAAGTGTCCAAAATCTAAATCGGCCACTGAGGTCCAAAATCCAAAATCGACCTCCAGGGTCCAGAATCCAAAATTGGCCACTAGAGGCCAAATCCAAAATCGGCCACTACTGTCCAAAATCCAAAATCGTCCATTTGTGTCCAAAGCCTAAATTCGGCCACTAGTGTTCAATATCCAAAATCGGCCACTAGGGTCCAAAATCCAAAATTGGCCACAAGTATCCAAAATCTAAAATCGGAAATTGGGGTCCAATCTTCAAAATCGGTAACTAGAGTCCACAATCCAAAATCGGCCCCTAGTGTCCAAAATCTAAAATCGGCCATTAGGGTCCAATCTCCAAAATCGGCCACTGGTGTCCAAAATCGAAAATCGGCCATTATAGTCCAATCCTTAAAGTCGGCTATTAATGTCCGAACCTTCCAATTAGCCACAAGTGTCCCAAATCCAGAATGGGCCACTGTGTCCAAAAATCCAAAATCGGCCACTAAATCTAAAATCGGTCATTAGAGTCCAAAATTTAAAATCAGCCATTAGGGTCCAAAATTCAAAATCGGTCACTAGTGTTCGAAATCCAAAATCGGCCACTAGTGTTTAAAATCCAAAATCGGCCACTAGAGTCCAAAATTTAAAATCTACCACTAGGGTCCAAAATTGGCCACTAGGGTCCAATCTTTAAAATCGGCCACTAGGGTCCAATCTTTAAAATCGGCCACTAGGGTCCAATCTTTAAAATCGGCCACAAGGGTCCAGCCCTTAAAATAGGCCATTAGGGTCCAATCTTCAAAATCGTCCATTAGGGGCCAAAATCCAAAATCGGCCACAAGGGTTCAAAATCCAAAATTGGCCACAAGGGTCCAAAGTCTAAAATCGGCCACTAGGGTCCAATCTTCAAAATCGGTCACTAGAGTCCAAAATCCAAAATCGGCCACTAGTGTCCAAAATCTAAAATCGGCCACTTGGGTCCAATCTCCAAAATCGGCTACTAGAGTCCAAAATCCAAAATGGGCCACTAGTGTCCAAAATCTAAAATCGGCCACTAAAGGGTCCAATATCCAAAATCGGCCACTGGTATCCAAAATCCAAAATCGGCTATTTATGTCCAAACTTCCAATTAGCCACAAGTGTCTCACATCCAGAATAGGCCACTGTGTCCAAAACCCAAAACAGCCATTTGTGGCCATAACTTCAAATTGCTCACTAGTGTCCAAAATTTGAAATCGGTCATTTGTGTCCAAAACTTGAAATCGGTTACCAATCTACACCATTTCCAACCACTCTTGATCGTCGATGATGTTTCTAGTCGCCTCATTGCTTGTCTTCTTTTCAAGCTAATTGGCCAATGGGAAGGTTTGGACACAGTTGCCCGATTTCGAGGTCTGGAGCTCCAAACATTATGCTATGCTCTTGGGTAAGACATTACACTCATTCTGTGGTACCCGTAGGCTTTTTTTTGACGTCTTCAGCCATGGCGGCTCCACCGCTACAAACACCGCCGTCACCTTAAGCCTTGCTTGAACGGGTGAAGTTACAAAAAGATTTTGTGATGTGCAAAGCTACATTTTACTTTCAGTTTAATTTTAGATTGATGTGATGGACAGAGACTATAATTATTCAGACTAGAAATTATAATCTCTTGTTCTGGGAGGAGTCACGATACCTGACGATAGATATTACATCGGAGCGAGAATGACGAAATTTGATCCTACCGTGGATAACCTGTTAATCATGAGACTTTTTGGGTCCTGAAAAACGAGTCATTATTACCCGAGGGATGACGCATAGGAACATGATACAACGGCAGTATGAAAGGCTTGAACCGAGGAGTGTCAACCCGGGCGTTTAAGGCTCCAATCACTCGCATGGCTAGTCGTACCAGCTTGCAGGAACCTTGTCACACTTGAACCTGGTATATGGCGTTCTGTGTTATTCAGTTGGTAGAGTATCTGACCGAGAAATCAGAGAACGCTCTCACTCACGTTGTGGAAAAATCCCACGGGTCTGTAAGGGGCAGGGGCCACGGACTTCCCCCGGATCTGCTACTATCCTGGGGGGCTCAGATTGTTCCCTTGTTATTCTCAACAAAACTTGTGTGTAACTTTTAGCTTCATTTAAAGTACTCATTGTTTTCTTTAAAATTGTTTTGCTTCAGATCAATTCTATTAATGACAGAGAGTTAAAAGAAACTGAAAAAAAAAATTCACTAACTAAAGAAGCTCTTGATTGTTAAACAAATTCTCCTTCTCAGTACCTCAGGAAATCTACAGAGAAGATTATGGAGAATATGCATACTGATGTTAGGGTGTAGAGGGTTAACACTCGGATGGTTAATTTAGATTTTCTTTCGGAAACGCATCCCTGAATTTCGTTTATCAACTGAGGGGCTAGGGTTGAGCATTGAAACCATCCACGGCGAACTTTCGTGAAAGTTGTCGCGCTCTGTTGAGAAACGTGTTCAAAAATAAATTATTTCCGTAACATTTTGGGCATGAAAGGATTCCAAGAGGTCATCAGAACTGAAAGTCGTTTTTTTCACTTTTGTTCAGCTAACATACGGGAGTTTCGGCCCGTCACGTCAACCTCAACGGACTTCAACGCGTGATGAATCTCGGGACAGGCCAGGTAAACACTGTGGGCAGCGGCATCCAACAATGGCTGCAACTGATCATTGATTTCTTGTAGAATAACCGGCGTCTGTAGACACACAGAACACGTCAGTTACGAACAGAACGAATAACCTAACGAAGCAAAATGAACAGTTAAATAATCAGGTGAGGTGTCTTACTTACTTCAGTCGAAATAAGTAAATTTAATCTGCGAGAGACTGGATCTGTTGAAGTCATAAGACGGATTTTGTCTGCAAAGAAACGAGAAGGTGATTTCACTTTTTAAATATCCAAACGAACTAAAAGCAAGAACCATCGGAAAAATACCCTATTAATCTGACAACAGAAAATAAAGGCGAGTTAGATTGCTTCAATACCTTGTAAGCGCGGCAAAAATCCACTCGGCGTTAGGGCTATCCCGAGGGATAACACCCGCTCCAGTTTATCACCATACGCGGTAACCATGGTACTTAAAGCTGAGGCATCAAGAAGTGACTTTAGGAAAACCAAGAAAAGAATCAATGAGAGTTGACCTGTTCAACTTATTTTTAGGTGTGGGCGGCCAAGAAAGAGAACAATTACAGACTTTTGTTATTGTTTTTCTTGTTGTAGCTATCCTATAAGGATGAAGACTACCATCCACCCTAACATAAAAACATTTTTTTATCATCACTACTTTGTAACGAAAAAAGTTACATTCCAGAAGTAATTTTCCTCGTTACTGTAAAAATCAGCAGTTTTTCATGACGTGTCTCCTTCCGTTTTTTCATCGTCTTTCTATCGTATAACCTGCGATCAGCGTTCTTTTTGCGGGAGTGTAGCAGCGCAACAACACTCTCGCGTTCCTTAAAAAAAAGAAAACGGCTGCTCGCAATTTGTCAGATATGAAGTGTCTCCTACCGTTCTCTCATCGTCGTCCAACACCGGTCTGAATGCTCTGCTGACTTCCTCATTTACGAGGCTCTGTAGTGTCCTATTGACAGTACATAAGTACTCAAGTTGGGAGGCCACACTATGGAACATGCGCCATGCTTCTACAAGATACGACTGGTGCTGTGAAAACATCAAAACACTCACTCACTATACCATATCATACCGACTGGCCTAGAGGGCTTCCCAAACGACGGAATCAAAATCTAAGTATCGTGGTTTTCATTTGTTGGCCATTCATGAGAAAATTACCTCTATTAAGGGAACTGAGCGCTTTTCAACTGAGTGATGTGAAACCAAAACCAAGGTTATCACAAGTTACATTCGGAAGAGAAGACATTTTTATAGGGAATCAATGAGTACTCAGAGTAAAAACAGGTAAACAGCCTGAGGCGCGAATGGTTTACGTTTCACGTGATTCTGATTGGTTGAAAAGGTTTAAGAGAGAATTTTCTCGACCAATCAAAGAACGACGTTTTGCCTTTGAGTGGTCGTGGGGGTGGCGCGAGTTTTCGAGATCAAACACAAGGAACGAAGCAACGAACATCCAACGTTTTTCCCAGATTACATTGGACTAAATTTCAAATTTTCAGAAGTACCATTCACCTGGTTCATAAGCGACTTCACCATGAGCCACCGATAAACAGCCAATAAGTCATCTTCTTCCTTAGCTCGCTCTATGTAGTGATCCACGTGAACTAAACTAAGTACCAGATTCTCTCCTTTGCATGGGTCCGTGCGGTCCTTGGGTCCACAGCATCGTGTGTATAACGACGCCTATAATAACAGTCAAGGTTGATGTTGAGTTCAAACCTCAGCGGAGTACCTCTATCAATGCTAACCATGCATCATCAACATGCACCCCCTATTGTTTTTTTTGCATGCGGAAAACTACACCCACTGATGAATAACGCATTTCAGTTCAAATTTCGTGAAAACTCGGTTCCGCACATTATTTTAATAATTTTATTTCATTTTATTTTATTTAATCACTTTTTAATTTATCATTTGCTGTCGGGCCGTATTTTCTCGTACTGTTTGTAACTTACCGCATCCTGTCTTGAGAAGACTATTTGATAAAACGCCAGTGGATTGCTGTTTGAGTTATAAAACCGCTCGTAACTGAAACGATAGTGTCAAAAATAAACTGAAATAAAAAGTGATACAGTTACAGAAACAAAAGAATTCAATTTCCTGGATATTACAAAATAAATTCAACCGGTCATCTACTGTAAATAAGGGCCACGTTGTTTACATCACGATAGAGCTAGCCCCGATTTTGGCGTCAACTTTACGCTCAATTTTGTCACTTGGGAGACAGTTTCATTGGAAAAATCAAAGCGGACAGTTAACATCGACGAAATAAATTCCAAGCGTGAAGGAAGTAGAACTAATACTAACGTAACCCCACAGAGTTTACGGTTTAAGATCGAGATGTTGCTAAGCAACACGATGCTTTGAGGACTAGTTTAGCAATATACACCATACGGGACAGGTTAGTTGGCTCACCCTTGTTCTTGTCCTTGCAAAAAGTGCAGGCAAAAAGACTTCTTCACCATGACAAGCCGCCAATCAAAGGCAACATACACCTGTAAACACAGTTGTTAGAATTCAATGTTGCGTATCCCTGTAGTTCGAACATGACAAGAACCTACGGACAGTTTAGTAAGCGCTTCTCAAATAGCCATGAGCGACGAAAGTGTGAAAACTAAAGGCGAAGCGTCCAAGGCTCCGCTGCTTAGCCCGTCAAAGCGCACACAAGACCGCCAGCTGCGCAAGCTAAGATGACAGAGGTACAAGAAAAACAAAGACAGAATATAAAGTTTGGATACATACTCTCAAATACAGAGACTGTTTGGATTTTACGGTGGAAATCAACTGTAAGAGGAAAGCTTTCTTTCTTTGAGGAGGAACAATGTCGTGAAGACTTCGCCTCAGAGTTTCTCCACCGAGGAAAAAACCTTCAAAAAACATCAATTATCAAAAATCAGAACCACAAGCAGTTATCCATGTCGTGCAAAACAGCTGTTTTCTTTTATATGTGGGGGTTTCGGAGTGTGGCGATGGAATGATTTTACACGTTTACAGAGTCAATCAAACTGTTGCTGAGAGACAAATCTTTGAGCTCCAAGATCTTAAAGACAGGGTCAGATTGCTAGGGCAAGTAGCACTATCCTCCATTCTTAACACACACCATCTCGTTGATTCGAAGTACCTTGATCGAACAGCCTGCTCACGATATCTTTCAAAAAAAGACTGTTGCTTACCAAGAAAGAGAACATCTTCCTTTTCACTAAAGTCCACAAGATGCTCGTATACTACAAAAGTAAAAAAAGCACGCAAGGTTTAGTTGAGCGAGTAGTAAACTGGACTAGGACCTTTCACTCATTTTCTTTTTCTCTCACAAAATCCCACTGCTGCTGACTGTCACCCTGTCTCACTTGGAGCACATGACAGCATAACCGTTCGCATGCGCTGTGTTAAAAATAAAAAGTGGCACGTCAGGTTTTGACAAAGGGACCTTTCAAGGAAAATCTTATCAAAAGTTTCAGCCTTAAAATTTTCCAGTATAAACGTGGTTGTCGAGTTCACAGCCTTTCTCTTATAAGAGTAATTTTCCAGGATTACTCGACAGACTCCTCTCCTTTTGCTTCCCTCAGCTCTATGATTGGTCTACAAAACTCGCGCCATCTTCTCAAACAATCAGATTAAAAGTGAACACGAGTCGCGACTGAGTCACTGGCGTTTTAAAGTCGTCTGCTTCTATTTACTCAACGATTCCTAGTTATATTTTCCTTTCCTATGGTTACCTGGGTTGATTTCTTTGATCTTAGCTTACTGACACTCAATCGAAATGCATTCTATATGAAACTGCAGAGAAGTTAGTTAGGATTTCGTCTCACCAAGTTTAGCAAAGTGTTGTATGGCTTCTGCCTTCCTGTGACTTGGACCTTGAACAAAATAATGCTCCTCAAGGTCCACATCGTGTAAATATGGCATCATACGACCATAGATGGGGCTAAAACCACACACACCCAGGTCAACAACAGTCTAGAAAAATGAATTTAGTAGTGAAAAAATTTAAATCAATCGAACTTTATAATTTAAACAGTTAAGTTTACCAGGCTGTTATATTTCCATACGCCTCTTACTCGGCAGCTCGTGTCAGTATGATGTAAATTTTTTACATTGAATGCAAGTAAGCTGGTATTAATGAACACAAGCTTCACATGCCTTTTCAAATGCACTAAATCGTCCAAAAATATGCCACCATCATTCAATTTACTCTTAATCTAGGTATTCAGTTAACCAGAAATATTCAATAACTCAAATAGGCCAAAACAACTGCTCGGCCAGAACCGGAAACATAAGTAAACTTACCGAAAAACCTGCGACCGTGATTCTTGTGCTGACTTTGTTGGCAACACTGTGCAGTCTGGAACGAAGGGTGTTATAATGTCTCCCATCCAGCGCTGCTATCGCACTTACCGAGCCTGTTGGCCAATAATGGCACGTTAATAAAACAATATAAACAATAACAACAATACCATCCACAACAAAAAACCCGAAGTGGTAAAGGAGTTCTGTATGTGAGAAGTAAGAGGAGCAGGAGGGGAAGAGTCTGAATTAGTTTTTGAAAAGATGAAAATAACACTAATCACTCACCATATGCTTCAATGCCAGGAATATGATACACAAAGTTGTCTACATCGATAGGTTGAACAGAAGTCGTCACAAGTTTGGACAACAGCTTTGCAGGTTTCTCTCCAAACAGGTCCATTCTGCAGCAGAGCAAAGACTGTCAGAGGATGATGCAAAATGAGCCAGGCTGGTACAAACGGAGTTTTCCCTTATTTATACACCTGACTAGAACAATTTTCAAGTGAGTCTCTTAAGTAATCCGAAATTGTTTTGATTTTGCTTTACTATGATTACTTTGCTCTGCTGTGATTGGTTGAGAAAACTCGCGCCTCTTTCTCGACCAATCAGATTAAAAAATATCACCAATCACTAATTTCAGTGACACTCGCTTTTACCACCTTACAACCTAACATTAGTATTTGTATGCTCTGTACTCTTCTCTCAACAATTGTTATGACAATAACAAGGAGAATTTGCTCAACAATCGAGTATTTTTAGATGCTGATCATTTCCTCTATTCTAAAATCCGAAGCTGTTTTGATTTTGCTTTACTGTGATTACTTTGCTTTGCTGTGATTGGTTCAGAAAACTCGCGCCTCTTTCTCGACCGATCAGATCAAAAAACATCACCAATCACTGATTGCAGTGTCACTCGCTCTATTCTAACGACCTTACTGTTTGATTCAAGACTTATACCGTAAGGAGAAATTAGATGTTAGTCACTACTAGAATTAAAAAGGTTAAGCTATCTGTTATCTTACTTCATGGCAGCCACGGAGAGTTCAGATGTCAATCTAGGGTAAGGATTTGGAGGGATGAACTCCTCGTCGGTCACGAGGTCAACTAAAAACTCGTGGAACACTTGATCAAGCTTCGATTCAACAAGGTACTAAGATAATCAAGGGTAGAATTCTTATTTAAAACGTGATCTTTAAAGAAGCTACCTAGTGGTTAGTGTACTATGAAAAATGTAAATCAAATTTTTCAAGGTCTTTATTTTCAAGAAGTATTAGATGTCTCCATCTTTAGCCATTCCTGTTCCTCTAAGGTTTACGACTTCTTCTTCTTAGAGTTTTTTTTCTATTTTTCTTTACTTTGGACCATGGACATTGTGAGCTGTCTATACATTACACAAAATTCCTTTACCAGAAGGAATTCTTACAAAAAATAATAATGATAGTATTAAGCAAGAGTGGAAGAAAACTTCCAAGAGGAAAGAGTGAACTAAACAGAATCACGGATGGTTGAAAGATTGACAAAGGATAGAAAAAAATTGGCGTGGTTTGGAAGTGACGAACCTAGAACTGATGTACGTTAACATTGGCACATTCGTTTACCTGCATCAAAACAGTTTCCTTTGCAATGACAGCGGGTGCAGCGATAGTTTTAGCCTGTTCCTCCACAAACAACACTGAAAGATTACAAACTAAATGATTATTATGTCAGAATTAACTTAAAACTAGAGATTACCTTGTCCTTCTTTAGAGGTACGTAAAAGAGAGTTTTCCAAAACGATACCAGCGAAGCAAAGAAAAGCGAATGCCATCTTAGATAACTTTTGACAATTGATAGTAAGAGCAATTTTCCTTTTAGTTTCGAAAATTATCCGATATTACGTTGGTTTGCTTTACTTCGCTCTATGATTTGTGCAGAAAACTCGCGCCATTCTCTGAACCAATCAGATGAAAAACTAAAACCAATCACGAATCGGTCGCCCGCGTTTTCCTGCGCTTCAGGAAGTTTGGTTGTTTTTACTTACTGCATGACTCTTACACGTATTTTTCTTTCTTCTGATTGGACCGTCGTTGTGACTACTTTGCTTTTGGTTTTAAGACACTCAATCGAAAAGCGTTCTAAATAATATACACGTTTAACAGCGTACCAAGCTTATCGTGGGTGATTATGTCCGCTCTTTCAACTCCATGTCCAAAACTGTGCTGTACGATGAGAGAGTTGTTTTTCTTCACAGGAGGAAAATATTTCTAAAAAAGAGAAAATAATATGATTTCATCAAAACCTTGGGTTCAGTTACTGCCATTCAGGAATTATGTGAAGTGTTTTCAAAGACAAATGAACAAATAAGTTATGACCAATAAACACAGTAAGATCGAAGATCGCTTTCATATTCACGTCTTTATCCGCAGTTCAAATATATGACTTTCATATATTCACAGCCGTTTAAACACGGTAAGGTTACAACAATTCAAAATAACTAAATATATCAAATAACAATTCCATCTAACATACCACAAGAGAGGAACAGCAGGACAAAGTATTGTCTATCAAGCCAAGGAAAACTGTCTCACAATATCTGTTAATCACTTCTAGTCCCCTACTGACCTACAAGAATTCAACAGAGACTGCTTCACAATTCACTCAAATACTGCCCCGAGAGCGTCACAGAGAACCTACGAAACCCAGTCTCTAAGATTCCCTTTAGGCCACTCTTGGAAGTGAAGAGAGTCTAAATTAACTTAGATATACCTCTGCAGTAAGTGGTAAGCTACCAGTGCTCGTCTTCCCCTCCAAATGAGGATTTATAACTGTCATGGCATCCAGCATGTTAACCAGTTTATTACCACAATACAGAAAATCCTTGCTCTTCTCCTTCCTACAGTGAGACAACATTTCACGTTACAAGCAGTACAAGGTGCTCTCAACCCCTCCACCCTCTCCCAAAACTGACAAATATGTAACTTCTCCTCGTGATTCCAATATATTATCTGGCATACGAATTATAAGAACAGACGACCTTCTATTGCAGCTAAAGGATTTTCACTTGATATAATGGTCGTTTGGGAGAAATACCGACCTAATCTTGGGAGTTTAAGGCGTCATGGTCCAGCACTCTAACCATGCACACTATTGCGCTACCAAGATGGTCTCATATCCCGTTAAAGGGGCTCTGTCAATTTCAGTCATGGAAAAGACTGAATTTGCAAATAAACACACAAATCAATATGAAAACGAAATCTTGTTCTCACAGGGAATTGCAGAAGAAGTCCTTCAAAGAATGTCTGTAGCCCATGAGATGTGTCTGTAAAATGTCTGATGCACCCATCTAGAAGAGATAAAGGAAGTGTTCTTATAAGAAAAAAAAATATTTGAAGAAAGATATCATTTGTTTTGTTTTCCCTTCTTGGCTACAAAGAAACTCATTGGTAAGCTGGATCATATGCTTGATACTTATCCAATAAGTGTTTGGCATACTCTTTAAATCAGCAGTGCCAAGTGCATTGTCAGCACAAATAAATTATCCAAGATGTTAAATTTGAGGTCACTCACCCAATATGAAAGATGTAATTCATTTTGTCACAAGCACAAGACAAGGGGGAAAATGAGTCCTCAACAAGGAATAATATCTAACATCATTAAATGTTATGGGGTAATGCTCTAACAATGAGCTTAAGATAAAGTAATGATTACTTAGATAATCTGTTTCAAGCATCCTGCATACTGCTAGAAAGCCAATCGTGTTTATTAATTTATTTTAATCTTTCTTAAATGAAACGACATTGTTAAGATCAAGTCTACAAACACATTAATCTCCACTAACCCCACATGAAATAAAGAAGGTCACAAGATCTTGAAGCACTTGGTTTTGCTGCATCACAAGATGAAGTTGGTAAGCTGTGCTCCTCAGAATTCTGTAGGCCTCCACTAGACAATCCTGGCTCTCACCATCCTCCCTTAGACAATTGTGAGAATAATAATTATCATCGTCTTAGTAATGAAAATAATAACAACAGTAACGATAATGATAAAAATAATGTAAAATAACGGTGAAGAGTTTCCTTAAAGGATGATTATTTCCTTCATTCTACACTCCATGTTTGATTCAGGGGTGATATTGTGAGGAGGAATAAGATGTCAGTCACCCTTAGGGGCTAATACATTATTCAGTGCACCGGTGATAAGAGTAAAAAGAAAACAGTGCATCTTCTACACAGTCTTGTTGTAATATTTCACCCCAATTTTCTACACCAATTTACATAACAGATAAAGGGAGAGTCACAACTAAAATCCAAGGAGTTAACACATTGGTACAGCAATGGCACAGCATTGGTACAAAGAAACATGCACGGTTGAGAAATACGAACCTGTTAAGAAGGATCTCGAGAATAACGAAGTGCAGCATTCTAAAGAAATCAGTTCGGTCTCCAAGCTCAAATATTTTGTTATTAAGGTAAGTTCTGCAAAGCAATCGATTAGATTGTTAATGTCTTCCATCGTGTAGTCTGATCAACCAGGCAAGAGTAGTCCTGAGACGCATTGCTGTTAGTAGTAATGATTGACCGTTGAACATCCTTCGCTCGAATCTGATGGCGACTTCTGCTAAGGATGTTAAAGGGTCATTCACTACTACTGACAACAATCTGCTTACTTACCTGGATGATCCGACAAAATGATCCAATGTTCTCAGGTTCAAACTGTTTACCGTATTGTTAATGAATGACAACCACAGTGTATGGGGTCAAAACAAGAGAAACCTTGGCTTCCAATCTGATCAACGTTAGCATCTCGCGCATTTTAAGATTGCATTTGATCAGATTGTTACGTTAGTATCTCGCGCATTTTAAGATTGTAGTGGATCAGATTGTTACGTTAGTATCTCGCACATTTTCAGATTGTAGTTGATCAGATTGTTATGTTAGTATCTCGTGTATATTAAGAATGTAGTTGATCAGATTGTTATATTAGTATCTCGCGCATTTTAAGATTTTAGTTGATCAGATTGTTACGTTAGTATCTCTCGCATTTTAAGATTGTAGTTGATCAGATTGTTACGTTAGTATCTCGCGCATTTTAAGATTGTAGTTGATCAGATTGTTACGTTTGTATCTCGCGCATTTGAAGATTGTAGTTGATCAGATTGTTACGTTAGAATCTCGCGCATTTGAATCAGATTGTTACGTCAGTATCTCGCGTATTTTAAGAATGTAGCTGATCAGATTGTTACGTTAGTATCTCTCGCATTTTCAGATTGTAGTTGATCAGATTATGTTAGTATCTCGTGTATTTTAAGAACGTAGTTGATCAGATTGTAACGTTAGTATCTCGTGCATTTTAAGATTGTAGTTGATCAGAATGTTACGTTAGTATCTCGCACATTTGAAGATTGTAGTTGATCAGATTGTTACGTTAGTATCTCACGCATTTTAAGATTTTAGTTGATCAGATTGTTACGTTACTATCTCTCGCATTTTAAGATTGTAGTTGGTCAGATCGTTACGTTAGTATCTCACGCATTTTCAGATTGTGGTTGATCACATTGTTACGTTAGTATCTCTCGCATTTTAAGATTGTAGTTGATCACATTGTTACGTTAGCATCTCGCGCATTTTAAAATTGCAATTGATCAGATTGTTACGTTAGTATCTCGCGCATTTTAAGATTGTAGTTGATCAGATTGTTACGTTAGTATCTCGCGCATTTACAGATTGTAAATGATCAGATTGTTATGTTATTATCTCGTGTATTTTAAGAATGTAGTTGATCAGATTGTTACATCAGTATCTCGCGCATTTTAAGATTTTAGTTGATCAGATTGTTACATTAGTATCTGTCGCATTTTAAGATTGTAGTTGATCAGATTGTTACGTTAGTATCTCTCGCTTTTTAAGATTGTAGTTGTTCAGATCGTTACGTTAGTATCTCGCGCATTTGAAGATTGTAGTTGATCAGATTGTTACGTTAGTATCTCGCGCATTTTAAGATTGTAGTTCATCAGATTGTTACGTTAGTATCTCGCGCATTTAAAGATTGTAGTTGATCAGATTGTTACGTTAGTATCTCGTGTATTTTAAGAATGTAGTTGATCAGATTGTTACGTTAGTATCTCTCGCATTTTCAGATTGTAGTTGATCAGATTGTTATGTTAGTATCTCGTGTATTTTAAGAATGTAGTTGATCCGATTGTAACGTTAGAATCTCGCGCATTTTAAGAATGCAGTTGATCAGATCGTTACGTTAGTATCTCGTGCATTTTAAGAATGTAGTTGATCAAATTGTTACGTTTGTATCTCGCGCATTTGAAGATTGTAGTTGATCAGATTATTACGTTAGAATTTCGCGCATTTGAAGACTGTAGTTGATCAAATTGTTACGTTAGTATCTCGTGCATTTTAAGATTGTAGTTGATCAGATTGTTATGTTAGTATCTCACGCATTTTAAGATTGTAGTTGATCAGATTGTTATGTTAGTATCTCGTGATTTTTAAGAATGTAGTTGATCAGATTGTTACGTTAGTATCTTGCGCATTTTAAGAATGTAGTTGATCCGATTGTTACGTTAGTATCTCTCGCGTTTTAAGATTGTAGTTGATCAGATTGTTACGTTAGTATCTCGTGCATTTTAAGAATGTAGTTGATCAGATTGTTACGTTAGTATCTTGCGCATTTTAAGAATGTAGTTGATCCGATTGTTACGTTAGTATCTCTCGCGTTTTAAGATTGTAGTTGATCAGATTGTTACGTTAGTATCTCTCGCATTTTAAGAATGTAGTTGATCAGATTGTTACGTTAGTATCTCTCGCGTTTTAAGATTGTAGTTGATCAGATTGTTACGTTAGTATCTCGTGCATTTTAAGATTGTAGTTGATCAGATTGTTACGTTAGAATCTCGCGCATTTTAAGATTGTAGTTGATCAGATTGTTATGTTAGAATCTCTCGCATTTGAAGATTGTAGTTGATCTGATTGCTACGTTAGTATCTCTCGCATTTTAAGATTGTAGTTGATCAGATTGTTACGTTAGAATCTCGCGCATTTGAAGATTGTAGTTGATCAGATGGTTACGTTAGTATCTCGTGCATTTTGAGATTGTAGTTGATCAGATTGTTACGTTAGAATCTCGCGTATTTGAAGATTGTAGTTGATCAGATTGTTACGTTAGTATCTCGCGCATTGAAGATTGTAGTTGATCAGATTGCTACGTTAGGATCTCGCGCATTTTAAGATTGTATTTGATCAGATTGTTACGTTAGTATCTCTAGCATTTTAAGATTGTAGTTGATCAGATTGTTACGTAAGTATCTCGCGCATCCTTACATTGAAGTTGATCAGATTGTTACGTACATATTAAGATTTTATCTTGCACATATTAAGATTTTAGTTGATCAGCTTTTAATGTTTGCACCTTGCGCATCTTTAGATCGTTTTTGATCAAATATGAAATCACAATTTAGTGAGAACTACACGAATAATAATATTTTTCCTCTATGATAAACCTTGAGTTGAAAGTAATTTCTCTTACTTAATAGCTCCTACTGGTTCATCACCATAGGGTCCGGTAGCTGGCTGACCGACATCTCCTTCACTTGAGACGAGTGATGCAGCCTGACTTGCTACCCTAGTAACAGCACTGGATCGAGGCTGAAGATTGGAAGTGTTTCTCGACCCATTTCTTCTTGACCTTCCTGTCTTATGACTCCGAATTCCTTGACAACAGATATACATACAAACAACTTAGAAATTGTAGTCTAGACAGGCCCAAACTTTTTTAACAGCACTAACCAACACTGTGGCCCCTGGAGTGACTAGCATCGGATTTCTCTTTACAGTGCCTCCACTAGGCTTACAGTCAAGTCGCCCGAAACCTGAGTCATGTTGCCCGAAATTTTTTCCTAAATGATTACATACCAAACGAACAACGTTTCGTTCTGTTTTTGGAAATGAACAACATTTTCCTTTATTGTTAGGGGCGGAAAACGCGTTTAGAATCTTCATGGTGTCGTTGGAAACAAAGAGCGCTTTAGTGATGAAAATTTCTCAACTTTATTGCCTATTTACAGTCTGAAATTCTGATCTTTTTAATATTTGTCTCTTCGGGCGACTTGATTTTTTCTTTTCAGGCGACATTACTAAAATTTCGGGCAACATGACTCAGGTTTCGGGCGACATGACTTCGGGCGAGATGACTCTCGGGCGACTTGACCGGTTACCCTCCACTGTATCAAACATTAAGGCGGTAAGAATAAAGTATATGATCACTAGTGAAAGAAGATCTGGATCATCTATCCAATTATCCTTGTCAGTATCAGGAAAGGTACGGAGAACGATATGGGGAATATGCATACTGCTATTAGAGTGTGAAAGGTTAAATTTGTTTTTTTGCAATACTGAATAAGTACGATAACTTTCCTCCTTCATCACAGTTCACAATCCATACAGTTCTCCTTTGGACATGTCAACTATCACTCTAAGTCAATAACATTGAGTAAATAAAGATATTACTAGATAGAAAAGGAAAGGTGGTAGATTTTGAGCACGGTGAAGAAGTAGAGAAAGACGTTTTTCGTCTCGTCACGAGCGTGGGACTTGGTTGAGGCTGGGCGTATACATTGCAGTTAAGAGGAAATATTGATTTTCTCAAGTCACCCCAAGTGCTAGAGCAGCGTTACGAAAAAAATCTTTCTCAAAAATGAGTGTTTGCTTCGTACATGACCCCTAAACTCAGGTGGCAGAATTGGTGGCTTTTTTTGCAAATTAAGTCACCAAATCGTCTTCCTTCTACCCATGGTATCCAAAACACTAGCAGCTTGTAGCGCCATCATGAAGCAATGATTAGATACAGTACTCACTCGCTAGAGACGCTGGTGTAACCAAACTTTGTTGCTGAGGTTCTTCCCAACCGGCAAACCAAGACAAGTACTCTTTAATATGGGAACGAGTAGAAAAGACTCCTTGATATGCACTCTGGTAAGGATGTGCAGACATTGCCTTTGACCTTCAAACAAAAAAAATTGTATTATCACTCCAAAATACTTCCCACCATTCATAATTAATGGTTTCTACCTCAGACAAAAGTCTTGGGGCACTTCTGCAAAAGTGTGTGTAGCTAAGAGAACATATCCTTTGCAGCCTAATCAATTTCCCCCTCTCCTCTCCTTCTTAAAAAGTTTGTTTAGTTGTCCTTTGCTGTTGGGGGGGTTATCTCTTTTTCATCTATGAGGTATGTATCCGACATGTAGAGAGAAGTGTGCAGTTGTTGTCTTAAGGACTTATTGGCCATTATAAAGCTTAATGGGTAAATCAAACTGCATCCTCTATCCTCGTTCTAGTTTCTTCACTGCACTTCAAATGAGGCCAGTTAATCCCCTCCCTCCTTCCTCCCAAAACAATATCAACTGTTTATGAAATCAGGACAATGCAGTTGAATAGCGATGTCAAAATGCAAAAGTCATGTACAAAGTAGTTTTAGTTGGCTGATCATGACAAGTCATTGAAATGCTAACAGGCTTAGATTGTATAAAGCACTTCCACAACTAGATCCATCTGACACTCAATTCAAACTGCTCTAGTGCTTGTGGTCACTTGCAAAAATCAATACATCATTTATGAAATCAGGAACCCAGTCCAGAATAACTGCAAAGAGCCAACAACTCTTTTTTTGCAAATTGATTGATTACCTCTCTCCTTCTGTCCTTATGAAATTCAAGTTGTACTGTTTACATCCTCTTCTGTAAACTCGTCTCTCAGGCTGCATCCTGAACATGCACTGTAATTAAAACCAATTCTATGAATGTACAGAACAAGAATCAATTTTTGATCAAGTAGTCTGATATTGAGAGTAATTCTCGCAAGACTTGTCAGTGATATTCGCTAAGTATGTTTTTATCTGAGTTACTGAGAACAGCAAATGTCAAGATATTGTGTAAAATAGCTCTTGGGAGATGGTTTAAGATTGGCAGTTCATGTTTGAAGGTTAAAAATGCTTGGAAGTGTTTGTCATGGAGCTAATCTGACACAATAAAAAACTGTACCTGAGCTTCAGCAACTTTCTGAGCAGAGGCAGCAGACTTGACAAGCATCAAAAACTGATCCTAAAAATGTACAAAATAATTGATAAGGTTTTCTTCCAAGGAGGAGAAGATGCCAAAAAACTAAAAAAATAGGTGAACTTATAATATATTTAGAAAAAAACAATCATGGTTATACACCTTTATTTCGTCAACATTTTGATAAGTCCAAAATTCATCAATCCATTTCCCTCTATTTCTTGCGTCTTCCACTGGAATGGTGAAACCTAAATTTTGAGAAAAATCAGTGAAAAACCATGTAGGATAACCACCAAAATTAATTAGTACCCAAATGTGCCTTTAGTTTGTGTGAATGTAAATTCAGGGAATGATTATGTTGAGGTTGAAGATTGAGGCCACTGGGTAAAGTTGAAGCTTAAAAACAGTGTCAATCTATTTTCAACAATTGAAATTAGTATACTGTATATCACACAGGTTAATAGCCCTTTTTGTATGCACAGATTGGCTAGTTAGGAATTTGATTAGCAAGTACTAGTTACCTCCCAGCAGCTGAAGAGACAAAATTGTGCCTCAACAATTTAATTCCCAACCATTTTTTGGTATATTGACAAAAATAAACTTTCAATCAATGAATAATTGCTAACTAGTCTCTATGGATCAACAGTAATTTTGACTGCTTTTTATTGTCAGTACTAATCTTTCAGTGTAAATCATATTACAACAGGAAAGTAAAAAAAAGAATTGAAAAAATTATACTCACCCAGCAAAATGTGTGTATCAGCTTCACTCATCTTCTGGAGATCTGTTAACACTGCTTTGGCAAATATTTCTGAAGCCTACAACCAACATCACAAAAATTAAACCCAGAGTAGGCTGTATATTTCATGCAACAGGCTATTAACAAATGAGATCGAATGGATTATTTAGGAAAGTTCTTACAAGTTGATACTGACCGAGTATGCAAACTATTTCTGAAGGTGCAATTAAAAAACCCTAAGTTTTGTCAAAAAAGAAAATTTTTGTCTCTAAAACCAAAAATATTAGTTCTGTGATTTTCCCTTCTTTAACCTTCACTCTCAGACTTGTCTTACCCATAGTTAAAATAATCTCTTAATTTTCAAAGGTTTGGGGTAGTTTTATTGATCTTAGCTCTACACAACCAACTTTTTCAAAGCAAAGTATGCTGTCCTCAAGAGAGACCACATATAAATTTTATAGAAGTCTGTTGTTCATTAAAAATGTTTTTTGAACAAACCTATTGGCTAGTTTGTTCTTCTTACACACTGGTATAAAATTAAAAATCAATATCACATGTTGCTCTTTTGCTTTACTGGGGCTATAGACAGACACTTGCCACAAACCTAAAGAGAGTTAATGTACCTGATCTATATCTGGGCCACTGATGGCATATTCCATCCTAATTTCAATGCTCTCTGTGCTGTTTACAGGGTAAAGGCTTCCACCAAACACACAAGGACCAATCAGAACTGGAAAGGGTTTCTGTACAATAAACTGGTAAAAACATACTTTTTAAATAATTTGCATTTAAGAGGGCATTATTATCAGAAAAACTGGATAAAACATGAGAATTCTTGTTCAAAACATAAAATATTACAACATTGCAATCAAGCTAATCCCTCCCTCCATTCCTAGAGATACTCTAATTGAATGACCAACTCAGAATTTATCATTCTCATTCATTCACAAATAGAATGTTAAAAGTGAACACAGCATTTCATTTAGTTAATTAATAACCACCATCAACTTAAAAGGTTCATGTGACCAGTGGTCAGCCCCTCAAATGCAGGCTCAATTTGATTATTGCAGCAACATCCGCTGTTTTAATCACCATTGCCAGGTTTCTGGAATAGGGGCAAATGGTTGGGTTGCAAGGATTTTCTAGCTATGGGGAAAGCATTTTATTTGGGAGCTGGCTTGACTTTAGAAGACCTTAGACACCCCTGCTGCCCACCTTTCATCTAGTCCAAGCAACAAGTTAACATGATTCAAACTCACCAAGTAATCTTCAGAGTCCTCTGTAGAAACATCAGAGTTCATACTTGATAAAAGATAGCCAAACTGACTAAGAAACTCTGTGTTTACAACATGCAATAAAGCTGATAGACCCCAATGAGCTGGACTGTCTTGGGTGCGAGAAATGTAACCTCCTATTGTGAATACTTGACTTCCTAGAGGTATTATTTGGATAATGAATGAACTAAATCAGTCATAATACATTTACAATCAGGCCTCTTTTCTCAGTTGTATGCTGTTAATTCTCTCAAGATAAGGGTGTACTTTCTAGTGACAAGTTCTCTTCAATGAGAAGATTTACCAACTTATCCCTTGAGCAGGAGGGCCATACAGCAAATATTTGACTTAGGGTCATGACACAGGGATCAAGCCCAGCCACTTCTGTACTTCATGATCAACCAAAAGCCAAAAGTTTCAGTTTCCTTTCTGGTCTAGCCTAACCCAGGCATCAGCATTTTATCAAACAACTACCACTCCTTCTCTTTCTACTTCTCTACTTCTTTTAGCTCACATCACATCATGGGGGTTTTTCTCCAGTCATATAAGGGTATTTTTTGTACTTTTTTCCATTTAAGGTAGGTACAGGGCTGTGGCGAGGAGGCATGGTGGCCTCATGGTTAGCGTGCTTGACTCCGGATCGGGTGGTCCAGGTTCAAGCCCTGGCCAGGGTCATTGTGTTGTGTTCTTAGGCAAGACACTTTACTCTCACAGTGCTTCTCTTCACCCAGGTGTACAAATGGGTACCAACAAAAGTGTGCTGGGGGTAACCCTGCAATGGACTAGCATCCCATCCAGGGGGGAGTAGCAATACTCCTAGCCTCTTCATGCTAAGAAAACTGGAGTTAAGCACTGGACCCATGGGCCACTTGGGCCTGTATAAAGGCTTTACTTTAATTTTACAGGGCTGTGGCAAATACATTAAGATACTTAACTGTCTGACAATCATGTTTTATCAAAATTAAAAACAAGAAATATAACATATTAGAGAATTACTAAATGAGGTAAGTACTTTATTTTGGAATTTATACCTATCTTCTCAAGAACTGAAGTGCTATCTTCTCCAAACAACTGAAACCTATGTGAAAGTGATAGAAATTTGAAACATTTTTAGCAAAATGTTACAGTGGATAAGTGAGGGAAAGAGATGAGAAAAGGGAAAAATAAAATATTTCAAAAAAGCCAGTAACACTTTATGAAACAATCTGTACTAAATAATCTCCAATCTCTTAGTTCTAAATCAAGCAAACACATTGTAAAGAGATAACAACCAAAAATCAATGCATGGGAATACCAATGTATGTTTTTCTCAGTTTATACATTATGATAATTTTTTCTACAAGGAGGGGATTTGACTGAAGCTGGTGAAAGTTCTGTATCAAAGTTTCCATAGTCCACTTTTTTGGCTGTTCCTCGAAATATCCTCTTTCACAGATGAAAGAAATAGAAAATGTTATCAACTAAATATGATTCTAAATTCTCAGGAGTAGGTAAAAGGGAAATTTGATGATATGAGCAGGAGGTTAAGGCATTTGGATCTTAGGAGTTAAAACTAAGAGAAATTTAACAATAGAAATGATATAAGTTCATGTACCTCTCTGCACATTGTCTTGCCTGCCAAACCAACTCTGGATAAGGGTTGTACGGTAATTCCTTCCTGTTTATAAGCTGTTTTATCCAGGATTCTAGGACTGCTACAACACCTGTTTCATCGTAGTACTCATTTATTATGACATCTCTTCCTTTTCCACTGGTGGTTGTACTGGACAGAGTTAAAGTACTCCTAAAATAGTTGGAGTCCAAATAATTATTTTGATTATTGTGATCTCAGAAAGCAACAAACATTACATATTGGAGATTGGCTGGTCTATTTTGTAGGTTTCTTTGCTCAGCTTGGTGTTGAAAGCACAAGCAGCCAAAATAAACTCAAATCCCTGTGATATTAGAAGGAACTAATGGGTCAATATCAGTATCTGGGCAACTGCCTACCTACCCCTCCCCTAACTCAACAACAGTCAATTGATAACAAGTTAGGGTTAATGTTTGGTTAGGGGAGGGGTAGGTGGGCAGTTGCCCAGATACTGATATTGAGCTGAACTAACAAATTACCCTTTGACCTCAGAGAGTGACAAGAATGTAAATTCTCATTAAAATATCACCCCTGAATCACAAATTAAGGTCACAAGAATAAAGGAAATGATCACCAATGAAAGAAGCACTTGATTTCTTAAAAAAATTCTCCTTGTCAGCACCTTAAGAAATCTTAAGAGAGGAGTATGGAGAACATGCATTCTAATCATGTTAAGGTTTAAAGGGTTAAGCAGGCAGTACAATCCCTTGAAACAGTTAGATTTAACTGGATTCTGCATTGAATTCTGATTGTATTACTTAACACTCATTAAATTAAATTGTAACTTTCAGATTTCTATCACAAGATAGTTCATGAGGGTAAAGCAACCTGAGTGCAGGGGTCAGGTAGCAAGTTAAAATTTTACTTCCTGTTGATGATTTAAAGTTAAATTGAAATAAACATAAGCATAAAATATTGATAATTCTCCATCATTTTCATCAATAGAAATATGCCTCTCTCTCTGTCTCTATGGTCGTTCAAGTATTGAGTCTTGTGAGTCTTGAGATCTTCCATAAACCTTCTCCACCCAGCCATTTTTTCTTTTTTCTTTTTAGGGACCTTTTTAAGGCTTAAGGTTACCAAATAGTGTCTTTAGAAAAAGCAAAGGTTGGAGTCCTGTACATAATAAAGTGACCTTAATACTCTGTATAGTTTTAGCCCTACACTGTTCATGTAGAACATATCACTTTCACCTTGAGGCTAACTAGAGCACCTCCAAGCCGATTGAGAGATTAAAAAAGAAACTTCTATGTAACTCTGTTAAAAGTATACCTGGATAGTGAGCTCCATCTAGTTGATGCAGTCCCGGGAACATCAAACATGGGTGTATAATGTCCACCATTTTCACTTCCTTGTACAGAAAGTTCATCATCGTCCTAAAAAAGCACGAAACAAAAGGCAACTTTCCTTCTTCAGAGACATGCTATAGTAAATGTCCTTACCAAGAGTGTATACATGGTCTTTGGGTCTAAGTATTCAGTTAAAACCAAAGCTTTGCTATGCGGTAACCTTCATTACACTTATTTCCGCGAAAATTCCTTGTTGTGTTTAAATTAAAAAAAGAAATGAAAATTTAAAGTTCCTCACTCTGTTTCTGTCGCGGCCATTAAATCCTTTGAGGCCATTAACTTCTTGAGGATCTTGTAGTTGTGAGGATCCTTTGTTCTTACAAAGATCTTTGAGGCTTTTGTCCATCCTCAAAGATCCGTTTCTGTTACTTGTCCACCATTTTCACTTCCTTGTACAGAAAGTTCATCATCCCTAAAACCAAACTACGTAGTTGCTTGTTCGCTGTCCACGTTTCTACTTCCCCTACTACGACTAAAGCTAGATTTCCCACTTTCCATATTTTCTCAAACTCAGAGACGTAATTCTTTGCATTTTGGGAGGTTTCTTAGTTGTTGTTTACAACTGTACGAATTTCCATAAACACAAAAAAAACATAGCTGATCGGAGTCGAGGAGGAAAGAGCAGTCTGGATGCTAGCCTCCAGTCTCTTTCTCGAATTCTAAGAAAGTCACGCAATCTTGAGTGCTGTGGATATTACCTGTAGTGCCCTACGGAATCTGGACCATAATCATTTATTGGTTTAATTTTATCCATTTTCTTAAGTATTATCATAGAAGTATGACAAAGACAGTTGCCGTTATTGGTGCCGGTCCGGCTGGCTTAGCCGCGATCAAGAGTTGTTTAGAAGTCGGTCTTGAACCGACTGCGTTCGAAACTGATCCTTGGCTGGGAGGTGCTTGGAAATACACAGACTTGACTGAAGAAAAACGTAGAAGAAGCTGTGTGGCCTACTCCACTGTAACCAATACTAGTAAGCACGTTAGCTGTTACAGTGACTTTCCTATGCCTAAAGAATGGCCCAATTTCCTTCCTCAGCAGAATTACCTCGAATACTTTCAAATGTACGCAAGAGAGTTTGACTTGGAAGAGAGGATTCGTTTTGAGGCTGATGTTCTCTCTATAGAGCCAACGTCAGATTCCAAAGCGGATCAAAATGCTCGCTGGAGAGTTCGCTATCAGGATTTGAAGCAGAACTGTGATCAGGTCGAGGAGTTCGATTTTGTGATGGTTTGTTCTGGAATCAATAAGGAACCTCGTATCGCTGACATTCCAGGGTTGGATGGATTTTGTGGTGACGTCATCCACAGCAAGGAATACAGAACTTGGAAAAACTTTGAAGGGAAACGTGTGATTGTAGTTGGCATGGGAAATTCGGCAGGTAAATAGTGCTTTTAAGATGCATTACATGTCATAAAATGGCTGACTGTCTACCTGCATGGCATGTAGATTGCTTGAGGTCATGATGGATGATTTGCTGAACATTCAGACAGGTGCAGTCCAAGGCAAAGAGGGTGAACCATTAGATCCCTAAAAGTACCATATGTTAATTCCGTACTGATTTCCATACCTGAATTTGTTAAGACCAGACCCCTTCATTCTTCTCCTGTTTAATTATGGTGTCTCTGGAACCCCTCAAACTCCAATGCAGGAAGTACTCCTGCCATCTCCTGCTTGTTTCGACTGATTCTCTCACAATTGGCCAACTGACCTGTTAGACTGACAACCTTGACTAATGAGACTGATGGATGAAGAAATCAAATTCTAATTTATTGCAAGGCAGCTCTTAATCTGTCATTTCTCCTCTTGCTTTCAGGAGATATTGCCTGTGAATTAAGTCATCATACACAACAGGTATATCTGAGCACGCGAAGTGGTGGTTGGGTTGTTTCTCGTTTGCTAGGTGGGGATGGTCCTGGAGATACCAAGTTCCTGACAAGATTGGTAGATTCAATTCCATCATCCATCCGTGCACAGGTGTTTCACCACAAACTCAAGAAAGGTTTTAATTTAGTCAACTTTGGCTTAGAAACAGCTCATCCACCAGACAAAAGATCCCCTTTAGTAAATGACGAACTACCACATTGTATAATCACTGGCTCAATTCAAGTCAAAGCAGAAATTGCAAAGATAAAAGGGAAAAATGTAGTATTCACAGATGGCTCAAAAGTTGAAGACATCGATGTGATCATTCTGGGCACTGGATATAAGTTTCATTTTCCATTTCTCTCTGACTCACTTCTTTGCCCAAAAGACAGGTACATTCCCATGTACCGATATGTATTCCCACCATTTTGTAATCCAGGTACCATTGCCATCATTGGAGCAGTACGTGTAAATGGGCCTGTCCCACCCATAGCTGAGATGCAATCCCGTTGGGCAGTAAGTGTTTTTGTTGGTAAAAGTAAACTTCCTGATTGTCAAACTATGGTGGAAGAAATTGAAAGGAGACAACAATTGTTAGAGGCCTCCACGATAGAGTGTTGTCGAGCTTTTCATTTGGTAAGAAATGAGTACCTCCTTTCCAGGAATACCCACTTAGGTGTAACATTATTGGTAAAAACTGTGTTTGAATGCCTAGCACACTAAGACCTAGATATTGCATTAAGTACAGTGTTGTGTTACATTCTTAACTAAAATTTGACTCGATTACTTGCCTTGTAATAATATTTAGATGAAGTTGAGAGAGGTTTGCCATGTCTCATACAGTCCTTTCTTTAAATTATGATCATGGACATCTCTGAATACTTAAAAACTATATGCCAAAGTAGAGGAGGCTAGGTGGATAAATATGATTGGTAGCCACCAAAACTTATGGGCTTAATACTTGTTTTAGTATGTACCGGTACTAGTCTACTAAAATGGTGAGATAACATAGAACAAAAAGATGATTTTAATGCATTTCTACCTGCAACAATTGCAATATTTTCAGACACAAATCCTGTGTGGGTTGCTTGGAGATGAACAGCAAAGGATACTCAGAGTTTGAGTAGCCAATCAGAAAGGGCCAACGCTATCCAGTGTTTTAGTATGTACTAATAAATTTTATTTCACAGTAAAATCACAATCTGTTGAATTTTTGAAACCATTGGTATATAGCCATCTCTCAAAAATGTGATTTGTTATGCCAAATGACTGATCAGTGGAAATTTTGACATAATTTAACCCAGTGAAGAGGTGGAATTGGGTGTCAGTGGATGTAGGAAGTTAGAGGCAAGGAGTGAGATAAAGGATGTGGGAGTTCTGTCTTTGCTAAAAGGTTGAAACAAAGGGACTGAAAGTAGTCTCAGGCAATTTTTTAAAATCAATTGAAAGTAGAGTTCTAATTATTACTTTATGCCAAATCACAGGTCAACTTTATCAGGTATTGTGATGAAATGTCATCTCTAATTGGAGCAAAACCAAATCTATGGCACCTCCTCATGACAGATCCAGTTCTTGCCTTCAGGTGCTTTTTTGGCCCATGTATACCAGCTCAGTACAGACTAGTTGGTCCTGGAGCCTGGCCAGCAGCCAGGGACATCATAATGGGGGTGCAAGAGAGCAAGCTATGCCCACTAAGGACCAGGAAAACAGGCCCAAAGGAAGGGAAAGATAAGAATTCAACTCTATCATGGTTATTTTGCCTGCTCATTTTATTAATCCTGTTTTTATTGACAAGTACATTCTGAGATTTCAAGCAATAGGTGAGGTGTAACTTTGGTAGTGTGCAGGAGCACATGTATCTGCAATTATCTTTTTTTCTCCACCAGTGTGTGGTTATGCGAGTCAACCTTAAGCGCTAGTTCTCAAGGTTGGTTTATAATTTTTAATGAGAAGAAAAAAATTAGTTCCTCAAGAAAGAAATCCTCAAAAGCTCCTCAAAAGAAAAAGCTCCTCAAGTTTGTGGACATTGTTCTTTCAGGCAGGAAGATGAACAAAAAAGAAATGACCCTGCATTTGCAGATTCATACTTTAGCAGTTATCATAGAGATATGAAAAAGATGACAATTAAAATTTGATGATAATAGAGCTTTATAAGTAATGATAATAAATTAACAATAACTGCCAAAATTCTGGGGCCATTGTTACTAGATGCAGTGAAACAGATGACAGTGAAAATGACATGTGAAGTTGTTATTGTTGGTGAACTACTTTGTCAGCCAAAAGATGTAAATCAAGTGGTCTGGAAAATGAGATGACATACTAGGGAGGGAGTTAATTGAATTACAATTTTGCACTTGTCAACATTAGTCTCCACTTTTTAAGAACCCACCAACCCCTTAACCCCTGTGAGAAATCAGCATCTAATTTCTCCTTACAACATCTCTCTTAGCTCACATGTTAAGGACATGAGAATAAAGGAAATGATCACCAACTTAAGACTCTCTTGATTGTGAAACAAATTCTCCCTGCCTGCACCATTGAAAATGTAAAGGGAACAGTATAGAGAATACACATACTGATGGTAGAGTGTAAGTAGTCATTACCAAGTAATTTAATCAATTCTCCATTGTCAAATTCTTCAAGGGGCTTCTGAAGAGAGTCTGCCTCAGGAAAGCAAATTTCCCGTATTGCTTAGGAAAAAAAAGGGGAGTTCTGTCTAATTGTTGAGCAGATAGTATTTGTGTAGTCATAACGAAATCTTAATTTTGATATCTTTCATATGACAAAACTGAGAAGGTACTAGATCAAGGTTTTTTTGTTTTTGTTTTTTGGGTGAAGGAACCTAAAAATTACTGGGTTTGGAAATGATCTTTCTCAGAAATTTGAAAATCAACTATATAAGAAATATTTAGATCTGAACTCCAGAGTTGATAATTTTACTATAAGCAGAAATTTTTAATTTAATTTTTAATTTTTAATTCTAATTTTTAATTTTTAACTGTATTTTTACTTTGTATTTTTGCTATTTGAATTTGAAGTTTTAGTGGACCACAATGAGAACTACTGGTTTTACCGGTAATTGTGTTATCCAATAAAGTCATTATTATTATTATTATTATTATTATAAAACAACTAAGTCATTTCCATTAATATGAATTAGGTAGAGTGAAGAAAAGTTTGTATCCTGAGAATAAATTGAGAAACTGCCATTTCATTGGCAAATGTTTAAAAAGAAAAGAGAGACAACATAGTTGACTTCGTATGTAAATATCATTTTATTTTCTATGACTGGGTCTTACAATATAATGTTTAATGTATTTATTACAATAAAAATGTCTATTAAATGCTTATGAAATAGGGTCTGAAAATAAAAATATAGCGAAGTCTACCAATCTACCAGAAATTATCAGAAAATATGCATTGTTAGTCTGTCTAATAAATTATTTACATGGTCTGACAGACTTTGTTGGTTTCATATGTTATGAGCAGATGCAACAGAGGCAATAACATTAGAGTTCTGGTCTGTTCACAAATAGCATCTTGATAATGATAATAACATTATTTATTATTATCTACATTCCCTATCTACAAAAATTTGCTGTACTTTTACTCTACAGTGACAACAATGAAGTATTGCTTCTGTTTCATTCAAAATTAGTGGTTTGTTTCACAAAACCTATCACTGCAGAAGAGAATACCATAGTTGTGCATCTCTCTGTTTTTAATGGATATAAGTCTACATAAGATCAAGTGGTGTTTTTTTTAAATTAATTTTAATTAAGAGTCATGAAGTGTAATACTCAAACTTGTCTACCTGTCATGACTTCAGTCAAATTTCACCCAATTCAATTTTTGATGCATAGTGAACACAACTCCTTAAATATTTTAGTTGGCCATCCTGCATTGCTTCTAAGACCCTTCCATTCCAAGGAGTGACCACAAATGAATTTCTCCCTAGAGTATCAATGGAATTCAAGCAGAAAGGTGATGAAAAAACAAATAAATTTTTGAGAAAGTGTGGAGAATTGAAATTTAAATCTTGGCAATAAGAGGGTTTAATAATATTGAGCATGACAAAGGAGTTGTAACTGAAACACTGACCTTGTTTTACCCAAAACATGACTACTTAAACAGAATTTGTCATGCAGTAGTCCATTGATGCATTTAAGGAAAAGACAAATTTCTGAAAACTCCCCATGCTTCCAATTAATTTACCTCATCTGCCTTCTAAAATTTGATATTCTTATTGTTCCATCAGTGTGCAATGTTAATTTGTTAAGAGAAAATACAATATGGAGAAAAAGTCAAAAAGTTTAGCCGTTGGAGTAGCCAACTACATCTTACTATCTTCAGTTCTGACCTGGCTCAGAGGAAATCCTTACACTTTTGTAAAATTTACAATGCAGTTGCCTGACCTTCCTAAAAATCTGTGATTGGATTGGGCAAGATATGTTGGAAGATCAAATTAACCAAATCCAGAGTAACTTAAAAGTTCTGGTAGAAGAATAATAAGCATTTTGTTTTGATCATCAATTTTCTTCAAAAAATAAAAAGGCGAACTGTTCAATTTGCTCCCATTGTTAGGAATCTACTACAGAAATTTTTGACAAGGAATCCTCAAAGCCGGGTAAGAAAAATGTTCAATACAGACAACCTTCTCTCAAACTGTTAAAGGGAATAACTATTACACTTGGGTTCCCCCATCAATTTTGAAAAATGATCGCAATCTTTCCAACGCTGAACTACTAAAGGTTTTCTATCATATATCTCACTTCCACATTATTATGGGGGGTTAGGGTTTCTTGATTTAGCTCTAAGTAGCTTAAGAATTACTGCAACATAAAGTCATTAAAATACAACAGTGTTTACCGGAAATTTAAGAACACGCCAATAAGAAAAATCAGGAGGAGCATGGTAGAAAAATAATTGGCCAAAATATTATTAAACTTACAAATAGGAAATAAGAGCTTAACATAAAAGTGATGTGCGCCAGATGTGAAAGTCTTTCATTGTTTTTCAAAGATAAATGTGTCCAAAACTTTGTACTAATAATAGCTTATAAACGACAGCTACCACACTCTACGGGCATGGATAAATACAATGCTAAATAAATGCCTGGGTGTAGTAAACTGTCTTTCAAATTTGTTTGTAATTCATGATCAAGTCCAGTACCAATCATTCCGTCAAGTCAACAGGAACACCAACTCACTTGCAGGTTCACTTTATTGTACAGCCAAATGAACATGACAAGTCATCTGTCTTCTATTTCAAAATACCTTTCAATTCTATTCTAGAATGCTCCTGGTTCAAGGAAAACGTTCTTCTTGTAATGAGTTGGTGAAGACTTCTTACAAATGTGACAACAAAAAAGGTACTATTCAAAATAATATGAAAATCAAAGTGCTACAGTGAGAATTTAACCTAAAATTGTTTTACAAAACTAATTTTGACTGCACCATGACTTAATTTTAAACTAATTTTAGGATAAATATCTGTTCATAGTCATTTTCTTATTTCTGGATTAATGATTTACAACCAAATACCACCTCTTATTAAATTCTCTGTCCAAGTGATATAAAATTCCTGCAATGTAAAATACACTCAGACCCTTTTCTAGCTTATGCTGCCATTAGGCACATTTATGAATTCAAAAGGAAAAAAAAAGTGCTTGATGAACACTCAGAAATACACCAGACTTACTTTTAGCAGAGTCATACTCAAATAAATACATGCACACTTTCTCACACCAATTTCCATTTCCCTACAACTTAGTTGCCAGAAATAAAAGTTGTATCAGAGCAACTTCCTGTTACTGATTCATTTGTCAATTCTCATCACCTTTTGCTTTGTAATGTGAAGATACTGAGAGGAGAATTTACAAGTAAATCGTGTCTAGAAGTTGATGGGTTAATTATCAGAAAAATGACAAATTTAAGAAGCACTATGATTACTAAACTGTTGCTACAAAATGCAATGAACAATGGAAGCATTCTCGTTATGGATGAAATAAATATAAAACCAAATTAATAACTTGTATTAAATTAATAACTTGTCATTGAAAGCCTGACAAGAATATTTAAGAAATTGATTCCAAACTCCAATGTATTGTCAACCAAGTTGTCACATTCTCATCTGTCCTTGCTTCTGTATAATTTTTGAATTGACTATATTTTAGGTTTCTTTCTACCTGAATAATGGAATTATTTTCCTTCTTGTGTGTGTGTGTTTGTGTGTGTGTGTGTGGGGGGGGGGGAGGGGGGGTAACAATTGCCGCCCATACTTTCACGTGTCTTGTGATGATCAACAGTGCCACTTAAATATCTCATATACAACTACCTTTACTGTGGAAATTGGAGCTTCCTGAGAATAGAATATAACAAGTGCTAAGAAATGCCTCCTCTCATTGGCTGATGAAAGTATCTACAAAAAATTGAAATTATTGTACTTCATAGTTAATAAATTCAAACCTTCATGTCTGGCGAGTAGTTCTTTATAAACTGAATGCGACGACATATTTAGTGAACAAATAAAATGCAGTCATTATCATGAAACAATCCAGTCCTTCGGAGGGTTATTCACTGTTTCATTAAATTATTCCATTAAAATTATCATTCATAGAAAACTGAGAAACAATAATATATTTTCTTGACCAACACTGGGAAAAAAAATACAGTGACAGCAAAGATTTCTACTCTTAAAGAGACTTGAAAATGTTACACTGTTATTTAAATCCATCTTATAAAATAAACCTAATACACAGTGGATACAGAGAGCTTGGCTCTAAACAAATTAAGAAGACTGGTTTTCCAATAGGAGAGTGAGCGTCTCATGAAGTTGGCATAGCATATACAAATGAACTGGTAAACATGAGCGTCTGTCTCGGTTAACAGGGTCCACAGTTAACCATGACAGAGCATCATAGGTCTGTAGGATTGACCTGAAAATGCAAAAAAACAAACAAGCAAATTATTTTTGAAAGTGTTAACGAATTAAAGGTACCTGTGGCTAAGTGGCAATTGTTGTGATTGTTGCATTCAACTGCTTGAAAGAGCAATGCAGCAACCATTTGGTTGTCATGGCAAGTCGCACATTTTCAGTGGCCTAATATTCATCAAAACTGGCCAAATTGGTGACCTGTGCTTGATAGTTAGGTAGTAAGCTGTGGTATTTTCATTTGTTAAATGTTTAAGGCTAAGACTCACAGTGAAATAAACATTTTCATAGTATATTCTCTACTGTTGCCTCTTTTTCCTAAGTTGTGCAAGTGTTTAGTCTTGAGATGTCAAATCAAGATTCAAAAAACCATTGCCCCATAATGTTGACAAAAGTTTAACTGTTGACAGCCATTTTCATATTTTTTGTCCCAAGGACAACTTTGAAAATCCTTGAGTTTGTAGCACTGGAGGGTGATGTGAAATTTCTACACTACTCACATTGTGTGGTGAAGCAAAACCAATGCAATCCTTTATAACTTGTGACACACAGTGCATCATACAATATTAGTCAAAACAGTAAAACAGCAGTACCAACCTTAACACATGACAGTGTGACTTTGTGGCAAGGGGATGCCATGCAGTGACAAAACCATTCATTCCCTCCATCAAGTCTGGGTTATGTATATGAAGAGAGGCCTAAAACATACAAGGGAGCCAGCATTACAGGACGTCATCAAGAAATTTTACCTGGTAAACTTATTTTAGAAGCTACATGACGTTATAAATTCAAGCATTCCAAAAGTTTGAAGAAAAAGTTCAGACATGGTTTGATGCCACTCTGGTTTACAGATTTAATGAATGTAACCAAAGAAGTTACCATTCATAGACCCAACAATTTGACACTCCTGTCTAGTGCCCTCATCAGGGGTGATCTAAACGCTGTAACAAGAAGTCCTTTTATACAATCATTAATTAGCTGCCTTTTTTCTGACGAGGTGTAAATAGGTGTCAGGAAGTAAGCCGCCATCATCACAATTTAAAGGAGTGTGGGTGGAGTTAATATGCCAAGCTTCCACACAAAAGTGATGGTGGTAACGCTGATTAGTGGTGATAATTTCAGATTTACCTCACCCAATTGTATGGTTAGTTAGGCATGTGTGCTCCGATAAAGCTGAATTTTCATTTTTGCAAAAGAAAACCGCTTTGCGAACCCAGCTATGGCTCTAATAAAGGCTTTAAAAATAGCATGTCAAATCACATTACCTTCAGAATAACAGGATCACAAGTTTCAGAGTGTGATGAACTTGCCCAAAATGTTCCTGGCATCTTGCCAGTTTGCACAGTTGAAATAATGTAACCCTGAGCATAAGGGACAGATAGTTTGTCATCTCCATCCTCCTGAACTTCTATTGTAGCCGCATTTGCAGTTGATGGGGATGGAGTAGAGTGTAAGGGCTGAAATGGTGACAGCCTTGAAATTGGTTGGAATGGAGACGATACAGACACTCCAGGGGATGCTGTTAGCGTTGCTGGACGTGTCAAGGGGGATGTCCCCTGAATTGGTGAGGTGTCCAGGGGAGACGGCAGAATACAGCCAGTTGGTGACAGACTAGGTGGTGATGAGTTCAACAATGGAAACAAGTGACGTAAAGGATCCTGATCATTCTCGTCATCATCAACACCAGCCAACAAAATGTCAGTGTCTGTTACAACTGTTTCCGTGGTAGTTTCTGGTAGAGCATGCATTTTAGCACTGGATTGGTTTCCCATGGTGCATTTCAGAGAAGCAACTGGCATTACTGCAATGTATGTTCGTGATACATCTGGTTTGGGAACAGCACCAACCGACACACGTGTACTGCTATTGCCTTCAAACAGGACATTAACTTTTGGTAAGGCTGATAGGAAAGAGAAACAAATGGCTCATAACTTTATCTTATCTGGGTACTACAGGTCAGTGAGTCAATATGCTGTAAAGCACAAAGGTGATAAAAATTGAGAAAATCATCAACTAAGGGATTTAAATCCTGCAGCACATTCTCCACACCAGCTAACAAAGTATTGTTGGATGATCACAATGGAGAACTGGCTCTGAGATCTTGAGAGTAATATGATAAATAGAACTCTCAAACAGTTTTAGATGTGATGTATCCAGAAAATATTGGGAATCACTGTAGGTTCAAGTTGCACTTAGTGTAGTACCTACCTCTTGCCATGTAAAGCCTGATTGAGGGTTCAGGTTCCAATGATGTGAGACTGGTTCCAAGAATTGCAGGGCGATTTTTCTGTTTCAGAGAGAAACAAGCTTTGCAGGTGTCATTAAACTTCTGGTCCCCAGCCATAACAGACGTCTTACTCAGTATTTCCTTCCAGTCTATTCACACACACACACACAAAAAAACAAAACAAAGCAAAAAAAAAAATTCTGTAAGATTCATGCAGTATCACAAGCCTCAACATACTCTGATGTCAACTTTTCTAACCAGTCACAATTTGTGGGCAGGTTCACCCTTATGATTAATATTTTGCTGTTAGCATTGGCATAATTTTTTTAAACCGCAGAGTTGTACAAACAAATATATTAAATCATAAACAAGGAAAGCATGTGTATTAGTCTGATGCAATGAACTATTACTATGTAAACTTTTACTCCCTAACATCAGTGTGCATATTCCTCATACTGTTCTCTACAAGTTTCCTCAGGTGCTAAGAAGGAGAATTTGTTTCACAATAAAGGGCTTCTCTAGATGATGATAATTTAATTTATTCTTGCAACCTTAATATGTGATTCAGGGGTGACATTTTAAGGAGAAATTAGATGCTTGTCACTCTTTGGGGTCAAAAGGCTAACATAACCCAGTCAAATTCCATTGTATAAAATTAACAAGGCTCCTTAAGGATGTTCTCACCCTTCAGTTCTTCAGGTCCAATCCTTCCAAGCTTACTGACCACCAACCTCCACGGCACAAGGGATGTTGCAACAACACCTTGACAGAATTCCCACAACTTGATAAGTGCCTTTGTACGTGCAGGAGTCTTGCGTGGCCTTCCATCAGGTCTCAGGCATTTTTCAACTGTTATGACACATGATTCTATGAGTTCTCCAACACTATCAGTACAGACAGCAAGGAGATAGTTGTCATCATGGGAGAGACAGTAACCACAGTATAACACTGAGGCATTTTGCGCAAGTGCTTGCAAACTTGTTGCATTCTCATCTGCAGAGTCACTGGGTGGCATAGGTATGGGATGGCAGAGGACATATGGTGCAGCATACACTTTTGCATTCTCCATCTGTAACACACAAAAAAAAAAACTGTTGAAGACACAATGTATTATTTTGATTAGAAATAAGGTAAGAAAAAAAAAACGATAAGCTTGCGTGTCAAATAAAGAAAGATAATGCACATTGCTCACAAGCTTGAGGTGGAGAATTAGAGTGTTCAGTGAGGATTTCAAACTCATACTATCTGATGTTGCTGTTCAGAGCTAAACCAGCCATGCAGCAAAAAACATGGTTTTCTTGTAGGGAGGAAAACTATGGAACCTGGAGAAAACCCTCTGAACAAGGAGGAAAATCATCAACAAACAAACAAACTCCACCCAGGTGCAACACCAGGTTTGGGAATTGAACCCAGGTCACAGCAGCAGGTTTGTGCTCACACCACCACCCATCCTTGCTCCTCATTCGACTGCTTACTAAGAAAGGGTACTATGTTGTAATACTACCCTGGGTGAAAACTGAACCTTACCTCTCTCTGACGTAATAGAGCCTCATGCCTTGCAGCAGGCCCAAATCCTGTCAAAGATTTAGCATTTATATTCAACTGCAGGCTCTTCCGGCATCTAGAGAACACAGAGAAGGCCAAGCACTTAAGCTGTGTCACAAATGTCAATGTTGCATCTCGACTGCCATTCAAGGTATCCACCTGGAGAATCTGTTGGATAGGGACAACCTGGGAAAAAAGTTAATAAGTTATAAGTTAATATGACATTTATCAATTAACAAGACAAGAATAATTATAGAATAAAACAAAGAATCTGGTGAGCAAATGAAAATTATACTGATTCCTGCTGCAAAACAACTTGTTAATATCTCCATCACACTCATTCAAGCTCTTTCAAAAACCTGTTGGAGGATTTTCAAAGAATCTTTCCCGGCAACTGGCCCTCTTCTCTGCTCTTACCAAAGTGCAACTATGTGCCAAAAGTTTCAGAGGATGTTGCAGCCTTGTTTGCTGCCATCTGGGGCTCAACATGACAAGCTCAACCCAATTATTGATTGCCATATTTCCTAAACTCAGGCTTTTCATTATTTTTGCCACTCAAAATCACTGCCAAAATCAAAGAGTACACCAATCTCGAGTACCTCAGAAACACCTTTTTATTGAAAAGTCTTCCTGGCAGTCTTTCACACACCATCAAAAAACCTGTCTATTTTTTTTGTCACTTCCTTTTTCAACTCACTTTAAAGCTTCAAGTATACCCTATTTAACAACTGAATCCCTTAAGCAGGCTACACCCAATATGGTGTGAACATAGAGATAGAGATATCAATACTGTGGACAATACCTGAAAAACAACATTCTTTTTGTTGGATTCTGTTAGGTCTGGCAAAATGTCAGCAATGCATCGCAATAGCCCCACATATGAAGGAAAACTCTCCTCTCTGGAACTGTTACTGAAGGGGTTGACAATATAAACTACAACAGTGGGTGGGTCCTCACTGTTCTGTTCACTTTCATCTTCTCCAAATGCTGATGGAGCCTGCTCTGAATTTGGAGTGCCAGCACTAAAATAATAAATTAAAACATCAATTGACAAAGATCTAACCTAAACATTTTGACAATTTACATCTTGGATGGACTGGCTCATCCTGAAACTATTCTAAAGAATACTAGGATGACAAATGAGACAAAAAGTATGAACAATTACCTGGCACTACCAGGTTTGGGTGTGCTATCCATGCCAACATCTGATCCAAACTTGGAAGGCCCTTTATCATCTGATTTGTCTCCCTTCTCCAACTCCAAAAGATGTCTATCTAGATTTAGTGAAGCCAGATATGGTCCTGGTAGGAAGAAGGAGATAAAAAAATTCATACCTGTAACTTCTAAATATCTCAAATTCTATTCAATAGGATCATGAGCTCACACTTTCTCTCACACCAGAGTTGATGAGGATGAGGCCCCCATCAAATGTCACACATGGAAATTGTGAGCAATCTAATTATAGAAATGTACAAACCATCTTAAACCTACATGTATCAACAAGAGAGGTTTATCTTTTCATTTTATCTTGTTTACCACTGCACATTGACGGGCCAAGTGGTCACTTATCAACACAGGATGGATAGAGAACTGTTTTCACTTACCCAGCTGGTGTTTGAAGACTTGGGCATATAGTTTTAGTTTTGCTGCATCAGATGAACAACCTAGTAAGTGAGGAAGGATAACAAGCTATAACAAAAGTGACAAATGATGACACCTTGCACATAAAAAGAACTTCTTTCACGTCCTCCATTACAACTAAATGACAACTTGGACAAATTTTGAGACACCTTCATAAACTTTCTCATTCCTGCATCAGCTCTTACACCAGGGTTTGAGCTAGGATTTGATCACTGGGGGACAATTTGTCCCCTTTAGCAAAAATTTGGGGGGAAATTTTTATTTTTAGGGGAACAGACAAATTAATTTTTATTCAACATTTTTTTTTTAAACATTCATACCGGCAAGCCAACAAAAACATTTTTTTTTACCTGATCCTTGTAATACAAGAAAAGTGATATAAACAAGAAAAGTTAAGTTATTGGTGTCAAAACTTTTTTTTTCTTGTCATATTTAAACAGAGGATCAATGACTATGCTTTATACTTCGAAACATTTCACAGCAGAATCTCATTGCGGCCTCCCCTTAAAAAACTCCTATTTCCCCCTAATTCACTTGCCAAGTTTTTATCAGACAGTTCAATAAGCCAATCACATCCAAAGTTGTAGTTTAAATCAACCAATCACATTCAAAGTCGTAGTTTAGATCAACCAATTGAAACCTTGGTTTCAATCTCCATAGCAACAACTTACGCCTCCTTTGTTAGTCTTTTGATGCCAATTTTCCCTTTCTTTCATAACTTGGCTATTCTCCTTTCCTTGGAAATTGTGATTTTTATGATTAATTTGTAGTAAGACTTCATGTTGTCCAATTTGCTCTGTGATCATACTTGTGATAAATTAATCAGACTCCCCCTGTAATATGTCACTGATATGATTACAGACTGAACTGGACTCCACCCAGTCCTATTACCATTACTTATCAGAGGCTACTGACAAAGTCAATAACATTATGATCACCTTGATGTGAGAACCAATCATCAACAGGTTCTTTTGCAAGTTTAAGTGACTTTTGACCAATCCGTAGTATTCCATCTCTGAGCACCTTGGTAATGGCAACATGTTGACCAAGACGACAAGTCTGAAGAATAGAAAATTAGCCTTGAGCAAAAATGAAAAATGACATTATAATACAAAGAGTCATCAAAAATAAACCCATGAAAATTTTTTCAAAGCACAACTGAGGCTAAAATCTGATGTACACCCCCACAACCAATTAATACTCCACGTTCCTCATCTTTCAAAGTTGAAAGTTCTAGCTGTTTTGTACCTCAAATTTCAGAATATCATCCAGTCTCAATATGGGGAAAACACTGAACGGCAGACCTAATACTCAAAGTCCAAACAATTTGCAAAGTCAGAGCACCAAAGGCTAAGTGCATTAAAGGAAGCAACAAACCAGTGCAGGGGTCTCAGTCACCTCTACTTTCTACCAAACAGCATGTGAAATGATTACGTGAAGGGAGAGAAGGAGGGAGAAAGGGAGGGAGAGGAAAGAGGAGAAAGGTAGGTAGGAAGGGAAATGATGCACAGGGGGCTCAAAAGCATATGGCAATGCCCCACAAACTTTCCACAGGCCCTCCCTACATCTTATAGGTGAATTGGCTGCATTTGCTTCATTGAACCTTGCCTAAATTAGACTTTAATTGTGTAGCCTCATTAAAACAATAAAAACAAAAGGGTCTCTTTACCTCATACACTGCACTGAATTCCTTAAAGAACAACTTCACATTATTCAACACTAACTCGTTCTCTGGTGCTACAACAATGTATGCAACATCACGTTGACATGAGTAAGGTTCAAGCAAGAGCTTCTCCTGCAAAGTGGAATAAAAAAAAAAAAAAACAAGTTAAAAAGCCACATACAGACATCTAAGCCCAATGTACTTAGGCAAACAGTTACACCACAGTATCTCCAAAATATAAATTTTAACTCACCCAAAAATGTAATGCAATAGGAGAAAGGGACATCCAGTCTCCTCCATAGCCTACTGTCACTGATGGAATTGGCTGAGCATGTGGTGTTTCCTCATTACCTAATTGAGTAGAGAGGAAGTACATTTGAATTTTAAAAGATTCTCACTATTAAGAGTACATGGTTTCAATTGATAGTTTACTCTGGAACCACTCATTTAAGCCTCTGCCTTTATCAGAACAGTAAAAATTGCAACAAGACAAAACAGACCTTTAGTTGCCAGATGATGAAGTTGTTTCCAAGACAAAGGTCCCTGAACCACTGTTCCATTGGGCTGCTCCCAAGTTTTTCTGCTTGTTGATTTTTGCAGAGCATCCTGCATTAGTTGACGAAGGAAGTTGAGCGCACCAACTGCAGTTGGATGAGGAACTTTCTGTGGTATACCATTCTCTGCACCTAAAGTAAAAAATAATTTGAGAGAACTCAAAGTCAGAGGGTTTCATGAGTAAAGAGCCAAAATACTGCAATCACACTTTTTCAATAGATTAATAATCATTGATCCAGAGGTTAAGCATTTATGTGTGTGTGTATGTATTTATAGGTATATTCAATTGACCACTCCCCAATGGAGCTTTTCAGTTTAAATACAAATGAGTAAGTGAATGAATATAGTGTTTAAAAATCCCAAATGGCAGGAGGTAGACCAGTTGGCTATATGATATTTTAAGGGCAGCCAAGGAGTTGGGTTTGTGATAACTGAAAAAAAAAAAAAAAAATTTAGCAAGTAGCAGGGAGGAGGGCTTGAAACCAGGACCACTAGATTATAAGCCCAGGGCCTTAACCACTAGTCCATACTACCTCAAAAACACGACAAATTTAAAGGATTACCCTAATAATCATTCTAGTTCAGAACAGAAGCTTCAATAAGGTAAAGTCAATAGTGGCCTGGCGTGGCTTTAAGATTAGCCTAACCAGGTTTTTCACTGCCATCTGTTAGGATTTTAGATGGTAGATAGATGGCAGATATGTTTATTGAATTGCGTGTACACAAATAATTTTAGATAAAATTAATAAATATATAAATTGAATAATATTGAAAATGTGAATTACAAAATTGTATTTAATCTATGTAATCTAAATGTGTGTTATAAAAAAGGGCATTATATCTCTAAGTCTACTGGAAAATATAGTTCATAATTTATATATATCCAATAACTAATAATTACTACTAGATTTTCTGAGCCACATTTATATTACAGTCACAGCCAAGGATTTCACCATCAGTAGACACTAGTGGACAAACTTATGAAACCCCTGTCAGTGGCCAGTTCTTCAGCAAAAGCTTGCCTTTGTAATCAGATGAAGAAACAGAGTAAATTTTTTTGTTTTCCTACATTTATTTTGTGGCCTGGCTCACCAACAGGTTCTTTGTGGCTCAGATTTTTGCTATGTGCCATACTCATGAAAACAAGTAACATGTTACCAAACTCACCTTTATTTTGTGACCATGCACCTGAGACATGTTTGACAATTCCATGATGACCTTTAAACATGAGTTGTAACTTCAAGTTGTAACAAGAAAAAGGCGAAGAACACTGACTCACAATCTCCTCTAGCAAACAAAATGGTACTTGTGAGGAAACAGCAGTAGCTGAAGCCCGTCTCCTCACACAGTGTGACACTGAACCTTCCTTTTTCACTTCAACTGCAGATTGTGGAACATTATTAACCTTTTTCAGAGTTTTCACATTTTCAGCGGAGGTTGAGTGGATATCATCAGGAAATAGACCTGTGCCAGCAGTGAATTTTACTGCCTCAAGAGCACCAAAGCCACAGACGCAGTAATCAGAGTCTCTACCTTTGTTCCCTTTGGCTTGCACACCCTCTGAGGATGTCAAACACGAACAGAGACTTACACTGTCATAGCATTTGTCACTAAAGTAGTTTGCGCACGAGTCTGACAAGTTCAAAACCTTTGATAAAGAATTTGCTTCTGGCAGAGGTGTTTGAAATATGGGTTTCACCACAAGGCTACTTCCATGAAAAGTCTTTGGAAATTGCATCGGCATAGAAAATGATGACACTGATGATGCTGGAGAAGCTGGAGACATTGCTGCAGAGGTCAAGTGTTTGACATCACTGTTAACACTTGCAGGATGGGTGTTTGTGAATCCAACTGCTGGTGAGGGAGCACCAATGGTTATATCACAACTTAACACCTCGGTAGCACTGAAAAAAATGGAAATCAAAAGTCAAACTTGCTAATCATTGTAAATCTGGCTAAATTTCAAACAAAACTTCAAATGGGTAACTCATGCAAGAACTCCACATCCTTAACCCAGAGGTAATGGAGAGTGAATAATAGTAAAACTGGAGATAAACAAGATGTTTTAGAGCTTTCCAATGTAAATAATTCAGCCACAAATACTTTCACAGCAAGAAGTTATGTTTATCACACATTTGAACCCAAGATGCCTACAGCAGTAATTATCAAATATGGGAAAAGATCTGCAGACAAGGAAGACATTTTCCCAGTTTATAGTGTTTCAGAATCTACATGTAACAGCTTCACTGTTCTAGCAGCAATAAAACTGACATGAATCACATCGAACAGGAAATATATTACTAACCTCTCCACTTTGGTTTCTGACGATGTCCAATTCCTCTGGGATGCCTGCTGCAAATAAACATGATGAAACATGATGAGCAATCAAAAATTCATACATAGAAGTGGTTACACAGTAGACAAAGGCCCAAAAGACCAACTATTATTGTTACTTTCCAGATGCTATCAAATTTCACCTCTTTGTATAGAGGGTATAAGGTATTACCAAATTAATCACCTATCAAAACTCAACATCTATTTGTGGTTTAAATTTTGTTATCTACCCAGTATGAAAAAACCAACCAAACAAACAAACAAACAAACTTTTGTGATAGCAAGGCTGTGCTCTAAGGAAAATTTAATCACCTTCGGGCTCCAAAAACTGGGTGCCCAGGCCTAAAAGATGGTCGCCCAAATCAAAATTTGGGGAGCCATCCAAACATTTTAGCTGAGGTGCCCGGGCCTCCTAGTTGGTCGCCCAAATTAATAAATCAGTCAGTTAATTATTAAAAATGCGTGATACGTAATAACTTGTCACGACACCAAGGACAATGCGGGACTTATAGAGTTTATACCCGTTTCTAAAACAATCACAAAAAAAACGTATCTTTTTTTTTTTTATACATCGTGTTTTACTGGAAAAACAATCTTAAGTTATGTTTTGCCTCGCAGACACGGCAGTAAAAAGCCGGCTAAAATATTAAATTAGCATAGAAGAGCGACTCCCGTGTTTATTCAGCGATTTATTAATCACCGACCGTACTTTACGCCTATCAGAGCAGAAGTAACAACTTCTTTTGAAAAACTAGCTGATGAGCCATCCCAATTTAAAAGGAAAAAATTTTAATGCTATTGGAAAAGCCGTTAAAATCGAAAACTGTGCAGCTAGTCAAGTTCAAAGTCAAGGATTATGCTACATGTGAATTCACGTGGAACGACCTTTGAACATTAACGCGCGCCCGATGGAACAACATTTTCTTTTAAAAGAACGACTCCCGTGTTCATTTAGCGATTTATTAATCGTCGACCGTACTTTACGCCTGTCAGAGCAAAAGTAACAATTGCTTTTCAAAAACTAACTAACGAGCCATCCTAATTTAAAGGAAAAATTATAATACTATTTGGAAAAGCGGTTAAAATCGAAAACTGTGCAGCTTGTCACGATCAAAGTCGATGATTATGTTGCACGTAAATTCACGTGGAACGACCTTTGAATATCAACGCGCGCCCGATTGAACAACATTTTCTTTTTTTTTTTTGACTGTAAATCAAGAAACCAACACCAGCCAGTCGCCCGGCCGGGCGACCAAGAAAATATTTTCAGTCGCCCGAGGCCAAATGTTAGTCGCCTCAGGCGACCGAGCGCCGTTAGAGCACAGCCTTGGATAGTCTTACATTTTAATGATGACACCATTACCACTGGTAGATAAAGATTACTTCAAACGTCTAAGTAAATATTTTAACTCTTTTAAACTCAAGTTTCATTCTGACTTTGAACTTAACCATTGCCTTAGTCAATTAAGGCCAGTTTTGCTAAATCTAGAAAATGGTCAGAGACAAAACAAAATGTGACAAAGGCTCCAAATGAATACTGAACGAGAGCTATTGCTTGTCTCCTCACCTGCCATGAAGGTGAGTACTGCATCACAGATGGCAGCTCCTGGTAATCAGGCAAACCAACTACAGCTTCAAAGGAGTAGGAGACTGGAAACTCTTGGACTTTTGGGATCTCAAACACTGGGCCAAGTTCCTAAAAAAAGGAAAGTACAGTAAACAACCCTATAAGTAAAGCCTAGATTTTTTTCAAAGCCACACCTAAAAGTCTCTTACATTTTAGTTTCTTACATGAATTTAACTCAGGTTAATTGAGAGTACCATAGGCCCTCTAAAGAGTTCCCTGGGGGTGGGAAGGGGTTAAATAGAGACAATAGGACCTCTCATAGACTCCCTGAGGTGGAGGTTAAATAATGTCCTACAGGGACCCTATAATATGCTCTCTGAGGTTGAAGGGTTTAGCAATTTTGAGAGATTTCTGAGAGGGGCCCTTTCATAAGCTCCCTAGAGGTGGCCATTTAATGATATCTGCAGATTCCACAAAGAAGGGGGCTTATTGGAGAGGGGGAAGAATGCTTATGAAAAAAGCCAAGTCATCACTTTCCTAATACTTGGCCACACTGCTACAAAGTCTAATCCAAGTATGAAAGAAACTGAGGTTCCAAATTCTTTGCTAATTCAGAATATTCAATAAGTACTTCACCCTAATGACTGCCATAAAGTTTCTTATAAATTAGACAGAGGAATTTGGTGTTACAACAATGTACACACATTGTAACACCTTCTTACAGATAAACTTGTCTATTCTCCTTTCCTCTTTGCAGGATAACATATTGGAATTGCAAGGAGAAGTTACAAGTTAATCACTTCTTATAACATTAACCCAATAGTTTGCAAACAGGTAACAAGAGACAAGAAATCCAAAATGCCTCAGCAAGAAGGTGCTTTCCTGATATGACACCAAATTCTTTTGAACAATTGACAACATGAATTATAGCTTGAATGAAAAGAAAAAAAAACATCAGAAAAATTCACAAACCATTGGACTGTGCTGTTTCTCCTTTCAGCATCAACACCAGCAAGATGCATCAGATGTGATTCTGGAGAAAGCACTGTGTTGTGCATGATGGTCTTAACACTTCCCGGGCTGATGTAGTCATTGCCAACAGAACAAGGTGGCGAGTGCGTCACTGTTTCCTGAGAGGGAGGTGTGGGGAACATGCGTGCCAAGTCTTGATTTGTTACTCCAACTGTGCTCATAATAGTATGAGGAGTGTTTATGTTCATGATAGGATCAAAGGGGGCAACCTGATTTGAAACAAAATCTATCTTCATTGCTTTTGATTGCCCAAGTTCATCATCTTCCTCATCTGTGTCAAACAACTGATCAAGGTCATTTACAGTCACAGCAAGATCTTGCTCTGTCATAAGATTGGTTGGTAAGCGGGCAATGGGTTCATGTTCATCATCGGAAGATGAAAAACTAGGAAATGTTCCTTTCTCATTCACAACTGGGCAAGGTTTGATTTCTTCCATCTCTTTTGACAAGCGTTCCTTTTCCTCTTGTTGTTTTTTGCGAGAGCTCTGCCGTCTGTTTTTCACCCGTGAAGGTGGTTTGCTGAGCTCTCCTGGTAGTGGCACTGATGGACTGTCACCACCAGTGGCACTACTTCTCCGCCGAGGCTTATTCGAGGGAGGCTTCACCTGTGTGGGTGATTTCATGGGTGGCTGAATCATTTCCATGTCCAGTTCCTCAGGTTGAGGAGTAAATGGATCAGAAAGAGGAGTGGTTGCTGGAGATGGTTGGGAGCTGTTCCTCCGCCCCTTTAGTCGACCCCCTCCTCCTGTGCTATCTGACCTGGATCTGCTTGTGGAAGATTCCCTTCTTCTTTTAGCAGGTGAAGGTATGCACTCAATCCCTCCATCAATTGAAGGTCTCTTACTGCTAAAAATGAAGATCAAATACTCCTTTGATATAAAACAAAAAAACAATTGAACGCTAAAACTCACATAACTATGGTTTTAAATTGGTAACTCCTTTCACAAGCTAATAAAACCCTCTGTATCCTGTTTCTAAACTACTGGAGTGAAGTTAATGAATGGTATTTTAAGAGAATGTCAAGGGCCTGTTGCCAAATAAGTATATAAAATATTTCCTACCATTTTGAATAACTGAAGCCTGAAAAGTTACTACTTTCAGGCAGTCTACCTTTATGGGCCATTAAGGGATATTGGCCCCTAGCCCCTTTAGGTTTCCTCTGGGAGATTATTTTACCATGTGAGACACCAGAGGCCTGGAAATATTGCCAGAGTCTGGCCTGTCCCTCTACACTTTTCTTTCACTCTGCCCTTCACATACCTTTCCCACAAAGTTGTCTCCAATGGACTTGGTGTTGGAACATCTTTTGATACCATCAGATCACCTAATGGTCGACAGTCAAGAGGATCACTTGGCAGTAGAGGGACAGTGAAACCAACTTCTGAAGGCAAAGCATAGCACTTCTTCACAGTATCTTCTGATGCAGTACTATCTTTGTTACCTACAAAATCTTCAAAATTGTTTGATTCTACCTTCACTGTCATTTCTGCTTGGTTATTGGCAATAGCCTTTGAGGATAATATTGAAGGGTTTACTTTCAGAAGTGAAGTTGGAGGTTGTAAGCATTTATCCTCAGTCTTCGCACTTATCGCATGACCTTTGGGTCCTGATATTCCACTTGTGTTCACAAGAGGTGTTGATTGATATTTCCTTGAGTTCTGTGGAAAAGCAACTTCCAGATGACGTTTTTGAGTGACACTTGTCGATACATTTGACGTAGGTAAGCCTTTGGTCATTGCTCCAACATGACTTTTCAGAGCTTCGGGTCTCTCTTTATCAAGACTCTGACGATGATGAAAGGGCACCAATGGTTTCTTCTTTTCTTTCTTCAACTTTGTATTCCCCTGATTTTGTTGTGTGGATTGCAGTTGTTGTTGTTGCTGAGGCGAAGGTAGTGGATAGCTAGGGGATGGTGTTGGTCTGCTTATGCCAAATGATGACCGGACTTGAGCTGGCGCCTTTGGTCTGACATCAAAAAGTAAAATAGAATCATATCATTGTTGCTTCGTAAGGATTGGGTGTAGGGTCCAAATTGCCCAGAGGCAACTTGACCCTTTTCCCTTTAGGTCTCCAGAGAGAGCAAAATATGGAAGCTAAAAAGTTTGATTTGTTACATTTTTGGCTTTTTGCTTAACCTTTTAAACCTAAGAGTGTGACCAGCATCTAATTTCTCCTCACAGTAAAACTGCCGAATCACTTATAAAGATCATGAGAATAAAGGAAATGATTGCCAAACTGGGAGGCTTTGATTGGTAAACAAATTCTCCTTGTCAGACACAAAGGAAATGTAAAGAGAAGAGTATCGAGAATATTGATGTACCAATGTTAGGGTGTAAAGGATTATGATGGAAAGATTGCCTTTTTTAATCCAAAATTTTATTGAATTTCTTGGTGCTTCTTCCAAATGCTAAACTTCCAAATATTTGCTTAGCAACCAAATTGAATGCAAGGAAAGTACTCATTTATTCAAAGGACACACAATATGGCTCCTCAGTTAAAACAATGAAAACAAGGTGGCCACTAGTGGATAATTTTGATGCAGTCATTACAACTGAACTGAAAACTGCTTTGTCTCCATTTATGCAGAAAGATAAATTCATTATTGTAACAATTGACTGCTTACATTGCTTAGCAACTCACCTGCTAATGTTACTACTTGAGGTACAAGAACAGGAAGTGCGCTTGAAAGGCTCCTCGAAATCCCATTGTCCTGTCGGTACAGTAGTATCACCTGAACTGTCTGCCTTCATAAAAGATGGAGTTGATTTTGAAATACTGCTCAGGGAGGTGTTTTTGCTGAGGAGAAAGGACAGTACTTGTCAGTCAGGCAGTAACATCTTATATATATACATATATATAAATATTTTTTTATATCCAACAAATTTAATATAAACCTTATCCCTGTAATCGAGGTAAAACATGCAGGAGTGTTGCAGCTGTGCATTACACTACCCAGCTGGGTTCCCACACAGAAAATGTATATTTCAAACATCAGTAGAGGTATTTTCTAGAAAGCATCACATACTTTGCTGCAGGTTTGGTGACTGTGATCTCTTGCCAAACTTCTTGTACCAAGGAATGTGTCAGCTTCTTCTTGTCTATGACTCCCCCTGAGGTTAAATTAGGTGCTGGAGGCAGATTTGCAGGACCTGTAACAACATCTGTAGAGTTGGGATCAAGAGGAGATGCTGGAGGGGTTAGTGATGTTGGACCAGAGCAGGTCACTGCACCAGTTTTGGGTGGCACTGACCCATCTGCAGAAGGTTAAAGGTAAAGGGTTAAATGGTTACAAGAATTAGTCCATCAAGATTGCTGAATGTGATTCTGTAACTGTATGCATGTGAAGTAATTATGTTTCCAGTAAAGTACACATACTATCATGGTGCAACAGACAGATCAGTTTCTGAAAAACAGGCTTCAGACAATCTATGAAAATTCATTCCTCTCTAGCCTGCAATACTGACTTTCTCATTGTTGTTGAGGTGTCAGTAACACTTGCCAACAAGTCTTTTTTTTCCTAACTACCCTGGTCTGGACAACCAACAATTACCCCTGAGTTCATTACTTGTGTTATTTTTGTTAAATATTACAAAAAGCATTCACTGGGGCCTCTCATCCACTCATTCCAGGCTAGGCACTTGTTAACTTTTCCAACTAACGGGGTCGGTGCTTACTAGAGGTGCAAGTATGGTGTACTTGCTCACTACAGGTTAGGTGCTTGATCAAATAAAATTAATATGGTTATTATTTATTCACTGCAAAACACTCACCAACTGGTGTATTCTTCTCATATGGCACAACAACATACATGGATGGATACCACATCTGTGTTTCTTCCACAACAACCATCACTGCCACGGGCACACCCTTATCCTGACACAAGCTTGCTGGCTCACTCCAATCAGAACTGTAGTCAAGAGGATAAAACTTCTTCCACTCTTCCACAAGTTTGGCTGACACCATCTCTTCCATGTGGCTTGTTTGCCCAGTAAGAAATCCTGACAATCCATACGGACCCAGTAAAACTGAAGGTAAAGGTACACAGAATAAGCTCTCTGAAACATGTAAAAGGGTTAGGACTAACTAAAGGTCAACCACAAGCAGTCTTCCAGCCACAGCACTCTGAGCTGCCACCATTTTGGTCAACATCAAAACTTGAAAAATTTTTGTTGACCGAATTTGCAGCAAAGGTTGCCAATTTGGGGCCTGTGTTTGGCAGAAATGAAGAGAGCTAAAATATCTACATGTAGCTTGTGTTAAATAAAACCATTTATGTCAAAGACAACTGACATCCTTTGTTTTCTAAGGAAATTTTTTCCCCTTGGTCAGTCTCAAGATGTTTTTTTTAATTGTTTTGCTAAAACTTCACAAGCAGTACAATTAGTATTCTCCTTATCATGCAATAACCAAGAAAATTTACCCCATGTATGCAGCCTAATACCACCTAAAAGTGCCCAAAATTCTTAGAAATTCAACAGTTGCAAGGATTTACCTGCCAGGTCAAAAATAGCTCTCACCTGTTATGCTAAAATTAAGGAGAACAGTGCACAGTATGCTATATATTTCAAAATCTGTTCCATTCTTTCCCTTTCCCATTCCTTTTCTAAGGATGGGATTTTTTTACAAGAAATTAATTTATCCAATAAACTGTGAGACCATTTCCCTTATCAGTACTTCAGTCCAATATACAACAGTGATTTACAGTTCTGGCTAGTAAACAAGCAACCATTTGTGATATATAACTATACCTGGGAGCCCTTCCTGTTTGGTTGCTGCAACAGCTACATCTTCAAGTGTGAGATGGCGCATCTTCTGTTGCTGTTGAATTTCAACAGCTGTACAAACAGAACTCTCCCCATGGATAAAGAAGGAAAATGAGAATGAAAGATGATTGCTGAAGACAAAAGAACACAAATGCTATTGTTACATTAATCATCATTGTGAGGACAATAGGATTCTCACCTAGGCTCAGGGTGAATTGAGGTTATGGTTTATGTTACCAATACAAGGCAGACTATTATTATGTAAATGCTGATTTACATGGTTTCATGGCCTCATGAACAAGCCACATATACATATATATTATTGAAAAAGTAAAACAACAATCCACCTTGAATTCTCCACCAAACTGCTTTCACATGGTTTTGTAAACCATTTTCCCAAACGAAAAAATTTTCTTGACAGTAGACATCTAAAAAAGAAAGATGTAGGAATGAAAAAGAAATGTTATAAAAACCTGAAGTAATTTAAATGTCTGCACAAATGTGAAAATGAAATTTTTTTCAGGACTCATCACCAAAAATCCAGAAAACCAAGAAGTTGTCTGAAATCTTCAGCTTGATTGTTGTCCTTTATACAGTGAGTTGTTAGTTAAATTTCATATCCTATTCCTTTGTGAAATGTTGAAATAACGCTGAATGTGCACACACCAAACAATGCGAGATGGATGTCACAGAAAGAAACACTGCGCAACAGCCTAGGGAACAGCCATGAGAGAAACTAACAGTTTAATAAAGTCACAAAACTCTGTGTTTGCTCTTTTTTTTTATAGAGTTTTCATCACAACTTGTTGATCTCTGCACAAGAAACTCCAATGATGTAGGGTCTGCTCCTGAGAGTATACACAATTTCTGATGTGTAAAACCAAACAAGCTGCAGTTTTGTGTTTTCTTGGTGACCCAACTTGATTTAGCCTACAGTTAGCTTTAAAGAACAAAACCCAAATTTTTTTGACATTTGACTGAAGTTCTGCTACTTGGAACCCTTTGAATTAATTTCTGGGGTAATATATTAATGTCAAGCTTGTGTAAACAGCACTCAATTATCTTACAAGAAATGCAGACTCTATCACTATGAAAGGAAAAGAAACAGACCATTTGTTTTTGAAAACCCAACATGAAAAGGCTTCTGGAATAAGTAGAAATTGTGCTCACAAGTTAAAACTGTGATGGCTGACGACATGTGATTTACATATTCCAAGCAGTTCCTCAGACTCCTGAGGACCCTTTTCGATTAGACTTGGTTCTTTCCGTCAACTCCTCTATTGTCTTATAATGCACAATTGGTCATTTCAAATGACCACTGAGGCAGTAACTAAGGCACATGGTTCCTCCTGTAGTATCATGCAAAATGTATAGCTGACAGCAAAGAAAATTAGTGATGAGATCATGGGAGTGAAAGGGCTAAAAATAACCATAGCACCATTGTGCACTTGTCTTACCTTTCTAATAAATTATGTAAAGCTTTGAATAATAACGATCTTGGTTCATGAGGCAAACCATCTTCCCAACACCCATGGCATGATTCTATAAAAAATAATTTTAAAAAAATTTAACAAAGTAAAGTACACATAGTTGTGTTACAGTTATTAATCCAAATAGTAAGACAAACTCATCGCATATGGTAAAGCTTAATTTTAGGATTGACCCCTTTGAGAGATCAAGTGGTCACACCTGTATCAAATTTCTTCAAACAGGAAAGATTCTGTACAAACACCTGTATCAAATTCCTACAAACAGGAACAATTCTGTACAAACATCAAACACATAGACAGGATAATATGTCATGTGATGTAAACAGATCGTCACTGCTATTTTTAATGTCTTGTGCTTTTGATCACCATGACAAAAGCTAAATTGGATCTTGCCGAGTGTAACAATTTTATGATGTAATTTAATCTTTAAGACTTGATAACAAAATACTGCAAAATTACCAAAACCTTACAGATGCAAAACTTTAACTGTATGCAAAACTTGATGATTCCAGAGCATTCAAAACACAACATGTTCAAAAAAGGAGAAACTTCCCATGTGAAATATCAAAGGAAAAGTTTGAGGGAAAAGTGCCTGATGTGACATGACCTTTTTAAAGAACTTGTTGTTATAAGAAAGGTGAGCCATTACCTTTTAGCTCTGCAGATACAATCCCTTGTAAATTGGGATCGTCACCAAACCAGAAAACCCACAATTCCTTTGCACCACTGATACTCTTAGGATCTCCACCTGATTGACAGCCTGTCAAAGGGCACCTCCGCCATGCACATAGGATATCATGACTGAGAGCTGCTGAAAATGACTTCAACACAGGATCCTCTGAAGGATTGGCTTGGCACGTGAAATTGAAAACATACTTGCGCCATTTTAACCCACATAAATCAGTCTGTAAAAGAACACAGCAAGGTAAAACACATTTGCCAGAGCTGACATCATCTAAGCATTGTTCTCAAATAGATCATGGATAAAAACCAATCAAAATATGTGTATAATGCAGCTTATTAGATAAAAAATTTCAGCCCAAGGCAGGGTAGCCCCTTAACATTTTACCAGCTACCCTGACACATCATTGGCACCAATTTACACTCCAGGCTGGCAATGAACACTGTGAGAGTTTAGTTCCCTGTCTACAAAACAAAACATGACGACCACCCAAAGGCTTAAATACAGACCTCTAGATATACATTCCAGCCTATTTATTACCAGTTAAACCTTTCAATCTTGAGTCTGATCAAGTCAGAATTTCTCTTTACCATATCAAAACAGTATGAAGCACAAAAGTAATGAGAATAAAGAAAAACATCAATTAAGGGATTATTGGTTGATCCAATACCAAATTCTATCCAACACCATGAGAATTGTATCATAGACAATAAAAAATTATTAAGTAGATCTTGGGTTTGAAAGAGTTAAGAACACAATGTCTTCCACACTTCCTTCATGGTTTTACACCATAAAATCACTCTGCATTTTATTGAGTATACTTTTCTCTATACAGTGTACACATCCTATGGAACTGACATTAGAAATTTTTCTAACAAAAAACCAGCTTCATTAGTAAACAAGACCTATTGAGGAGAAAATAAATGCTTGACACACCTAGGCATTAATGGGTTAAGTAGACTTTAAATCTTGCTCTGATAACCAGAGAAAAACCATGTATCATTTTTCATTACACTTAAGCCTTCACTGATATCTAACATCTACAACTTGCTTTTTTTTTTTTTTTTTTTTTTTTTTGATGTTTTGTTGATACAGACAAATACTAAAAATATATATCATAAAATGGATTTCAATTGACAAATTGACCTTTGAAACACCTCTAAATTTCAATCACCACAGATGTTATTGTCAAATGACAATATATCTGTTAATGGCAAAATGCCGCATATTGACTTAAAGACACTGCAAACATCTTGTAAGATACTGAGAGATATATGGCTCAGAGGTTTCCAAACACATCATTTTAAATGTCACTTAATGTAAATATAATTTGGTACACCTACCTTAAAAATTTCAAACTGTTTCAGAAAAAAAGTGATAGATGAATAAATGTATGACCACTTCTTTTGGATAAAAATGCCATGTCAGAACTATTGCATATTCAGTTATGAGTGTTGTAAATGATCAATTTGCAAAACAAAGGAACAAGCTCATTTCCTTTTTGTACTCAGTGTTTCATCCTGATTGTCAAGAGCTTTGTAACAGTCTTGTGCAAATAAAACCAACTTTAGTACTGTATCATATTACTGTAAATGAAAGCAACATAAAGTAAAATTCAAAACAAAACGAAACAAAAAACTCTATCGCAGTGATTTAATTTAGCCAAAAAAAATACTGATAATGATACTTCACTTTACACAAAATCTCCTATCAAATCTTTTTTTTTTCAGAAGTATTTGTCACAGCCTCTAAGCAACCAGATGACGACTGGATCATATTCATTGATAGGATAACATGATAGAATTCTCATTAAAATTGATGATATCACAGTTTATGCCTACAACTGAAAAACACATATTATAGAAAGTGTTATGCACAAGCAGCTTGACAATTCTTGAACTCTCCTATAGTCTTTACTTAAGTACCACCACTGAATTAAACATTAAGATGCACGATAGGGGACGAGAAAGGAAATGATATCCAACGAAAGAACCTCTCAATTGTTAGACAAATTCTCCATGTCAGTGCCTCAATAAAGGTATACAGAATAGTTTGGCACATATGCATAGTGTAACAGGTTAGCTAAGAGACAGATCCAGTATAGAATGGTGCAACATTTTTACCACACGCTGGCTTGAAAAGGGGAAGTAGACTGAACTAATTTAGAGAAGTTGATAAAACTAATGTTTTATAGCTAAATTTGGATAAACTTGACAGATTGACATATCATTAAGCCGAATATAAGACCACTGGAGTGCTTACGTGTATTACAATGTCTATATGACTGTCACAAACAACGGAAAAGGCAAAATGTAAATTACAGAAATATACCAGAATTAAAAGTGGCATAGAACTATAAAAACTGGAAAATTTTAAAGGAAATTAAAGAAAATTGAATAATACACAAGGATTGATTTCTGCAAGACTGATCACAATTTCAAGCTGGCTGAAGCATAAAAATATGGTTTAATATATGAGTGAAGTAGATAGCAAAAATGCCCCCTTGAGATTCTATTTATGGATGTACCGGCTGGTTATTACCCAAAATAACACTCATCATACAGCTTGTCCATAGCAGTCTTTCTGAAACATTTTTAATAATAATTGCTGATAGGTTCGGCAAGACTCCAAACATCGATCACTCATGAAATTATGAAAATTAATGTCCGGAAGGTGTTTTTAATGGTATTGGCACGACTGTTACGTGTCGTGGCCCAGTATTGTGCCACTAATGACTAGAATGTTATGTCTGTGTAAACCCATTTAAGAGCAAAGATGGTGAAAGGAAACACAGGAAGAACTTTATATGTAAATACCAAGGAAAAGGAAGACCTCACCTAATTGCCTAATTGTGGAAAGTAAATATGGGCTGAATCTGTGCTTGTACAGTGTATACTGGAGTTGAAATAAAAACATCAAATCGGTGCCTACTTTGACTAGCTCAACAATGCATTACCGAAATAAGCCTAGAGGGTTTGGTGAAGTTCTAATAACTACATCTGAACTAAAAATATCCCGAGGGCCCAAGATTTGCAATGAATTATGAATAATAGACCTTTACAATTTAAAGAACAAGTAAACAGACACATGAACATGGTATGTATGTTCTAGATTAGTTTGAAAAGAAATGTTTATGTATCCATATGACCCCAACAGAATGATTTAGTAGAATTACACAAACTGAAGCACAAAATGGCAACAATTTGCATGAAAAATAAAAAACTAAAAAACTATCTCCGATCACATGACAGGCTAATCCATTGGATATGTAAAAACTAAGATACTAAATGAGTCCTAAAGCAAAAAACCACCTGCTACAGCATCACACACAAAAACCAAAAAAATATAAAAAACATTCAATAAACCAAAAGTGCCACACTATCAGTCCACACCATAAACAAGTGATGAAATATAAATTCATTTTCAAGTTTAACGACACCAGTGTTTGAAATTATTCAAATTCAGGAGTATTCATTTCACTTAGTTACGAATGGTCTTTTAAATTGAACTAAACTGCAGTTCCTTGATAATTCACATTCGGACTATGTTACTTTTCCAAAAGGCCTTCTTTTGTAATTCAAAGGTGGCTTATTCCTAAAACAAATCTAAAAAGGTTTTTATCAAACATATTGCTAGATACGATCATCATTGTTACCATCCAGATGTCAACTCATAGTTAGAACTTCATTGGAAGCACTCAGCTAATCTATTCCTCATGCTTTTAGCATCATACAGTCACGTTTCAAATGAAACTCTTGTCTTTAGCATATTTCATGCATAATAACATAAGACAGTCTGATTCAATACAAGCAACAAATCATGATCTTGAAACCCACAAACTATCATGAAGAAGATTACGACCACCTTTTTCAATACCTAACTACAGTTATGTACCATACATACACAACAGTAATACCAAAACAACAATCAAAAAAAATATTCTTGTTTGTCTAACATAATTTAATACTTGTAGAGTAATAACTTTGTTCCTCTACAGAACTTAAAATTTATTCACAATAATGAAATGTCTTCTTTGATATCAAGTAATGAAAAAATAATCATTTTTCTGCACCGAGACGCTTGCATTTATAGTCTGACCTTTCCATTAGCCCATTGTTTTGTGCAAAATTGTTTTTTCAAATAACAACCTTAGAAAATTAAAGAAACCATAGCTTGTGTAAAGAAGATAACTACACTTCATTAATTACATCTCCATGATTGTTAAAATAATTTGAATGCTGTTTCTTTCACCTTACCAATAATTATTTTTATAATGAAAAACAACCAGCTAGTAGGGCTGTGCAATATCACCTTAACATTTTTTCCCATAGTATATTTGGGAATATGACGTTAGGAAAAAACAATCATAAAAAGAAATATGTAGGTTATTTCCCTAATTTCATTTCATTTACAATGCAATTCCAAATATCCAAAATAATTTTAAAATAATGACTCAACATAAATAAAAGTTAGATCATTGCAATTCTGTTACTCCCAACAGCTATGAATAATTTGATAACAGACATTGCTATTTTTATAACAAACCACATGTTAAATGTCAGAAAGTATGGCAAGATAATGAAAAGTGGTCAGCTCTTGTTACTGCAAATGAGGGAGCCATTTTTCCTGCTCATTCTGGAAAGTTAACTTAAACGTCACAATACCCTCTCACTACACTTATAGCTGTATGATATACATTTAAACAACAAAGATTCATTCTGGAACTTCTAAGCGGATAAGAAATGGAGCTAAGCCTGACTTAAACAGCAACCACAAAAGTTAATCTCATCCTCTAGAACTTTCAACCTGTCTTCATGTCCAACATGGTCACACTCACTAAACATACATTGTGCAGCACTATAACATTGCCTTTGTACAAAGTGTTGATTAAATCTATGGACAATTATAAAATTTAGTGGAATTCATCACAAATAATTCTGCGATCAATGATGAGACCTCCCACAAAACACAGGTGTTCTTTTGACAGGCCTACTTTCCAAAATTTGATATGCTGGGTTTTTCAGACATGAAAACTTCTTAGGCAAAAGGATATTATTTCCTAGACAAAGTGTAAATTACATCAGTTGAGGTTTTGAGAAATAAATCTTTCCTTGTCAGGCTTAATTGACAGGTTTTCCTTCTTAACAATTCTGGCAAACCATTTTTCCTTCCCCTCACTAGGGGTGGTGGTGCATAACTATTTAATCTTAAAAACATGACTATCACCAACAACAATAATAATAATAACAATAACACATGACACTGAAAATTAAATGAAAATTAGAGTAGCAGTAGTAACTATACTAATAACTTACAGTTGCAAAGTCTCAGTGAGTAGCTATACTAATATTAACAATTATTTGCATATCAATTCTCATAGAATTCTATAATGTGATAAAAGTTGTAACATTTTTTAACATTCCATGAAACATCCACATTTGTTTAAAAACAAACAACAACAACAACAATTCTTTTCCACTCTAATCAACTTCAAATAATAACAAAAACTGATTTCACAACAATCACACAGTATCAAGTATTGTTACTCTTGGTGTAAACAAGCAAACATTTGTATAAATAAAACAAAAAAACTGTGTGTTTAGGCTTTTATTACACTTAATTGAATAAAGAGTGATGTTACTTGTTTGGAAGTGATCATGGTCCTATGTTTGTGACAAAAATGAATAATCCATTTCTTTCAGAGACATTTGACTAACATGTAATTAATATGCCATAATAATTTTTTGACCATAATCTAAACAGGAAGTTGAAAGCCTTTTGTAAGAGAAGAGTGAAAAAATTATCAGTGTTTTAGCTCCTAAGGGCACAGATCAGGTCAAATGTTTTTAAACCTTCCGTGAAGAGAAACCAAAAATAAATGCTGTGGTAGTTCACCACAGCAGTGCTGTAAAACTACAACATGTATGTGGAATCTAATTAATGTCACAACAGCATAACCACGACAACACAGCTCAGCCTAATGTAAACCCTTTAATTGACACATGGTTTAGAAGATAATATCAAGTTTTGGGAGATAAAAATACAATCTAATAAAGAATTCAGTTTATCACAAAATGAAATACTTGAGCAGTCTCACTGAAATAAGGAAGCAGAATATCATCCGAACATTGTCACAATCGTGCATTAAAAAAACAAAACAAAAGACAAATGAAAGATCAAAAACAAATAAAATCTAGCAAACACAAAGTGTCAATGACATTATTAAGACAGGATACCACTTTTAGGAAACCTCAACTATCTGTTGGTAATATGGCATCGTCACTCAATCAATACCTTTGTAAATTAAGCACAGAAACTTTCAGAATCACAAATATCCACTGAGATGTACAACAACATGAATAGCTACATGTAAATAGTAGAAATGTTATTACAAAAGTAACCATTCTTACAAATGTGGAATCACTACTGTTTATTTTAGAGTAAGTATAAACCCAAGAGAGTAAGTATAAACCCATCCATGCACACCAAATTAACACACAGTCATTTTGAATCCTATCTACATAAATTTTTGGACACCAACAATTTGTTTGTTGTCCACATAAAATACATGAAATTTTATTTTTGGTACTTAACTATCTCTATGGAAAGGAGGTGTCAAACCCAACCAGGAAATGCAAGAGAAACATAAATTACCACACTAACTTAGTACTTAATAGACAAAAGCCTCAGTTGGAAGACCAAGGATGCCATGTATTCCTACACAACTGTTCACAGTATATCATTCACAGCGCTTTACAATATGAGAATTAAATAACAGAGAAGAATCCTTTCAGACAACAATTTACACAAACATACGACTGAACAGTCACACAGTGTAATTACGAGGATATGTCCATACCCCTTCTGTATCTTAAAATCCTTCCCTGCTTCACAATTATATTCCATAAAAATATACCATTGATCAATAATTTCTGATTAGTGTTTAGTGAACCAGTTTTGTGAGCAAAAAAAATTCTTGAAAGTTCTCAGAAAAATGAAATTTTGTGAAGGAGAAACTGAAATTTCTTTACCAAATTACAGTTTTCGCCTGCATCTCGTTTGATTACCGAGGTGATAAATTTAACAGATTAACCTGTTAATACCTATACTCAAATATGGTTCACTTATCTGTGAATTGCAGTTTATTATTTGTCATGGGCCAATATGAAGCTTAAAACCACTGAGATCTATGACCACTTTAGAGATACATTTCAAATTCACAAAGCACAATCAAACCAAAAATCTGCCACTGCACAACAACATTGAAAGAAGCTATCGATGGCGCTATAAATGTGTCAATGACGTCGTTCATTGCCCTCCGAAATTGACATGAAATCTACAACATTCACGAGGAGAAAGTTATTTGAGAATATCTCTCCTTCCATACAGACACAATACGATGAAAATAAAATATCCGCCGACACTGTGCCATTGTAGTTATACGTAATTATCATTCTATAGTACACCTTGCATCAAAATTAATTAACGTGCAAGGAGGAAAACTCTGATATTATACGAATGTTTCATCCCCTTGCGCTGAAGATTACGATGAGTTCATCGAATTGAAACTGTCGCGGAGACAGTCTCTTTGCTTACATGAAACATTTACCCAGGAGTAAACAAGTAAAGATCAATTCTTTCTCAATAAAAACCCAGTCATCTTATTAATTATTCAGTCTGTCGGTTTCTCTCACTGAAGAGTTAGACAGTTCTACATTTGACACCGCGACAAGTTCGAGCGATAAATATGTTAGGGCAAAAATAACACTGGTGCCCCTGATTTCTGGTTAATTTTAACCTTCTAGAGAACATGAATACTTCAATAGTTAACACTACCGCACAGTAAAGTCAATCCTTAGGCACTATTTGTAGCAGTGCGACGAAATTAAATTCAATACTAAAAATCGGCCCTTCTACCGGAAAAAATATTGCCCAGCATACGGCCTTCGCTTTGCAGGTAAAATGCCTATTCAATGAATATATCGGTTAGGAATCAATGCAAACGCGTTAGTCTGCTAATAACGATGGCATAATAGTAAAGGTACACTTTTTAAAGCTTCGCGCAAACTACATACATATTAGAGTTTTATTTACGACTTGAGAAAATAATCCCTAGAAGCACGCACGTATATCCTGAGAAATGTCATAATGCGAGACGAATGGACGACTGGATAATCGCTTGTCTCGTCCATGTACGCACGGCGATGCAATTCCTATGACGAGAAAGATTCCCCATTGAAGACAAACAAAAGGAATCTCTGAATGATTCGTGTAAACGAATGCAAAGCGCCAAAGCAAGTTGTTTGTAAAATCAACTCTGGTTAACCCTTCAAATCCCTACCACAGAATCTATTCACTTCTACAGCAGCCGTGTATACGGCTTCCCAGCGATACGATTTTTCAGCCTAGATTTCATGCATACGTTTTAGTTCAAGCCACACGGGATCCACTATTTCCGATGCAGCACTCAGAAGCAAGGGATTTCATCTTACTGGAGGCAATTAAGGCGAATATTTAGAATGAATTAATTCTACCGTTTGTTAAATAGAGGACATGTTCATTACGACATGCAAGTAACTCTACAACACGCCCGTAAATTGGTTTTTTTCCGTTAAGTTAACCTCAGATTCTCGACTCTAGATCTTCTATTTGCACTAGAGGACCAAAGCGTCCTCTTGGTAATTGGCAAATAAATATTCACATGCTTCTAGAAGGAGTTACAACCTCACAGAACACTGTAACATGTGACAGGCCGAAATAGAACCCTCATAAATCGAACGAAGTAAACTCTTACCAGTGCAAACACGTTGGTGCAGCATTCATCCAAGTCTGAGCCATGAAGCATGGGAGTCGAAGCGGTCATGCTAAGAGCATGACTTCCTAAACATCGGACCTAAATAACGAGCAAAACACAAGGAAAAGCGACCCGCTAATCGTTTTTCGTTCAAAGGAAATCGGAAAATAAGATGGCAGCAAGTGACGTTGCCGAGGCGGGCATAAACCGATTTTTGATTGGCTAGTGTACATCATGTGATCAGCAGGCACGGGTCAATCTCCCTGACTTGATGCTCTTAGCGAGTGGCTTCAGAAAGAAGTGCAAAATATACTATTTATTTATCACCGATAACTTTTTGATCTAAGAAAAGGGAAAAACAAATCTTGCACTTCAAAACAAATTTCCATCGAAGGTCTTTCACTTGAAGCTAATTTTATTGCAATTACAATTATTACTATTTTTGCTTGGACAATTTTGATGAGAATCTCCGTGACCAACATTTTGATAACACCCTAGGACGTCTTTGCGAAAAAATAATCTCACTAAGAATCGCGGATTGTAAACAAAAGCTACACTCAGGCCATGGAAAAATGGAAATTAACAGTTTGTTTTCAAAAGGCAAATTGATTAGTTCTGAAGGTGAAGTCTCTCCACATATTTAAACTAGTCATCGCATCAGCAACAGCGGAATAGCTCTTTCTTAGTTGAAACTTAACCAAATAGGGAAAAAAAAAAACGATCGCCATCGAAGGATTTTGGAATCGAAATTAAAATATACCATAGTAATGTAGAAAAAAAATTAACCAGCATTATCACAGGCGAAATTAATTGTTAATGGTTAAAATTCACAATATTTCAGACGATACATAGTAAATTATTTTGACCGAAATTTTGTTTCAATATCATTGATGAGCGACAGAATAAATCAGTTTATTTTTCCGCATAAAAGATGCCCGAACTAGTGCTTCAATTACTTAGCTTCTAATCTGTAGTAGTTATTTTAGCCGACTGCGAGGGACTTCTGCAAAACAATACTGAAATCGAATTCATATTTGTTTTGTGTGTGTATTTGTGTGCAAGTTTGATTGCACTAAACGGTTGAAGGAGTAAGAAATAGCATGATATTTTCTAGAATCTCGAAAGGACCATTTCGATTGTTAGATTTTTAGATATTAATAATAAAATGTATTTCAATCGGAGTTTTCGCGCTTAATTGATATTTTGTTTCAATTCTTAAATCATGAATATAAAAGCGTTGCTAAGAAGGTCATAACATTTTGTTATATTTTTTTTCTAATTCAAAGAGAAATATTGCAACATTATATGTTCATAGTTATCTTTACAAGATCGCTCTGCCGGTGGACGCAACGACAATAAGCGTAAACATTAAAACTTCACAAGGACCGGCCGCGTTTGCATGTTGTTTAGTTACGAAAGTCAATTATTTCTCGCATAGGCGCACGACGTCATGTACAGCCATTTACAACGATAATTTTTTCAACAGTTATTTGCGAAAAAGTTTGATAGAAAGCCCTCTCCATCTATCTAAAGTTGAAGATATTTTAAAAAGTAACCCCTGTATTATCAGGTGTTGTGGGGAAAACAGCTTTGTTTGGGTAAATAGCGACAATAAGGTTTTGTTTTGACAGTTCTTTTCCAAAAGCTTGTCCAATTACATTTTCCCCTATGAGAGGTGACCGAAAATGTACTTTTCAATTTGAGCAGATTGGTTATTGTATTACTCATAACCGTGGAAAGTAAAGGGATTTTTTCCCAGCATTTTTTAATCGCCAGAGTATATCTTCTTTTAAAAAAAAAAATTAATATTTTCGTAAAGCAGCTGGGTGGTTTTGCAGACAATAGAAAATTGACAAATCTGCCAAAAAAATAATCATCCTAGAATAAATAAGAGATTGAGAGAATCAGCAATAATCTTCCAAGGCTGACAAATGACCACGCGTCTATCGCTTGTATTTTATATCATGGGAGCAAATTGTATTTAGCCTTCAAACCTCTTTGACGTAGCTCTTTTTGAATGCGTTCTGAAGCGGTTTCAGATTATCGCATGGAAAAGAAGAAAAAAAGAGAAACAAGCAAATATATCTTCTGATATATGGTCATATCTTCAAGGTCTGACGTTTTTCACACAGTATTGAGATTGTTAACCGAGATCCCCAAATTTATTGCGAAACAAAACACTAGATGATAAGAAAGGTGTTACGGTACGTTACGGTCTCACACAAGAGAATATTGGAATCAGGATCTTTGCAGATGGATATGACCCACCTTTCACCCGTTCACCTGGATATTTGTAGAACATGACAGAAAGGTCTGGACATTTACTTGATACATAGCTGCACTCAAAAAGCTCTTTAATGAACAAAGTATCCTTAAAATAACCGTCCGTCTCTTCTCTGAGGCGTATAATTGAGCACGCCAACAGATATCAAATGAACATATTTTGTGGTAAATCCGCCGATCATTGGAAATCTTAGAGTCAGTAACATTTAAACTCCTTATAATCCTACCACACATCCGTGCTAAATCTCAATCTGTACTTTTCGAGTTCAATCACCTCGGTCCGCGTCGTTCATAACGAGCTCAATTAGATTGTGAGACATGCTGAGAGATTTCAAGGTTTTCATTGATACTTCACACTCAAGCAGTTGTGAAATCCACTTAGCCGAATGACAATGTGTACGGATTTGTTTCCGAGATGGAAACCAGGACGTCTTAATAGATCAGCAGAATGAAATCTCGATAATATTTTTTTTAGTCACTAGCTGGAGGCTACAAAAGAACATAGATGTTAGTACCACTAGAATAAATGATTAAAAAAAAACAATAAATAAAAAAGAACAAAACTAAAGTGAATTTGTTTGACAATTTTAAGGAATATAGATTAAGGCCTCTATGATAGGAGAGTTAAGCAAGCTTTGTACTTCATCTGCTCATAGGACCACGCCTTCAATTAACCAGTTTCCTTCAACTCTAAGTGAAGAAAATTTTTGACTAATGATTTTGGTTTGAGAGAGTGTATTTGCAACTAATGTTTCCGTGGAAGGAGAACCGCGCATGAGACAGAAAAAGGACAGTAGCTTGGCTTGGCTGTTCACACACCCTTAAGTTGGACCATCCCGGATGTAGACACCAGATTTCTCCATTCCGCTCTAACTCTTACATGCGATAGTCACACATATTGACAGCGACCTCTCTGTCCATTGACTGATTCTATCTAATCATGCACCGTCTCAGTCTTGGTCATCCTTGCCATCGCTTTCCATCGGTTCTTCTTTCAAGGAAATGAGTTCACAGGTTCTGTGTCCTGGAGACGTGAGAAAACCATCGAAACCTTCTCTGTGGGAAGGTTGGATCATAAAAAAAAAAAATAAAAAAAAATGTGCCATATCAAACCGCTTTCTCTTGTCAGAGAAACTTCTCTACCAATGCCGATTTCCTGGTGTTCCACACAAAGGTAACCTTACCAGAGAAGTTGAAAACATCCATTTCCTTTTTTTGCTCATGACTTCGACCACTTGAAATTTGTATCACGCTCATTTTTTCAAAGTTTTTTCTACAGCGTATGTTTTGATTTTGTCCAAGGGGCATTTGCACACCTGTGCCGCCATGCTTTGTTCGGTTTTCAATAGAACAACGGATATTACCATATGGGAGAACAGATGTTGGATCGGTGTAATAAAAATAGATTTTATTGAGACTTTTTAACCGGAGGTCAAGTAGTCACATTGTGATGCAAAGATGCCACCAGCAGAGTTTTTTTTTTTTTCTAATGATTGTTCTTGCTATTTTCGCGCAACCACAGCCAGTCCGATAGCAGTGTTGCCTTGGTCAGGCTCAACTAAATAGGCTTGAAAAATTTCTCAGTTAGGAAGAAGGGGCTCCCTTAGCTTGTTTAGGGTATCGCGTGTCCAGTTTCGAGAAAACATTCATTGCGCGCATCACATCTTAACTTATCTAATTGGAACTTCGACATTCGGGAAAATATAGGGGGACTGACACCCTCTAAATTCCTGGGACCTCTTCATCAAAAACCTCGCAATAATCAACGATTTTTTGTGCGTTACTTGAAATGGTCTCATGTCTCTTTAATGCAGAAAGATTCTCATTCTCCCTAAAAAAAAAAAATGGAACAAAATACCTTCTAAACACCAACATATAATGGCCTCGTCCGCTGGAGATGGGCGAATGGGACTGCCTGTTAGGGTACCTTTACCTGTACCCCTTGTAAGGTACAATGTAACTGCTACTAGCAAACCTCCATTCATAGCTCAAGTATCGGCTACCGCCAGTACTGTGGCTATGAGGACCCATCAGTAACCTAACAGATATGTGCAATTGAAGGAAAGTGATTGGCCACTCACTCTCTAAGATCAATATGGTAACTATCGAAACCAATACAACAAACTTGTAAATAAAGATTGTGCGTGTCTGGGAAGGAAATTCATTTGTAGTACGTGGGAAATATGACGCGTGGTTCCAGAACAAAAAGTTCGCGTAGGGTGAGGCCTAAAATATGGCGCAGAACTGGTCCAACTGGCAGAAAACTATGGAGGCCTTATGCATCGCCAAGGAACTGGAAGGACAGCTGATAAAGAAACCTTCGTACTAGTCAGTTGCCTTGTATTTTCATTTGCGTGTAGCAGACGTGGGAAGCCCCTCATCTCTCTTTGGCCAACAATCTCCTAGAAATTTGCAATTCTTTGAATTGTCGTATTTGGTAATTCTCAACTTTCAATGTCGCATGTACTGCAAGACGTTTCGATTTTTATTTTAAAAACATTTTTAAAATAGCTCAAACACTTAAGAGTGCTCGCGCGCACTCCAATAACTGCACGATACGTTCTATTACATCGTCACATTACAGATAAACACGTAGATTATGGAAGATATTGTAAGTTCCCAAACACCATTACATACCAAATTACCCAGAAGTGCCTCTAGAAAATCCGCAAGCTCACTTCCTGTCTAGTGAAAAATTAATAATCATCGTCCCGCCACACTGCTGTGTCACGTCATTGTTCAAAACTGTCAGGTCGTGCTGTCACTGTGACAGTCTAGAGACCTTCAAAGTACTTAAGTTCTATTATCGAGTCCAACAAGGTTCTCAGTGGCATAAAATCTGACAAAAAAGTCTGTGTCATCTTCTTTCCAGCTATTCCCTTCCACTCCCACCGAAATGTTCAGGTATCGCTGGCGCAGAACCCGAGCTGCGGCTTTCGGTTGCCTTTGACGGGTAAGGATACCTTTCTTGTTGCCAACAATTCGCGTCGTTTCTGGAAACAAAATAAATCACGAAAATTGTTTGAGAAAACCTTCACCACTAGCTTATACAAGGCTGTAGTACTGGTTCATCCGAGAAAAACAGTTCAAAACTGTTTCAACTTAGTATCAAAGGTAATCCGGGTTGCTTTAGCTTTGCTTTGCTTTGCTTTATTACAGCGTACGATTGGTTCAGAAAACTTGTCCCACCTTCTCTAATCACAAGTAAAACGAAAACAAATCACGAGTAGGTCACGCGCGTTTTGCCGCACTTCGGCCTTTTGACTTCTCATTGGCGCCTTCCATCGATTTATTCGTCCACGTTTTCCCACATTTCAGGCCTCTAAGTTCTCATTGGCGCTTTCAACCGATTTGTTCGTCTGCATTTTCTTGCGCTTCAGGCCTTTGGATCTTATTGGCGTCTTAAGATTATTGTTTTTGTTCTGATGAAGTCGTTATGACCAATTTTACAACACCCAGTCTAAATGTGCTCTCTAAAGGAAGCAGTATCCTGATATAGATGAAAAATTGTTGTAGACCTCATTTACAGCAAGACAATCTTACGTTGTTTGGTCATGAAATCCGCAAAGTTCCATATCAGTTCACCAACAAAGAATTCTTCCCTCAATTTATCAAACACGGGGAAATACTGCTGAATGGTTTCCACCTGTTTATTTGGAGCACAACGAGATCCAGTCAAAATTCCGTCAAGAAAATTAAACACAACCTATTAAATTTACAAAAGCTAGCAGTAAATTTGAAAGGTCTCACCTGGTAATCTTCAGTAAACATGAGAGGCGGATCCTGAAGGAAGGAAGCAAACTGCAGGCATTAGTTTGGATCATTCTGCGTTAAAAAAAAAAGGCGTGGGGATTTACAAAGCATTTATCCTTGTTTTATGAAATACACAATTCCCTTCATACAGGTTTCATCAGAGAACCTCAACTGCAAAACCAAGTAACTGGGATGTCTAGGATCAAACAGAGCAATTTTCAATCGAGTGCCGAAAGTGATGCGCGATTACTTTGGTTTGCTTTACCTCGCTCACAGGTTGGTATAAAAAACTAGTTCTATCCTCTCAAGCGATCAAACGCAAAACTGAAACCAATCGTCACTTGGTCACCCGCGTTTTCCCGCGCTTTTAGCAGTTTGCCTGCTGATACTTGAGTTCTAATTGGCCGTTGTTCTGACTCTAATTTTGGTATTTCGACGCTCATTGAGAACTACTCTGATTATTACACTACTGCTAACCATGTGAAATCCAGCGATCGTTCCAGCTCCATATTCAGATTGTGCCACTGGTTTATTAAACGTGTCAAACCAGGCTCTGAGCTCTCCTTCCAACTGGCGGCTGATAAGCTGTGTTTGTCCATAATCTTCGTACCAAGCATAGTAGCGATTGCACAAAATTACATCAACATACTGCACCTATTTGAAAACCACAGGAAAAATAAATAAATAAACAAATAAGAGTATTCACGTTAAGAAGCATTGCCAGGGTTTGACATGAGATGATACCATGGCCTGCTCGTAGTTGCACATATCTCGAAATGTAAGCAGTTTAGACTTGGTCACTCGCTTTTTCCCGCGCTTCAAATGGCCTTCTGGCCTTAACTTCGTGTTCTTATCGGCCAAAAATGATGTTTTCGTTTGTTGTGATTGGCTGCTTTGACGAGTTTTCTTTACAACACTCAACTGAAGTGCACTGAACTTACCGCCTTATCTTCGTCGGCGCGGGAGGAAGTGACAAACGTGACAGGTCGAGTTGTATCCAGTGAGCGAGTAAATTCGATGACAGATCTGTCGAGAAACGATCACTACTCTCTTCAGACAGAAATAGCGGAAACAGCATAACGAAAACAGTTCAATGAAAGAAGTACCCGGGACGTTGACAAGAGTTGTCGCGAGAGCTTCTTTCTTCCGAAGATCGGGTATTCCCTCTCTCAAATACAGTATTGGAACGTTGTGTCCGAAAGGGATGGTAAAGGTGCGAGAGAGAGCGAGCAGGAATGTAACGAATTTAGTGATGAAAAGGGTAAGGAAAACTATCATTCAGTGTTTGGAAGGTATAACTTCGAGGTTACTCTGTTGCTAAATCATTAACCACCCCTCCGACCGATCAGACGCAAAGACAACGTCACTGGCTTTTTTCTGTGCGTGAATTCAGTCATGTAATTCCCTGAGTTCTCTTTCAGTTCTAATAGTTTTGTAGAATACTTTGCTATTTCAAGAATTTCATCGAAAGGCTTTGCCATACTATCTGCTAAGGGAGGATTGGTGACAAAGAAAACATATCCTCAAAATCAGAGACAACTTCTTGAACTCTATTTCAAACTTTGCGCCACGCTTTGAAGTTATTTAATCTCTAGCTTCTATTATTGCGCGGCCAATGATCACGATATCATATTCCGACATGCATTGAGGATAGGCTCTCTCAACTCATAATCTCTTGTATCTGTAATACAACTTACTTAAAGTAAGGTCCAGCGGCAGAATCCCCGGATGCCGGTTCATTAGCTACAGACCACATGACAACTGAAGGCCGATTCTTGTCACGACGAACTAACTCTGCCATGACGTCCAAGTGATGGTGGAGCGTGTCATTCCTGAAGTTCTTTCTGGAACAACAAACAGAGGTTCATATAGCTTTTTTCAGGCTCTCAGTCAGTAAAAACGAGCGAAAAAGCTGGCGCGGGAAAAAAAAGCAAGAAGGCAGGTGTACCGTTGCCCAAACATTAGTAACTGCTGCGCGCCTCGCGTCCGCTGCTATTTTCCTGCGCACGCTTTTCCGCTCTTCTCGTCTAACTTAGAGCCTAGCAGCACGAGCTTTTGTTCGTGTTCGTCTGTTTGGTTCATTTGAATGGACACAACTTTGCTCCAAGTTTTGGGATATGAAACTAATTGTTTAAAAAAAAGACTGTGAGAGAAATGAAAAAAAGCGCGATCGACTAGTGACACCAATTTCAGTTCAAAAGTAATCTAGAATAGCAATATATTGTTTTCGCTCATTGGTTGGTCTGAAAACATGCACCATCCTGTTCAGCAATCAGACGCAGAACTAAGACTAATCGCGACCTGGTCATGGATGTTTTGTGATAGCGCAATCTGCAAGTGAGTGTTGCTTTACCTTGCACTAGGATAGGTCTGAAGAACTCGCGTCACCCTCTCGACCAATCAGATTCACACCCAAAACTAAACCAATGAAAATTGCTGATTCACCACTTACTCTCTAATTCCCACTCCTGGGCTTTCATCAATGACAACAATTCCTTGTTGGTCTGCCATGTCCATGATTTCATCAGCGTATGGGTAATGACTGGTTCGGAAACAATTGGCGCCCAACCACTTGATAAGGTTGAAGTCTTTGGCAATGATAGCATAGTCCATTCCTTTACCACGAATCTGCAAAAAACATTTACAAGTCAAGAAAAGATGGTGAATATAATAACAAGAATACAATCCAACAACAACGTATATCCTAAAATGAGCATTTTTTGATGTAGTATCGTTCCACCTTCTTGACAAATCAAATATAGGGCAATTTTTAATGGAGTGTCGAAAGCAAGCCAGGTTTGATTTAGTTTAATTTAGCTTTGCTCTGTAATTGGTCTTAAAAAAAACTCGCGCAATCCTCTCAACCAATCAGATGCAAAAGTAAAATCAATCCCAACTTGGTCACTCGCGTTTTCCTGCGCTCAGAGCAGGTTGCCTAGTATGTATGTTTTAGTTCCCGATGGTTCCTTTTCAATTTTTTCGGTTAGGATCCTTTGTAGTGATTTCTTGGTTTTAGATGTACTATGTACTTAAACAAAATACACTTTTTAAGGCTAGGAAGAAAGAAACTTAAACAATGCGACCCAAAGTCCTAAATTCATTTCAAAACCTGATTGAAAGTTTCTTTAAAAGCGTTTCCACATCACACTACTTACATCAGCATCTTCATGCTTGCCAAATCCTTTGAAGTAAAATGACCTGTTGTTGATGAGAAATTTTGTTCCTTTCACCTCAACTGTCCGAATACCGACTGGTAGGTAGTAAATGTCATCAATATCAAGTAGATGGGAATGAGTTTTGACCTGCATAGAGACAGGTAAAAGGTACCATTAGTCAGAGACACTGTGGAGTGAACATATGAAATGCCGAGCCTTTGTGGTTGACTATGGTCAGTTCTGAGAGTTTCCAACCAAAGAAACTATGGTACAAATAAAGTTTTGGCATGGGATTTCTCCAAGATATGGTTACTTACATAGGGAAGTGTCTGAACATTTTGCAACTTGTTTGAATCTTAACTCTTTAACTTCCAAGATCTGGTTTTTAATTCTCCCATCTAGTTAATGTACACTCATAAACTGCTTGCTGGAAAGTGTTTGGATATAATAAGGAGAAATTACATGTCCATCACTTCTGGGAGTTAAATGGTTAATATACCAGAGAATGATATGCATGACTTTAGGTTACTGTTATTTTAATTAAAAATCATGGAACTGCTCTGGATTCTACCAAAATTTTTTTCAACAAGTATTTTCTACTAGCTCAATATGGAAACAACAAGCAACTTATCCAGCACAACAGTTCAAGTAATAAACTGACTAGATAATTTTTTTTCAATGAATATTTTAGACTTTTGATCAAGTTAACTGTCATGAGATCCCCTTGCAAATAATCTTTTATTACCTTCAGTGAATAAAGATATGCTGGTTGATTGCTCATTCCAATTGGCCACCAGAGAATTGGCTTCTTCACAATCAGAGTGCCTTCAAATAGGCCTGAACCTTCTGCTGAGGCTACCACATTACCAGCCTTATCCATGAGTTCATAACTCATTGACACATTTAAGGAGGATGCTGTGGTGTGAAACTTGACCATGCCCTCCTCCTCTGAGAAGTCTGTTGTTATAGTGATGTCTGACAAGTGAACAACAGGAGTTGTGTAGAGTTTTACAGGACGGTGGATACCAGCGTAGTTGAAGAAGTCAAAGGTAGTTTCTTGAACAAAATATCCTGGAGGATACCTGAAGTTATATTAAATATATAATTATACATTATTGATAAAGAAGTCAGGATGGGCTAGCCTTGGAAAGCCTGATAGTCAGCCCAAGATGGGTAAATAGTTTTTGCCTTGTCCCTTTTTGCTTGTTTTGGACAAAGAAATATGTGTAACATCAATATCCAGTCCTTATGACCAGAAAAAGATGGGCAATAAAAGAATTTTTTGCTTCAGCAAAATAATATACTTGTCCAGAGAATTGCCAAATTGATTGATGACCTCTTTTGATTTGTTTAATCTTACCTATCACCAGTCTTGTATTGTATTTCTCCGGGTGGAAGAGTAGAAGGAGTCAGTGTGTTGTTCACTGCTGCAGTTATCCTGTTAACTGCTCCAAAAGACAACAATGATGTGACATCCGCTTCAAAGGGAAGATGGCCTCCAGAATGAGCCATCACTTCCTTGCCATTAAGCCACTACAAACAGATTAGAATCACTCATGCTTTAAGCAAGAAAAGTCAGTCAAGGAGTTTGGGTTTAAGTTTCTTCTATGGTGGTAGGGATGAGAATCTAGTAGACTGGTTCTGGTTAGAGTCCACATCAGATTTGTTATGATCATAATGTTATGAATTAAAAGGAATGGTTAAGTCTTACTTAGGCCAAGTGGCTTAACCAACTGGAGTCTAACACCACCAGTTACAAGGAGTATTGCTACTAACCCTTAGTGGGATTTCTATTGTAAGTTAGCCCTTGATATTTTGTAAAATTTCCCTAACAGTTTTGTGTACCCATTTTTATTAATATTCCAGGATGGAGAAAAGCACTGTGAGAGTAAAGTGTCTTGGCCAGGAACACAAAACAATTACACTGCCAGGTCATGAACCCAGGCCTTTCAACCCAGTACCCAATACAGTAATTGATAGGTGTTATGGATTGTAAAAACTGTAAGATAAATATAATAAAGAAATTTCTAGAATGCTTAATCATGCTGACTTGCATACATTAGGACTTTTCTCAAACATTCTATTAGGTCATGTATTTATGATGTAATACTACCGAGATAGTTGTGTTATAAACTTCTGGAACATTCTGGAATACTTTGTAAATGTTTATAAGTACTCTGTAGTGTAGAATTAGTTGCTGTTGATGGGAGTGACTGACTGTTAGGAAAGCTATACCGAGAGAGAGTTACTGTCAGTAAAAGACTGTTCATTTCAAGGAACTTTGGAGACAACTGTGAGTTTGGGTCAATGGTAAGCTAAGACATAGACTGTAGTGGGCTTAAGTAAGTTCATTGAGGATAAAATATTGTACTGCCTTTATGAATCACTCCTTATTAAGAATATTACAGGTTGTTCAATTAAGTACTTGTCTGAGTTTGTAAATTTGCAGTGTTCTTTCTGTTGGTTGAATTATACCCTATAATAGGCAATTACATCTTCCACTCTCAAAAACTAAGGTATAACACATGTCTCTACTCATCTAGGGGTATGATATTAGGTGATACCTGCAAAGAACCAGAGCTCTTTCTAATCCTTAACTACACTTTGTTTTAAAATCTAGTGTTAACAAGGATATTGAGAAACAATAACACTTACCACCAAGGTGTTGTAATGTGCACTTTCAAAGCGGAGCACAACCCTGATTTCCTCTGACTTCCACATTTTTGGAGCATAAACTTCCCTGTCATACCACACCCAACCAACAAAGTCCCTCAAGGCTCTGTCTTGTGTTATGTCATTATAGCTTGATGGTACAGGCATAGGAATAACATTACCTGTCTGTGAAAATACACAATTAAGGAGTTGATAGCAAGCTCTCTAACCATTGTTACTGCATGCCATAAACCACATTGCAACTTAGAGTAACTTAAAAGCTAATGAGAGCTGAGTGAGGTTTTCTTCATACTTAGTTTTGTTTATTTTTTGTGGGGCAGGGTGGTATACCCATCGTTACTATTTCTGTTTAAAGGAAGAGGAGAACCAAGTGGCACATCATAACCAACAATTTCAAGGAGTTCCCCCCCCATACCTTGAGGGGAAGTACAAGCACCCTTAGACCCCGCCCCTTAGGCTATGCATTGGATTTGTTCCAGGGTTGACTTTAATTATTTTCTATGTTTCCTTGAAAATTTCAAGTTGCGATGCAATTACTTGCAAAAGGATTACATGATGTTCGGTTAAATGAGATTTTTCCTCACAGTTCAATTGGCAAAGAACGCTACTAATTACCGATAATGTAAAGGAAGAGAAAGACTCCGCTCGCGATGATTTTCACTTTCAATAGAGTAGACTGTGCTTTTTTTCTTACAGGCTTCTGACGCACATGGACGAAGAGCTTAGTAAATGACCAGAATCCCTAGCCATGAACATCTTTTGCGACTGAATACGACTGAATGCAGTTTAAATGGTGGAGTCAACTTCTTACCTGCCATAAAGGTTTGGTAAACCAACTCTGTTCGAATCCGGCCATCCTGTTGGCAGACATATCTGCCCGGAAGTTCCAAAATCCACATAAATCCTTCACTTCACGACTCTCGGATTCTCTGGGAAATAACATGCCTGGTAACTTGGCATTCAAAGTTTCCCCAAGACAAAGGTAACTGCCCAAAAATACCACTGTCGAGGCGAAATGAAAGACCATCACATTCGGCGCCATATTTCGTTGCAGAAGTGCGAATATAAACCCGATGGAAAACATAACAGGAAGTCACGAGACCAACGACTTCCTTAATTTACATTTTAAGCACTATGTGTCATGCAATACAAAACGTCACGAAATCATTACCTTACCCAAAATCATCAAGTTTTCGGTAATCATGCTGGTGTCTCCAAAGAACAACTCTTCAAGAAAAATCTGCCCCTTCCCCACCCCCAGAAGATTAGTTAAACAGAGAATGGAGAGGAAGCTGGTGCAAGCAACAGGTTGTTTGAGGGTTTGCACGGAAAAGACATGGCGCCGGTGCAGACTTCGTTTTTACACTCCGTTTTCATCGTAGTTGGCGTGAATATCTTTTTTACAACAGCCGCTTTACCTGGCATGTTATTCCCTAAAGACTCGGAGCGCCGAGAGGTCAAAGATTTGAGCGGAATCTGGGATTTTCGCGCCGATATGTCAGACAACAGAAATAGTGGGTTTGAGGGTATGTGGTTTGCCAAACCATTATGGCAGGTAAGTTTAACTAAATATTACGATAATTAAATTCTGTTCTTAAGACAGTTACAAATATCAAGATACGCCTTTATGTACTTTCGTTAAATCATAAAGCCTCCGAGAAAAATCTCAAATCGTGTAAGCGGAAATTGCCTCGCACAACAGGAAGAACTGCCAGGGAATCCTCTTCTGATTTCAGCTTCTACAATCATTTGCGCTTTTCAAGAAATTCACGAATTGGCCTTTGTGTTCAGTTGAGTGTCTTCTTTTCCTATTCCTTATCATCGATTTCCATCTTAGATACACATTTCAGTTTACCTGTAGGCAAATAACTAAACATTTAAGGCAAACGGGTGTAAAACGTTTTCCATCCGGAAACACAGGAGAATTAAATTAATTAAATTTAAATGGTTTTGAACTTAGGAATTAAAGGTTACATATTGTTAGAAATTTGAAAGAATTCAACTTGACACTTGAAAGAATTTAACTTAAACACAGGAAAACATGGCCTTTGAGAAATATAATTCCTTTCAACATTTAAATAATTAATTTCTTGTTAAAATGATTTCCACATGCACTACTGATTACTTTGATTGGACAATTGAATTAACACTTTCTAACAGGTCTCTTGTGTCATGCAGTCCAAAATTGCTCTCTATTCCAGCTTAAATATTGTTATCTTATGTGTGCATTATGTTCTCATATTTCTTTCAAATAGTTCATCCAATCAAAATGCTGGTAATATTTTTCTATTTTGAGATGATTGCCTTGGAAGTTGCACCCAGCTTTTGCTTGCAAGTATATTTTTTTCCTGGTTGATAATCAGCAAATATACAAACAAAATGTTAAAAAAAAATGAAAAAATCTTAATCAATCAAGTAAGGAAAACATTTTGTGTTTTTCAAGTCCTGTCTGACATAAATTACATTTTCTTGTCAGTTTTATTAGTTGGATAGTAAACAATTTAATAGTACAGTCACCCTTACAATATTGACTGACCTATGCAACTAGATAAATAGCTGATGGATTGCACCTATATGTAGTAGTTGACTGATCATTAACCAACATACTATCTGGTAGTATGTATGGATCACATTTTAGGGTTTTTGGGAAGAAGCAATGATGGAGTCGTGGGAGTGATAAATTTAACCAGCTCAGCCCCATTTTTTGCCTTTTTCCATCTGTTTTCTAGCCTTCATACATTTTTTTGCAATATGTCTTAAAGCCTTGCTCTTTTACCTGAGTTTATAGTAGAAGAAGTTTATCACTCAGTGTCTAAAGGCTCTGGTTTGAGAAATCAAGGGTGTACAACTCTCAATAACTTTCCTAAAAGTAAAGTTACATATGCAATTAGTCCCAAGAAAATAAGAGAAATTCACCCGTGACATCTGGATTCTGATAGAGCAGAGCCCTGATCAGAGCTCTTTTCTCTGTTGTAAAATTCTTTGATGTTTTTTTTCTTGTTTATGATTTCTTGTTGTTGTAGTCTGGGAGTGTAATTCCAATGCCTGTTCCATCAAGTTACAATGATATCACTGAAGACAGGAAATTGAGGGACTTCATTGGCTGGGTTTGGTATGAAAAAGAGGTTTATGTCCCAAGATCATGGGAAACCAATACCACAAGAGTCGTCCTTAGATTTGACAGTGCAAACTACAACACCATTGTGGTAAGATTGCTTTCTGTCAAGTGAGATTCTTATCTTATCTTGTGTAAGACACTTTGCCTTTATGGAAACTTTCTCTTTCCTATAGGAGTGTAAAGGAATATTAGTGAACTGCCAGAGAAATTAATCTAATGAAATACAGGAGGTTGTCTATGAAGAACTAGCAGTCCATCCAGGAGAATTAATAATGATCTGATTCACTTCATGCTGCCAAAAAATGGATAAGCACCTGGGTTGTGGGCCATTCAACTGATGTGTATACCCTTTTTACATGTTTAATTTTCATTTTAGTGGTTGAATGGAAAAGAAGTTATGAGACATGCAGGAGGACATCTTCCATTTGAAGTGGATGTCACACCTCTGCTTACCTTTGAAAAACCAAACAGGATCACTGTTGCTGTCAATAACACACTTACACCCATGACACTCCCCCCAGGGGAGATCCAATATCTCACTAAGGGGGACTGGTGAGTACTTATTCAACTGCTCTGTCTAGTTTCTACTACACACTTGTGAGAGCACCTGTTCTCATGATAAAGGGTTTTGCTTTAGAACCAGTGGACACTGAACTTTGACTGTAGCATAGAAATGTAATATAAATTACATGATAAAATTTTATAACTGTAAAGCCTTCAACTCAACATCCTTCTGTTTCAACAATTATTTGAAACTTAAAAACCTTACTAAACTTTTGAATCCAGTACTGATCAAAATGTAATGTCTCTCTACATCACTAATATATTTTGGGGAGATAAATTATGACATTGTAGTTGCAGTTAAGCAATGATATGTTATTGTTTTGATATAACACCTGATGTAATTGTGAATATGTGGCAGTGGGCTGGGAGATTTCAAAGTCACGTATATTATAAACAACAGCGTATTACCTTAACCCTTTAACTCCCAGAAGTGATTAACATGAAACTTCTCCCTATAATATCCATACTTTATCCAGCAAAGGGCAAATGAGAATGCCCAAACTTATCAGGTAGAAGTTGTTATCTTGATCTAGTACCAAATTCCCCAAACTTATTTACCAAGAATTGTGTAAAAGCTGGAAAGAAGAACTAACAATCAGATCTTGGGAGTTAAAGGGTTAACTGAGTATTCTTGGTTTGAACCATGAAAAAAGTTTTTCTTCCGACTTATTCTTTGATTTGTTATCTTTTCTCAGGTATCCACCCGGATTTTTTGTTCAGAAATATACTTTTGATTTCTTCAACTATGCTGGTATTCATCGTCCAGTTAAATTATACACCACACCTGTTGTTTATCTCTCTGATATCACAGTGACAACAAATTTCTCAGACAATGTTGGTGAGGTCAAAGTTCTTGCAACTGTGTCGTCAATCAATACTATTGCCATGCTTCCAAAAGGTGATATCACCGTGGAATATCTTCTGTATGATAAATCTGGATTTGTTGTTGCCTCAGCTGGAGGTCCTGATATGTTTGAAGAAACTTTGTCTGTCAAGAATCCAATGCTATGGTGGCCAATTGGAATGAGTGATAAACCTGCATATTTGTACTCACTAAAGGTTGTTGCCATAAATTTTTATTTACGAATTAATATATATTAGTGACCATTTTTTACGTCAAGGTGGCTTAAGGTCAGCAAAGATGCTTTCATGTGTGTGTTCATAACAGAGATAAAGTTAATTAGGGACCAGTTGTATAAAGGGCAGATAATGTTATGTAACAGCAGATAAATTGCTATCCAGTGGATAAGTGATAGCAAAACATGCTATGCCATCCATTGGATGGAGATTTATCCAGTAGATAGCATTTTCCAACATTTGAACCACCAGGGCAAGGTTGATGAAGAAGAAAAGTAATGCAGCCAGAATCCTGCAATATTGACTGACAAGCTGGATTTTTTATATGGCTACAACATAACACCAAAGAGTTGAAATAAATTGGTAATAAAAATCTATAGGATTTTCTTTGTTTTGGCCATCTAAAGACTTGTTTATGACTCTCCCGTAGCCTAAACTGTTGGGTAATAAAATATCTTTTCCCTTGCAATAAAAAAAACAAATTTTTAGAAGCAAACATTAATTTTCCTTTTTGTGGGATCAAAGTAGATAATCCTAGGTTAGGAAGATTAGGGATCATCTGATTTACTACTTTTGCCTTGGATATCCAATAAATCCTACTTCCTGTTTCTAATTTTTTTCCTGTTTTAACTTATGTGGTATTCTGCAGGTGGTTGTTCGGTCTGCATTGTTTACTCTAGAAGATGTGTATTACCTCCCTGTGGGTATAAGGACTGTCAAAGTTGAAGGAACCAATCTTCTTATAAACAACAAGCCATTTTACTTTAAAGGATTTGGAAAACATGAAGATGCTGATGTAAGGATAAGTGTGTATTGTAGATATTTAATTACTATTATAATAATGACAAAATTTGATTTGTGATTCTCAGCAACCCAATGATCAGTGTCAGTGCTCCAAGTTACAACCATTTTGGTTGCCATGGCATGTAAAAAATATATTTGGTGACTAAATTTTTGACAAAAGTCACCAATTAGTGTCTAAACTTTTGACAAAAGTCACCAATTGGTGACTAAACTTTTAACAAAAGTCACCAATTAGTGACTAAACTTTTGACAAAAGTCACCAATTGGTGACCAACAGATTCGAAAAAAAGAGAGAGGGCAAAGGATGACCAAAAATTTGTTTATGGGGAACAATTTACAATTGGAGGTTGCCAAAAGGGGACTCTTTGAAAAATTGAACTTGAACTCTGTTGCAAAAGGTCTGTGTTTGAGTCTTAATGGCTCAGTGGCCATTGCGTTTTAATTTGGGAAAGATTCTTTGCTCTCACTGTACCAATTCTCCACCCAGGAGTATGCATTTGTACCAACAAACTGTCAGGTAAACCTAAAAAAATGCGGGGGCAGGGGGTGGAGGTAAAAAGGTGTAGGACAAGCTTTCCAGTATGGTGGCTTGTATTAGGTTCTCAGGTATTGCAAACTTGCAAAAAAACCGGCACATGAAAGATGTGAAGCAAGCAGTGGTTGTGGTAGCAATTAAGCTAATGCTTGCTTTTTTTGCAAAAGCCATTCTTCAAATGGTCACCTTTTTGCTCACCTCCCCTGACTTGGAGCCAGTAACAGGATTCTCATCAGGGATGGTTAGTCATACCCCTATTCCCTATAAAAATTATTTTAAAAGTTGATATGACACACTCCCAGTCACTTATTGACCACAATGCTTGCAAGGTTCAGTCCTAATAATAGCCACTTGCAATTTTCTTCAAAGATTCGTGGTAAGGGTCTGGATTATGTAATGATAGCCAAAGACTTCAATCTTCTGAAATGGCTAGGTGCTAACAGCTTTAGGACAAGTCACTATCCCTACGCTGAAGAGATCATGGATATGGCTGATCAGCAAGGAATTGTTGTGGTGGATGAGTGCCCTGGAGTGGGAATTGGAGTGTAAGTTGTTTTGGGCTAAAATAGAGTGCTAACTGTTAGTTAGCAATCAGCCGCTTGGGCAATAAATTTTAAAATGATTTCTGCCGTTCTTTAGAGTCATCACTTTATTCTTCTCCAAGGAACGTATGCTCAGTGTCCCAATGTCCTCAATGTTTTTGACAAATTCTACACATATATGAAACATAACACGTAGGAATTGACCAAACTAGTCAGGCGGTTGTACCAATTTAACAATGTACCCTATAAAAATCAGGAATAAAATTGCCTATTTCTTTTTGATGGATGAATGATCCCAAGATTCTCCTGTGACATACTGATTGTATTATCTCCATTGAATATTCTTTCAGAACATAGAGACAGTTTGAAGTCCAAATTAGCCTACTCTTTTTTTTTTTTTTTTTCTTTCTTTTTTTTTTTGTCAGTAATAACCTCGGTAAAGAATCCTTGGAACATCACAGAGAAGTCATGGAAGAGTTGATTCGCCGCGATAAGAACAGACCAGCAGTCGTTATGTGGTCTGTAGCTAATGAACCATGCAGTGACAAGCCCAAGTCGGTGCCATACTTCAAGTGAGAACAAACCACAATGGCGGATCCGAAATAGAGCAATTTTTTATTGAGTTTCGGAAGTAATTCGAAACTGCATTAATTTTGCTTTACCCCACTCTGTGATTGGACCAGAAATCTTGAGCCATCCTCTCAACCAATCATATTCAAAACCGAAACCAGTCCGACTTGTCCACACGCACTTTTCCGCGCCTTGCTCAGATTACTCGATTTCAATTGATGTCCTCATTGACCCGCTGTATTATCTTGCATTCTGATTGGCTGAGATGATTGGCTTGAGCACCTGCATTGGTCTTACTTTACTGAAATTTCAACCAATCAAATGCCAAATGCGTTTTCCCGCGTTTCACGGAGGGTGCATTTTTTTAATGTGAGCTCTCATTGGCTCTTTCAGAGATTTCCTTTGTTCGGAGATTGACCATCTTGATTGCTTTTGTTTTGCTCTTTTACCACCCCATCGAAAAGCAATATATCTGATTAAAATAATCGGAATTACCGTATTTTGCCATGAAACGATCTCTATTACTTTAGTTTGGGATTTCAGACACTTATTTGTAAAGTTCACAAACAAACTTTAAAGTCTCAGCCTACGTTTTCGACAATCAATTAACCGTAAGGAGACTCCTTAATCTTAATTTTATTTCGTGTTAAGAGCATTTCTACTTCCATAGGAAAGTATGTAAGATCACTGTAGATTCATATTCGCCCTTACGAAGGGCTAACGCTCGAAATGTCAGCTTTTTAGCTCTTCACGGTGGCCAATTTACGTTATCAATTCTGTCGATAATACCAAATTACTCTGTCACATTCTTTTCGCTGAGACTTAATTCTCCAAAAACACAAGAGGGTACCGAGAGCCATACCCTGACCATTAGCAAACTGCCTTTCCAATACACTTGTACCAACAGTTAACAGCCCCGCAAAGACTCCAAACGTCGACCAACTCAATGTAAGATGAAATCATTGCAAATTTTAGATTTACCTATGTTATGCCTTGTGTGTTCTTCTTAGGACCCTATTTGATGATACACGCCGACTGGACTCAACGCGACCTGTGACATTTGTAACAATGTTCAAAGCCTGGAATGATAAAGTTGTGAGTAACAGATGCTTTCGGTAAAAGTTATGTTATTCCTTTGGGCTCACTTTATTAGAGCCCGAGCTCACTCGTACATGGTTGACTGAGTAATCGGGCCCCCGACACCATCTTAATCACTTTAGGCCAAATATCATTTTTTGATCTCAACTTTGTCGCTTTCTATTTGTGCGTATACCTTATAATGCCCTTTAAGCAGGTCACCCTAAATTCACACATTTGTAAAACTGAATATAGAACACTTTACTTCTCATCTACAGTACAAACATTCTGGTACATTTGCAAACTATAAATAGGTAAATATTTATAAACGTTCCGGAATTTTCTAAATCTCAAAATCCTGAAAAAAGTGCGACCCGATTGTGGCAACTCTATTGAAAATTTAACCCCGTTATAGTCAATCCAGTCGGGAAAATGCAACCCCTTTCAGCGGCACATCTCCAATAGCCCATTTCTACGTAGTGTCCCCCTCCGGGATCGAACCACCATTGCGTTTTGCAGTATCTTAGTTCGTATCCCTTCCATTTTTACAGGTGCAGTTCTGTGATGTGATATTCTGCAATCGTTATTATGCCTGGTACCACGACTATGGCCAGACCCAACTTATTTCTAAACAGTTAGAGCGAGAGCTGAGGGACTGGTTTGATACTCACTCAAAACCGGTTGTACAGGCTGAATATGGAGCTGACACTGTGGCCGGTATGCACGTGGTACGTGCCCATAGTTTCTCTGGTTTTACATCGCTGTGTTGTATGATTGGTAAAGAAAATTCGCACCAACCTTTCAACCAATCAAATACAAATCTAAAATTAGTCACGACTTGGTAGCTCGCGTTTTCCCGCGCCTCAGGAAGTGTGCTTGGTTGCACTTAAATCTATCATGACGAGAAAGAAATTCCTATGTTCTAATTGACCGCTCTAATTACTTTTGTTTTGGTCTTACCACAGTCTATCAAAAAGCGCTCTATCTGTGTAAATTCTGATTGGAATTTTATATACTTAGTGACAGATTTCACTGCGTTGATCGCCTGGGACGTATGGTCTGGATATTCTTCTTGGTTATCATTTGTGGCTGTTGTTTATGTTTTTTTCTTTAGGCAAGTTTTACACTTACTCAACAAATTGCAAATAACATTAATTGGTACCTTCGTCGGACTCTCGACGACAGGCCACTTCCATGTTCCAAAAACCCTTGTCTTCAAAATGAGGCATGGTGTGTAACCTTTCTTGCGAAAAGAAGTTTAATTTATACGAGAAAAAGAAATCGTTTTTACATCGACAGCTTAGCAAATACCCTCGACTTGAAACGGAGACTTTTTGGATTTTGAGAATGGCTCGTAGGTGGAAGTACGAGCTTCTCTATTTGACTTATCTAAGCAAGGGTGCGAGCTCAAGAAAATTCATCATGTTCTTCGTGTTTTGATTGCGTAGGTTCAGGTAGCCTACGTGGAGATTGAAAACTCATTCCTTAGATTTTGAGTCGTTTCAGATTCCGTGCAACTGACTGCGGTGCGCTCATGTCTATTCCCAGGTCCGTGACAAGAATAATTTTTCCGCAGATCAATCTTTATGTACCTTCTAACATTCATAAAAGACCGCTTCTGTGTAAAATGTTTATTATGATTATTATTATCATCATTATTATTGTTGTTATTAATATCACGATTCTTTCCTTTTTTGCAGGAACCCCCTACGATGTTTTCGGAGGAATATCAAGTAAGTTCTAAAGTTTGAAAAAAGTCGCGAGCCCTGACGCCAGCGCTTGATTAAAATGCTCTTAATGGCTCATTTAATCAACGAAAACGGGAGAGTCGTTCTCCTTTCATCTTAGGTACATCAATTCGTTTCTTAAAAATAGCCCAATTTTGAACTAAATCAGTGCTTGAAACTGGTCGTGAGGTTAAACCTTTGTTCAATAAGGTATTGAATTGCGTTATAATTGGCAAAATGTGGCTGGATTGGCGAACGCAAAGAAAAGACCAAAAGATGCAAGATCACCGTTTTTTGTCTTCCCATGTTTAATGCTGCGAAGGGAATCATTGATTTATTTTTACACCCTAAAATCAGTAAGAGAATTTTTTCAACAAGCAAGAGCTTCCTCAGTTTAGGATCATCTCCTTTACTCTCATGACCTTCATGTTTCGTTCAGGGGTGATACTGTAAGAGGAAATAAGAAGCCAGTCATCCACAGGAGTTAAAGGGTTAATGTGACACTGTTTATTCAATTTTCAAATGAGACATTTTAGTGGCGCTTAGATGAAATTATTAAGTGTAGAAAACCCGGATGTGAGCACGTTGGTTTGTCTTTTTTGGTTGTGTTCGCTCGTTCAATTTTGGATGGTCTCCTGTATACGATTGTAAAGCTTATCTGGAAACTAATACAGTCAAGAATTGTTCCTAATTTGGTTTTGGTGGATATTTTTTGGTAACGGGAACAGTTAAGCTGAAATGCGTACTCTCTTACTAGTAATATTTTAGCTAAACCTTTTTGGTATCATATCAACTGCACAGGTGGAGTCACTCTTGCAGTACTTTCCGGTGTTCGATAAACTTAGGAAAGAATTTTTCATCGGTGAAATGATCTGGAATTTCGCAGACTTCATGACGCAACAAGGTGAGTTGAAACCTGGGGCCGATCCAGAATCTGTGAAAAGAGGGTCCTGACAATCGCCAAAGATGGTTGCCAGTTGCGTGGGAAGGGGGGAAGGGGGGAAGGGAAGGAGTTTAAGTCCTTGGAAATGCAATTTGGGACACTCTTGAGGCTAAGTCGGCGTGAATTAGTGTGTTAAAATCTTTATCTAAATCTTTCTCTCGCGCATTTTTCAGCTAAAATATGATTTTCATTGTAGATTGTACTCGCAATTCTCACGGTTGGTGACTCTATTTGACTCTATTTTAAAAAAAGTTACCATTTAAAGTATTTATTAGTTTTTGCATTTTTTTTTTTAAAATTGGTTATTTTCGTAATTGCGGGCTCGTGCGAATCCCCTTACTTCTCCCCTTTAGAGTCGCCAAAGGAAACTGAGTCGCTGAGTTTGTAATAAGGGATGTAGACAAGATGTTCCACTCAGAGTGAGGGAGAAGAAAGGGGGGGTATATTACACTCGGGTTTTTAAAGAAGCATTAGGGAGCATGCCAGGTTGTTCATTGATACATAGTGTTAGAGACGCTCGTCAAAGAGGGAGGAGAGGGGCCACATGCATCACAGCTACGCCCTCAACTGGTTATCTTTAAATTTTTTTCTCAATTGCATCAATTTTCATTCCCCATAAGGTACAACCCGTGTCGGGGGCAACAAGAAAGGAATCCTTACACGTCAAAGGCAACCCAAGGCCGCTGCTCACTTGCTGCGCCAGCGATATCTCAACATAACCCTCGAACAAGGCGGCACAAGGACTGGGGATGAGTTACTGGACACCCTTCTTCGTTTTGAAAGTCGTAGTGCGGCAAATATAACACAACCCGCTGTGGATAGGCTTAATTAAGGACTGTCTAAGAGGTGTGTTTTAAGAGAGGAAAAACGGAATGAACACTAGTTACTCGAGCTAGATTTGAAAGTGTGAAGCTTCTAACTTTTTCATCATAAAGTTTCCCCACAATATAGAACATGTTTGTTTTTCTTCTGAAACAAAAATTAATCAACAACCTCTATCCCAAGATCTCTCTTCTTTCCGCACCCTAGACTTGGAGCGGAAAGAAGGGGGCCGTGAGAAGAGTGACCCTGGAAACAAAGTTGTTCTGGTGATCGTTAGACTTTAAAGTAGCCTGGTACCCACGCGTGACGCAAACATTTTTTTAATGATCTAAACTACTTACAACTAAGCTCGTCCCAGCACTTTAAACTTTGCACTTTAACCTGAAAGCCATCAATAATTGAAATACTGACATAATGTATTGAAATTCATTTTTATTTATTAAAGTTTATCTGCTATTTAATTGTTGACTAATGAGACAAAAAATAATAATTCCATGATATCTATTTTTACAAAGATCAAATATGAAAATTAATATTACACAATGAAATAAAATAATGCCTTTTCATTGTTTATCTGATAGCAAATGGAGTTGTTTTTCTCTCAAAACACCTCCTAACCGTTCAACTTGCTTTAGTGCTTTCTTTACACTCAGGTCTGTTTGGTGGAATTTCATCAACAAATAGTAAGATAATATCTTAAAAAGCCCAGGAAGTAACCGTCAGCTTTCATCAAGGAATACTGTACGTAAATGTATCTCAAACACTTTTTCAGTCTTGTTTAAACAATTGTAAATCCATTGCAAACGTTATTTAAAGGGTGCCTTGGAGGGCGCTCTTTAGATTATTATTATTTTTTTCTGTTATCTAATTCACTACCGATTAATAGGAGTTAAAAATTTGTCGAAAGAGTGCTTAAGTGTCCTTCTCGGCTGTCAGCTGTTGGCTGCTTTGTGTATTGCAACTTGCTTGCAGTTGATGCACATTTTCCTTGAACGACCTGGAAAAAAAATTGAAGATGAACAGTTAGAGTTTGAAAGGGAGTTTGAAGTCTTTTCATAGTAGCCAATCCGTTTGGGACACTAGAAAACCAATCTCTTAACCACATTTTGTGTTTGAAAAGAAGGACCTTCATCCTTTGTATAATTCAAGACGGCGGCGAACATGTCGATTTATTTTTCAGGCGAAAGCCGACGTTGATCTAATAAGCTAAAATTCTCGAAACCTCTAACTTCTAACCACAAACTGCTGACCGTTGCTTAATATTTGCGGAGAACACACCAAACTTAGATCTTAAATATTCTGCGATATCCTCCAAAAGAAACGGAGGCTCTGGGCTCGAGGATAAGTTCGTGTTGTGCGTATGAGCAATGCGCATGTGTAAAGCAGCCAAATATTTTAGCGGGAAATTAGAAGCTGTCGTTGACGACGTCGATAACATTGTTGCACGGGTTTGTCAGTGAAAGGGCGTTACGAGCCATCTTAAAAATATTGTATCAAAACAAGTCCTTGAACGGTGAGTTAACTCCTTCTCTTACTGTAAAAATGCAGACATTTTTCTCAAAGACCTAACTTCATTATGTTGGTCACAATTAACTCAGACTGGTGCTACAGTTCTGCTTATCACAGGAAGCCATATGGGAGGCGATCGTGTTTCTTCTTTCAATCACTTCTTTGCTGTTTTTGTCGCTGTTATCATGTTCAATTTTCTAATTTATTTGATTTTACGTCAATACTTTTTTAAAATGACCTTCTTATCTTTCGGACTCGCCACTTGCATGATACAATGTAACATTTCATGTAAGCGACTGCTGTTCGCCATCTTGTTTATGTCAGTCAGTCAGTGAGTTAATTCAACCGACAATTTTTATTAAAACTTCGATCGAGCGGTGAAACGAATCCGACCTGTGTTTGCACTTCCTGAACACAATAGAGAGGCTTTTTAAGTTTTGATGCAAAATTAACCAGAGTAAAACGTTGTAGTCTACGCAAAAATGATTTGTGCATTATTCCACACAACATTGAAATACTTGTGTCGTTCTAGATTGTCAGTTATGTGGACGTATGAAGCTCGTATTCATTCTCAATCCCGTTTGTGGTTTAAGTAAAAGTAAAATAAACATCAAAGGCCCTTTTGATAAGTATTAAGAAAATTGAAACGAACATCTTAAATAGGATATTAGATAACTGAGACTTCCGTCAAAGGTAAAAGACAATCATGGATTATTTTTGACACTCAAAGAAAATTGCTCATAACTTAAGTAAAGGAAGCTTGTCTATACCCATAAAAACAGCAAGGGAAAATAAATGGAATGAGACAAAGAAAGACCTCCCCTTAAGAGGAGGCAATTTGTTGCACTTCGCTAAGAACAAGCAAAACCCTAGCAAAGTTTACCTCCAAGTCGTGGTGGCCGTTTGCACAGAGTCTGCGTGATCGTTCATTTGTTTCTGTAGGTTGCTGATTTGTGACCTGCGAAATGCAAAGCGTTGGAAAATATAGATGTAAGTCAGAAAATAGGTCAGTTATCCCATAATATGAAGTGTTTCTTAAACAACTCTTATAGCCTGTTTCGGGCTCGTTCACTTGTTGGTTTCGCCGTGTTTCTTAGATAATTCATCACGAATACTTTTGTCAAGCTGAGCCAATTTCCTCATGTAATCACGATTGAAATGTCTAGGTATGAAGCTCTGTTTACCTACCTCAGTGAAGACATGCATTCTTGGAGACTTGAAATCGGCCTGAAAAACAAGATGACGAGTCTCAACGAAGTTTTCATTGAAATTCCCTTTACTTTTTCGGTCGAACAACTCTTCTTCGTAAAAAGAAAATAGATCTAGCTATAAACAAGCAAAGCTGAAGGAAAAACAAAACCAAATCGAAACAAACACTGAACAAATCGTGGATTCATTTTAGAGCAAATCAATTGTTTACCTAATGTTAACGGCAGCAGATGTATAACTAGCTACATCTAACTCCTCTTGCGTTTTCTCATTACCAAACATGGTTTCCCTTTTCTTTGTAATATCCTCTTGCAGCTGTGGAAGGTTCCTAGAGGCCAAAACATCATTTACCAAGGATTCCAACTCCTGGCGCTTCATGAATAACTGCTGTTTTAGCGACTCTGTGACTCGTCTCACGGAGAGAAGAGAATCTTTCAATTCAAATGTTTTCGTTTGGTAGGTACATTTGACTTTCCTCAACTCTGATAACTCAGAACGCAGCGATGTTGTTTCGCTTCTAGATACTTGCAGGGCAGTTTTCAAGTTCTCCATCTCCAACTGTTGCCTTTCCTCCATGACTCGTACCTGCTCCTTAAGGTATTCCACCTCTCTAGTTCGCCGAGTGACTTCCCATTCTAAGCTCTCTGCTATCCTATCCTTAGCCTTCTCTTGTTCCAACAAAGCTTCCAATCTCTTTTGCAAACTTTCACGTTCAGTTTGTTCTTCTGCAAAGCTTTCCTTTAACCCCTCCAGTTCAGATCGATATCTCTTCGCCTCACTGCTTTCATTGTCAAGCTTCTCTTGCAGCCGTTTAATTTCCGCTTCAGCCACGCTCAGCTTCTTCATCAACTCTGCAAAGCCATTTGAACTTTCCTCGACCTCACTTTTCAAAGCAATATTTTCCTGCCTTTCTTTTCTGAAAGTGTCTTGCAGGTTGTTCTTTTCTTCTCTCATGGTCTTCAACTGAACCTCCAGGTTTTGTATCTTGTCATTTGCCATCCTTATTTGTAAATCTCTGTCCATTTTCACTCTGTCTAGCTCGTTAGCCGCTTCAAGCAAGGCTGATTCCCGAGCTGCTATTTCACCTTCAATTTTAACGACGTGTTCTCGCAAGGTCTTCTGACTTGCTAAAACTCCAGCCAGGCGACCCTTTTCTCGTTCAAGTTCTATCGCGCAAAATTGCGTTCTCTCTAACTCTGTGTTCTTTTCTTTAAGCGTCTTCTTCAAAACTGAAAGTTCTTTTCCCATCTGTCTCAGATCTATGTCTTTGATCCCAAGCTCACACGTAACTTTCTTCTGAGATAATTCAAATTCTTGAGCCATTTTAGTTTTTTCCTGTTGGAGAGTCACAAGATTGCTTTTGACTTTTTCCAATTTTGCGTCGTAACTTTTTTTCAGCTTATCTACACTTTCTTCGGTTTTATCATAAAGCTTTTTCAGTTCTTGTTCAGCCATTTCCTTGTTGTTTTTCATTTCTTGTAATTTTTCTGCAAAGGCCTGTAAGTCTTTGTTATGTTTACCTTCTTTTTTAATAATCTCATCAGTCAGGTATTTAAGCTCTTGTTCAAGATTTATTACTTTATCATGCTCTCTCGTAACTTCTGCCTGGAGCTGTGTTTTCTGTGTTTTGATTTCGTCTCTGAGCGACGCATTCTGACTTTTCAGGGCATCTCTCTCAAGCTGGTCTGACTGACGTGTCGTTTCCAGTTCGCCTTCTAATCTGGCTCGTTCCAGCAGGGAATTGTGGAACTTTTCTTCCAATAGCACACTGTCCCTGTTTAAAGATAAAGGAATAAAGGGAATATGAACAACAAAAGACAACAAGACCGCATGTGTATCCACAAAAATGGGTATTCAAAATTGCCCGTATGGTTTTCAAATTTTCTCTTGGGTGATTCCCTGACGGCGAGGGGAAATCCATGTACGGTTCACAACAGTGCTCCCTGTATCGTTAACATCCTCTACGCAGATACAAAGACTTCTTATCATGAAGATTGGCGGATAATCTTTTAAGTTTTAAGAAAAGTGCCATAAATTCAGTTCGGTAGGTCCACGACCATCCCAAGCATTTTACGCCGCAACGTACATCGAAATCTAACACTAGCGTCTAAAATCGGACTCTAGTGTCTAAAAGTGGGCACTAAAGTCTATAATCGGAATCTAATGTCTAACAATAAACACTAGTGTCTAAAATGAGACACGTGTGTTTGAAATCGGACACTAGTATCTAAAATTGGACTCTAGTCTTTAAAATGAGGCACTTGTACCTAAAATCAGACTTACACTATTTCTCCGGCCAAAACTGGGTTGTGACCAAGCAAAAATAGGTTTTGACCAGACAACTTGACTGGCGTCAGCGGGGAAGTTATTTTCAGTCTTAAATATTCCATTCTGGAATACCACTATTTACCTCATTGCCTTCTCAAGTTGTTTCTGGATCTCCGTCCTCTCCTTGTCCACTTGAGCAATCTCTTCTTGCGAATATTCTAACTTCTGGGTCAAACTAACGATCTCTTTTTCCAAGGCGTCTTTTACTTCTTGAAATTGCTGAACGAGCTTGTCTTTCTGCGCCAACTCTTCTTTCAACGTACAAGCCACAGTAACCTGATTTTCCAAACCCTCCCTCAGTGTGCACAGGTCACCCATGAACACATCTTTCTGTCGTGTTGTTTCTTCCAGCTGACTGGTTTTGGACGTGAGTTCTCTTTTCATCAGTTTGAAGCGGCGATCAACCTTCTCGAGATCCAACTTCAGTGTGTGAATAGCATTGTCACAAGCTTCTCGTTCTTTATTGGCAACTTCTAGATTTTCTTTTAAAATTTTTATTTCTTCCTGCAGCTTTTCAATGAGGCTTTCTTTTTCCCCAATATTGTCTTGAGCGAGTTTTAGTTCTTGTTTAGTTTCAGTGAACTTTGACTCCAACTCGTAAAGATTTCGCTTGTACTCCTCGGTGGAATCACGTGCAAGCTTCAGTTGTTCCCTGACTTCCTCTTTTTCTTTTATTATAGTTTCAAGTAAAGCTTGTTTTGAAATTAAATCTTGTTTCGCTGCATCAAGTTCCTTCTCGATCTCTACAGCGGAGCTCATCAACTCGTGGAGTTTCTTGTTTTCATTCACAAGCGAATCAACTTTTGCTCCCAAAACGTTATGCATTTTCTGTTTTTCAATTTCTGCTTCCCTTATGGCGAAGTTTTGTCGAGTAATGTCCTCTTCTACTTTCTCCATGTGCTTCAGAATCTGCGCTTTCTCCAGGAGTGAACTCTGTTGCAGTTCAGTGAGTTCCCGACTTGATTTCGCGCCTTCACATCTCAGCTGCTCTATAAGTTGGTTTTTAACAGCAACTGTCGTTTCAGATTCACTGACTTCAAGCTGTAACTTTGTGCGGGCTTCTTGAGCGAAACCCAACTGTTTTTGAAGCCATTCCTTGGCATCCATAAGTCTTGCTATCTGTACATTCAAATCCATATTCTCTTTCTTGAATTTATCATTCCTCTCTTTTGCTTTTTCGAGCAGTTTTTTTAGGTTTTCCATTTCAATTTGTAATGAACCCACCATTTCTTCCCGCTGACTGATTTCGCCCTCTACTAAAGACAGCTTCTGCTTAAGATTTTGAATGGTAACACAGGATCTCTTCAACTGCTCCAGCGCCTCATTTAGACCGCCATGTTTTTCTTCATACGCGTTCTGCAGTTTGACAAGCTGATTTTCCAACTCGTACTTATTTCGTTTCAGCTCCTCAACTAGGGACACAGCAGCTGGGTTAGTATCCCGCGCTTTGAGCACCTCCTCCCGCAGTTGTGTTTCTATCGCTTGCAATCTAACCTGCAGTGACTTCCTGTCCTCTAGAACATGAGCCAATTCATCTTGTAAAGACTGCAGCTTTCCTTCCAAACCAGCACGTTGAAGAGCAAATTCGTCATAATCTTTTCCAACCAATGACTTCTCTTTTACCTCATCACCAGTAATTTCAAGGTACGCACTCTCGTCGTGGTCTGAGCCACCTCTCGGTAAGTCAACGCCACTGAAAATGATCTCTTCAGACTTCAGACCCATTGTGACAGATTCACGCCAAGGCTTCCCAGAGGAGTTCAATTCGATACCTGGAACAAGAAAAGCACTTCCTTTGCATTCAACACCTTTCTCCTTAACAGATGAAGATAGATCTCGCCTCTCTATCATGATGTCCGAAAACTTGCCACTATCCACAGCTAATCCGTTTCTGCCATCAGTAACACCATCTATTTCGGAGACATCAGTCTCGGAGGGCGCAGCAAATTCGAGATGTACCCCAGAATCGTCACATGGTGAATTCATTTCATCTGAGGAGAGGTTATGGCGGAATGAAAATTCTGTGGTGCAAGAAAATTTGTGCTCAGTTATGGAAATTTTAGGGCTACAAGGTTTGTAGCAATTTAAATTGAAGGTGAACGGCTTCTCAAATTTCGAACAATGTTAATAACTACAACTGTTTTTATTTTTTGCTGAAGATCAATAAAAGTCCAGCAATATTTGTAAGTGAACATAAAATAAAAAATAACCTGATATCTTTTTCTCTGTTCTGTTTGAGAGTGTCAGGTACTATGTAAATCATAACTTGTGTTTAAGTACCATTTGATTTGAAATACATCTGTTGAAAGACACAACGAAACACGGGTACTGACAAAGACAGATACTGTGTCCAGTTCACAAGCAAATGCCAAATCAAGTAAGTTACATTCAAGTAGACAGCATTGGTAATTTTAGTATGAAAGAAAGTCTTGTCTCATCTAGCTCTTAGCATAGTTAATGATTCAAGATCCCAAGTAATAGTCACTTGTGTAGTTTGATGGTTCAGATGAGGGAAGTCCTGAAAAGAACTATTCTAGGTGACACTAACAGATGTTGTGACAACAAAAGTTGAAGTCAGCATCAGAGTTCAAGTTAAATGATTCTACTACTCTCAAACACACTTTTGGACCAAGTAACTACAGCATTCCATTAACATTGGCTGAAGACCTTCATTATCAAGAACTTCAACAAAACTTGATTTGAACCTAATCAACTGTACCTTTCTTGCTTCTCTGAAAGTTGACCAAATAACCCTGGAGCTCTTGAAGATTCTGTGTGCCATTCTCTTGGAATTCACTCACACCAGTATCTGGAGAACAATATCCAAGTGACCTAGATTCTAAAGAGTCTTGTTGAGGCATTGTCAAATGTATCATATCAAGGGGCTGAGGGACATTCACTTTCTGAGGTACCCTACATGGAGCCCCTTTAGTATGTGGTCCCTGCACCACAGAGTCCTGTGCTGAAGTTGGCATCTCGACTGATGGCATGGGTACCTCAGTGGTTCTCTTCTTATCTGAATACAGATTCAAAACCAGTGTGCGAAGTTCTTTTTCATAAGTACTTGGGTTTTTAGAGAGCTTAGTTGGTAACTTGTGGCTAATATCCAAATGAGTGGTCCCTTGACTGGGGCTTGAAGATGGCAAAGTGGGAGTATTGGTAAGTTCTGAGTCATAGTTGATCAAATCATTCAAAGCTTCAGAATAAGGTGAAGTCAGTAGTACTTCTCCTGGTTTCAAGGGAGTTAGTAATGACTCCATGGAAACATGATCCTAAAACAGAGAGCATATAATTATTTAACAATTACACACTGAAGGTGAAGGGAATAATCTCAGAGACAAAGTCAAGAGTCAAGAATACCTTACCTTACCTTTTACCCTATGCAATTTTTCTAAATTTGGAAAAAAAAGTACATGCCACCGCATGGTAAATTTTCATAAATGTTTAAACTAGTCAAGGACTAGTTTAAACCCACATCTAAAACACACTTAACCACCTCAAAAAAGTTTAATTCCTGTTGCATTTTAGACAGTACAACTTCACCAAAGAAGGGAAAAGCCTCACTATTCTGGATGCTCTCAGTTTCAAAAGCCTATATAAACTCTATACAATACATCATTATGAAGAAGTATTAAGAGGTTCCCTTCACATCCTTGCAATTATCGGTGTGATCCCCTATAAAATAGACCTACAAACCTATGACTCGTGCTGAGAGCTGGCTTCTTTGATCATTGTATTATGTTCTCAAGTGCATTTTCATCTCTCAATTTCTTTGCTGCAGTTCATACATGATCAGTCCCAATACATACATAATTTCACATTAATTTTGCTCAGACAGCATTCAACAGCAGCTTTGTAATACAGCCAGTAAAAGCATAAAAAACATTGAACCTATATTCACACTTCTAATAGTGCTCATGAAAGATCTACATTTGATTTCCATTATGTAGCCAATAAATAAGTTTCATCATTTAACCCTTAAGCTCCCATGAGTGATCAAGACAGAATTTCTCCTTACAATATCAATACAATATCAAGCTAACAAATGATAAGAATAGAGATAAATATCAATTAGAGGGTTATTTGTTGATCCAAACCAACATCATAAGAACTGAATAGGAGACAGTAATGAGGATTACTTGTGAGGTCTTGTGAAAGGATTAATAAATTAATGTTATCATGATTTCAAGTGGTCAACTCCAACGGTAAGGCCTTTAAAGGGGATTAACAATTTTGCACAATTGTACCCATGTTACCAGCCATTACCTGACCAAAGTGAGAACAATTCACTATTATTTTTTTAAAGTGAGCTCAAATGCTGCCTTGGTCACACTTTTTTACATCCTTGGAAGTTGTAAAATTGCTTCGGCCAATGTTTTTTTTTTTTAATTTTCTACTTTACAATGCTCCAGATTCTCTCAGAAAAATAACACAACTGAAAAAATACGAGTTTATTACCTTTTCAGATTTAGAGAGAAGAAGAGATTAAAATGTTCAATTTGCAAAAGTGGTTTGAAAACAATGACTAACAGCCAAAGAAACTGTCAATATCTTAAAAGTCCGTTTTTATTCAAAAGGTAAGTTCATCAGACATGCAAATATATTTTAGGTTGCCTTCTCTTTGCTGAAACACACCCAACATAAAATGCTTCTCGGAAGAAATTTGAATTTGTGAAGTAAATCATGTCCAAAAATTCCTCAAATCAGACACAAAAATTCTCATTGTTTACATCCAGACTGATAAGTCTTACATTTCTAACACGCACAGGCCTTTTAGGAACGAAGAACACCCTCCTGTACATACGAGGCGAAGAAGCTTTAACTTAACATTACATTTAACAGCTACTTTCTGGCCGTTTACTACAAAGCAGTTCGTAACTTAATCGCAAAGGGAAATAATTGAAAAATCAGACACAAAAATTCCCATTATTTACATCCAGACTGATAAGTCTTACATTTCTAACACGCACAGGCCTTTTAGGAACGAAGAACATCCTCCTGTACATACGAGGCGAAGAAGCTTTAACTTAACATTACATTTAACAGCTACTTTATGGCCGTTTACTACAAAGCAGTTCGTAACTTAATCGCAAAGGGAAATAATTGAAAAATTATATCATCTCCATATGGAAAGCGACTTTGCCACGCTATCATCTGTCGTTTTAATTATATTCGAGTACAGCAACACTTCAGCTTAAAGTTGCCTCAAGTTATTTCTCTTTCATTTACAGTTTGTTTGTTATCAATCCGATCACACCGCACCTCAAAATACAATTGTGCCTTCTCGCTGAATAAGCCTTGCGAAAAGTTTCAAATAAACTGCGTACATATTTCCTTAGCGATTTCAAATTGAAAGTGTTAATTACATAAGTGGATCATGTTTGACATTAAAACGATTCCTCGCTCGCCTATAAATTCTTCTATGACAATAAAATCTATGATTTCTTGATGGGAATAACTGCTAGACCACAAAGTAATTATCTTTAAAGATGAGTGAAGCAACCAAAGCCACGAGACAAAATGGAAGAGACGCCATTGACTATTCTATCACCTTTTTTGGGCACGAAACTGACGGAAGTCGAGCATACCTTACCTTAAATCACTGAGACTTCGTCCTCTTCAACCTTCCTCACGTATGAATTTCAGTTTTTACCCGCTAAGAAGCCGACAAACTATACTCTGAAGACAAACAGAGGACGTGGGTCGCTTCAGTATTAAACGCTAAACATCCTACTTTCGGTATGTAGTAATCTGACACCAAGGCTAAACTGTCTGTGTCGTATCACGTGCAAAGCAGTTTGTCCGTAATCTTTGTACTCGTGGTTTGATTTCGTATGTTTTGCTTTTTGTTGTTTGGGTAAAAGAAGAGCACATAAATTATATTCGGTTAAGTACAAACAAGATATTGACAAGTACTTTCTTTTTTTCCTTTATCTTTTTTTTCTGTTATTATTATCATTATTATTATTATTATTATTATTATTATTATTATTATTATTGTATTATTAACGTTACATTTACCATATTTTGTAGGAAGCAACAAGTTGGCGTAGCTTACGTAGCCGACCTTCTGTTACGTACGGAGAGACATGCAAGAAACCAAACAGAAGACATCTGCTCTAAACTTTAGGGTAAATTTCGGCAAAACATAGATTTATGATTCAGAAGTCGGGTCTAAGAACGGATATCATTCGAAACGCTCACTCCGAATTCTAAACGACTTCACTCCGTATTCTAAAAGCTCAGTACTAAACTTCGTCTATTTTCCAAAAATACAGCATTCAAACGCGAATGTAAACAAAGTTGAGTTGAAGTAGGATCTCCCAGTGAAGCTGTTTGCCGCGAAAATTCACGCCTAACGGAGGTCATGAAGCGTTGATAGTTTATGAAATTTTTTTTTACTCAGTAAATCGCGCGCGTTCATTTGTTAGGAAAATTTAAGTTTGAGTGATTTATGTTGATTTGATCGAAAAAATTTTCGGTCAAAGCTGATGTACGTAGGTTTGAAGTTCCTTTAATTCGAGCTCTGCGGCTTTGATGTGCAATTGTTTTTAAAGATTATAAAACTGTCCCTGTTTTATAAGCTGTCAGTTTGAGTGATTTATTGTGATTTGATCGAAAAAAAATTTCGCTCAAAGCTGATCTACGTAGGTTTAAAATTCCCTTAATTCGAGTTCTGCGGCTCTGATGTACAATTGTTTTTAAAGATTATAAAACTGTCAATGTTTTATAAGCTGTCAGTTTGAGTGATTTATCTTGACTTGATCGAAAAAAGTTCGGTTAAAGCTGATCTACGTAGTTTTGGAGTTCCCCTAATTCAAGTTCTACGGCTTTGATATACAATTGTTTTTAAAGATTATAAAACTGTCAATATCGACGAGAGAACATTTGCAAAGGGTACGTGTTACTATCATAAGAGTTATTAAAAACATTAATTAATGACACTAACGATGAAGCCAGAGTGGAAGAATGATTCATGTAGCTGGGAATTTGGGTATTGATGTGTCGATACAAGAAAGGCGATTTTTATGTTTGTTCGCAATTTGTGACATTAGTGGGAACTTGATGCGCCGAGGATCTCAGTTTAATAGAGATTTGTGAATCGACTTCTTCCCTTTGACGGTAACCGGTCGTTTCGCCAACGAGTTGTTTCGCTAACAGCAGTTTCGCAAACGTTTCTAATCAGTTCGCAAACGTGTAAAAGTCAGTTTGCAAACGTTGAGAAGTCATTCGCAAACGTTATATAAAGGTCATCCACTTCCATTTTAAAGTGGGATTGACGCAAGTGTCGAGTCTGCATATTTTTCACTGACACTTCTGATTGTCGTCCGAAATTCTACTTACGAATTCATTATCTAAGAGAAAGGAGGTGTAGAGTTTGCAATAACTTGGACCACAAGTAAGAAGAGGGTACCTTTGCCCAAACCTCTAACAACCAACAGAAGGGGCCTGAAGGGTGTCAGGAGCCATAGACGACGATAGGGAACTTAACCACCTGATTTAGTTTACAAACACACACAGTAATCGAGGTGAGCTACTAGAATCAGTTGTAACTGGTTAAGCCATGACAAATCGTAAAGTTGATGCTGACTAAAAACTTTACTTGACCTGAACAAACAATATCGGCATAGCAAACAAACGCAATATTTCAAGTGTCAAAATCGACATATTTCCTTTAATTCGTTTACCTCCTTCTAACTTGCATTGCATATCGAAGGATGACTAGCTTGAAATGGATAACACATAAGGAACGTAAAAGGAAGAAAAGAGGTTAAAAAATACCTAAAACGGTTAAAGAATACAAAACCATTTCTATTTCAAGGAAAAAGAGTCTTCTTCGGCGACTTCTGATGAACAGAAAACACTACAGGATTCAGAATATAACTAGCAATTAACAAAGTGGCCTGAAAAAGAAAACTGCTCAGAAACAAAAAAAGGGAAAAAGTGGATAAAAATCATGATACCAAGGGGAAAAAGTAGAGACACCAGTAAAAACAAAATGCAAATTCCGCGGGGAGGAGTTACTCGGCCCCCAAGCCAGTTTGAGAGTTACTCCTTGACCGCCAGCTCCAAATCATACTCGGGGAGAAGTTATTCGGCCCCCAAGCCAGATTGAGAATAACTTCTATAGCGTGATTCGAACCCGCGACCTCGATGACCTCTCTTGCACTCGTTGCGCGCCTACGATTGCCGCCCGACCATCTCGAAACTACATATTATATTAGCATAAATTATCGGTGTAGTGAGTTTTAAAATATCAGTTTGGGGGGGGAGGGTGAGGAACTTTGTGTTACTGAGAATGCAGTCGACCGTTTCCGGTCAAGAATAAAAGAAATAAATCAAACAAAGAACTGAAAAAAACGATCTACACGAGGAATATTAGCATATGTTGTAATGGCGGACGGCTTCGTTTGCTGAAGGTCTTTAACAAGACTCCTCAGTATTGCATTGCACATCTTTTACTGCGCATAAAAATCACGTAACCATTTAGGCGAATAAGCACACCTCTTGTATTTTAATCCATGGACCAGGTTTGAAAGCTCGATGGTCTTTAGCTCTTGATTGAGAACACTAACCTATGCTTTCTATTGCATAATTTTGGTGTACAAATTGTCTGTTTAAGATTGATTTAGTTTAACAACATACTCAGCAATCAAGGTGAGCTACAAGAACCAGTTGTAACTGGTTAAGCCGTGACAAATAGTGAAGTTGATGCTAACTAAAAACTTTACTTGACCTGAACAAACACTATCGGCATAACAAAGAAAAGCATCGTTTCAGGGGTTAAGAACGACATATTTCCTTTAATTCCATGTTTTGAATCTTGCCTCTAGTCAAGAGATGGTGTTGGGGTTATTTTCTCTCTTGTATTAAGATTATGAAGTTCTGTCCAGTTTTGAATGAGTTCGTTGCATGCGTTTTCAAACGATTACCAATACATGACATTTCGCATGATTACGGAAAGTTGGGTTGATGTCGAAGATGTGCTCCAGCACGGATCCTCAGAGACTTACAAGCCTGTTTCTTCATTTTATTCTCGACAAAGAGAACTTCACTGCAGTTTACGATCGAACATCGACATCTTCATGTCAGAGTTCAGCACGTAGACATACTGAGAACAGGTTTACCTCCTTCTAACTTACATTGTCTATCGAAGGATGACGAGCTTGAAATGGATAATATATAAGAAACGTCAAAGGAAGAAAAGAGGTAAAAAAAATACATAAAACGGTTAAAGAAAAAAATATTTCTATTTAAAGGGAAAATAGTATTTGCCGGCGACTTCTGATGAACAGAAAACACTACAGGATTCAGAATATAAATAACAATTGACAAAGCGGCCCGAAAAAGAAACTGCTCGAAAACGAAAAAAGGGAAAAGGGAAAAAAAAGATGAAAATGTTTATAATAAGGGGAAAAGAAGAAAAAACAGCAAGAACAAAAATGCAAATTCCGTGGGGAGGAGTTACTCGGCCCCCAAGCCAGTTTGAGAGTTACTCCTTGACCGCCAGCTCCAAATCATACTCGGGGAGAAGTTATTCGGCCCCCAAGCCAAATTGAGAATAACTCCTATAGCGTGATTCGAACCCGCGACCTCGATGACCTCTCTTGCACTCGTTGCGCGCCTACGATTGCCGCTCGACCATCTCGAAACTGCATATTATATTAGTATAAATTGTCGGTGTAAAGAGTTTTAAAATATCAGGTTGGGGGGGAGGGTGAGGAACTTTGTGTTACTGAGAGTGCAATCGAGCGTTTCCGGTCAAGAATAAAGGAAATAAGTCAAGCATAGAACTGACAAAAGCGATCTACACGAGGAATATTAGCATATGTTTGAGTGACTGACGGCTTCGTTTGCTGAAGCTCGTTAATGTGACTCTTCAGTATTGCATCGAACATCTTTTACTGCGCATAAAAATCACGTAATCATATAGGCGAATAATTGCGCTTATTTTATTTTAATCCATGGACCAGCTAAAAAGGCTCGATGGTGTTTAGCTCTTGATTGAGAACAGTAACCTATATTTTCCACTGCATAATTTTGGTGTACAAATTCTCTCTTTTAGATTGGGAAATCTTATTTGGTCTTTTTGGCTCCTATGAGTCCCTTAGTAAAGAAGATTGCAGTCCTTTTATAATAACAAAATTTGCATTATCATTAAAAAGGCGTTCGAGACTTTAACTGAATAAATCTGCAACTTACTGAACTGATGGCTTGAGAGTACCATGATTTATGAAAAAAAAGGGGTCAAAAAACTGACAAAAGTGATCTACACGAGGAATATTAGCATATGTGGTAATGGCGGACGGCTTCGTTTGCTGAAGGTCTTTAATATGACTCCTCAGTATTGCATTGCACATCTTTTACTGCTCAAAAAGATCACGTCATCATTTGGGCGAATAAGCACCCTTCTTGCATTTTTATCCATGGACCAGGTTTAAAGGCTCGATGGTCTTTAGCTCTTGATTGAGAACACTAACCTATATTTTTATTGCATAATTTTGGTGTACAAATTATCTGTTTAAGATTGATTTAGTTTAACAACATACTCAGCAATCAAGGTGAGCTACTAAAACCAGTTGTAACTGGTTAAGCCGTGACAAATAGTGAAGTTGATGCTAACTAAAAACTTTACTTGACTTGAACAAACACTATCGGCATAGCAAAGAAAAGCATCGTTACAAGGGTTAACAAAGCATATTTCCTTTAATTCCATGTTTTGAATCTTGCCTCTAGTCAAGAGATGGTATTGGGGTTATTTTTTCTCTTGTAATAAGATTATGAGGCTCTTTCCAGTTTTGAATGAGTTCGTTCATACGATTTCAAACGATTATCGATACATGACATTTCGCATGATTACGGAAAGTTGGGTTGATGTCGAAGATGTGCTCCAGCACGGATCCTCAAAGACTTACTAGCCTGTTTCTTCATTTTATTCTCGACAAAGAGAACTTCATTGCAGTTTACGATCGGACATCGACATCTTCACGTCAGAGTTCGGCACGTAGACATACTGAGAAAACGTTTACCTCCTTCTAACTTGCATTGCCTATCGAAGGATGAAGAGCTTCAAATGGATAATACATAAGAAATGTAAAAGGAAGAAAAGAGGTAAAAAAATACATAAAACGGTTAAAGAAAAACAAAACCATTTCTGTTTTAAGGAAAAAGACTCTTTCCCGGCGACTTATGAGCAACAGAAAACACTATAGGATTTAGAAGATAACTAACAATTAACAAAGTGGCCCGAAAAAGAAAACTTCTCAGGACGAAAAAAGGGAAAAGGGAAAAAGGAGATAAAAGCGATGATAACAAGGGAAAAAGAAGAAAAAACAGCAAGAACAAAATACAAATTCCGCGGGGAGGAGTTCCTTGGCCCCCAAGCCAGTTTGAGAGTTACTCCTTGACCGCCAGCTCCAAATCATACTCGGGGAGAAGTTATTCGGCCCCCAAGCCAGATTGAGAATAACTTCTATAGCGTGATTCGAAACACTCGAAAAGAGGGGAAGAGGTCTGCAGATTATTTCTGACCAAAAATGTAAATTTCCTTCGTAAAAGTAACCGATATAGGTATGTATTTTAACCAAATTCCATTTTTAAGCGGGATTGACGCAGGTCTAATCAGCATATTTATTACTGACACTACTGATTGTCGTAACAAATTTATTTATGAAATCATCATCTGAGAGAAAGGAGGTGTAAAGTTTCCAATAACTTGGACCACAAGTAAGAAGCGGGTACTTTTGCCCAAACCTCCTCCAGTAGGGCCTTGAATGGTGCCAGAAGCCATAGTCGACGATAGAGAACCTAACGTCTTGATTTAGTTGGCAAACACGTACACTCAGTGATAAAGGTGAGCTACTAAAACCATGCATTTGTACCAGGTTAAGCAATAACAAATCGTAAAGCTGATGCTAGTTAAAACTCTACTTGATCTGAAGAAGCAACGTCGGTATAACAGACAAAAGCAACATTTCAAGTGTTAAGAACGACAGATCTCCTTCAGTGCTTTTTTTAAATCTTGCTTCTCATCAGGAGATGATGTTAGGGGTATCATCATACGGCTCCGTCCAGTTTTGCAGGGTTAAGTTGCATACGATCTCGCACTATTACCGACACATGACATTCTGCATGATTACAGAAAATTAAGCTGATGTCGGAGATATGCTCCAGCGCGGATCCTGACACAATTACGAGCCTATTTTAGTATTCTTTATATGGTGAATTTCATCGCAGTTTACGATCGGATGTCTAAGATCAGAGTTCGGCGAATAGACGTACTAAGAAAAGGTTTAGCTTCAACTTGCATTGCATATCGATTTGAAAACTGAATTGAATGATACAGAAGTAACGTAGAAGAAAATAAATAGGATAAAATAGATGACAAGGTTACAGAAACAAAACGATTTCCAATTTGAGGAAAAAGAGTTTTTGCCGGCGACTTGTGAGTTACAGAAAACACTACAGGTTCAGAATATATAGTTGACGACAATGAAATCATGAGGGAGTTAGGAATTAGTAATGAACCGGAAGAGACATGCTCCATCAATTGAATTGTGCCTAACGATTAGCAAGGCTGAAGTCAGTTTGCGATTCCCTTCTCAAAAATCCTAGCTACGCCCTTACCCCAGGAGACTTCTTTGCGGACCACTTGATTCCAAGAAAAAAACTACAAAGAAGAAAAAGAAGAAGGAAGAATAGAAAAAAAACGAAACCAACACGAACCAACAACTGTATCAGAAAAATTACCCCTGTGGCCCAAAAGATAAATGCTCAGAAACAAATTTTTTTGCCCAATTTTCTTTCTTTTTTTTCCGATGAATTTTTGGATTTCTTCTATTTCATTGTAAATTGGGAATGACCTTTCCCGCGAGTTTGAGAGGAAGCCTTTGTCACGAGACTTGCTGGGGAATTCGATAATGCGTTTCATCGGTCGATCTGCAACATGTACGCATCGACACACGCTTATAAGGTGAGGAAACTGTGAATTTCTTTGGAGGCCTGTTTACGATCGGAGAACAACATCGCAAAGTCAGAGTTCGGCACGTAGACATACTGAGAAAACGTTTACCTTCTTCTAACTTGCATTGCATATCGAAGGATGACGAGCTTGAAATGGATAATATATAAGAAATATAAAAGGAAGAAAAGAGGTAAAAAAAATACATACGGTTAAAGAATACAAAACCATTTCTATTTCAAGGAAAAAGAGTCTTTGCCGGCGACTTCTGAGCAACAGAAAAGACTATAGAATTCAGAATATAACTAACAATTAACAAAGTGGCTCGAAAAAGAAACTGCTCTGAAACAAAAAAAAGGAAAAAGGGAAAAAGAAGATAAAAATCATGATAAAACGTGGAAAAAGTAGAGAAAACAGCAAAAACAAAATGCAAATTCCGCGGGGAGGAGTTACTCGGCCCCCAAGCCAGTTTGAGAGTTACTCCTTGTCCGCCAGCTCCAAATCATACTCGGGGAGAAGTTATTCGGCCCCCAAGCCAGATTGAGAATAACTCCTATAGCGTGATTCGAACCCGCGACCTCGATGACCTCTCTTGCACTCGTTGCGCGCCTACGATTGCCGCTCGACCATCTCGAAACTGCTTATTACATTGGCCTAAATTGTCGGTGTAGTGAGTTTTAAAATACCAGGTTGGGGGGGGGGGGGGGGGGAGGGTGAGGAACTTTGTTTTTTTGGGAGTGCAATCGTTTCCGGGTTTCCGGGTTTCCGGGTTTCCGGCCAAGAATAAAGGAAATGAATCATGCAAAGAACTGACAAAAGCAATCTACACGAGGAATATTGCCATATGCTGTAATGGCGGACGGCTTCATTTGCTGAAGCTCGTTAATGTGATTCGTTCTACCTACCGTAGACAGTGTAGATAGTTGTACTCATTGTAGACAGTGTAGATGGTTATACCTATTGTAGACAGTGTAGATAGTTATACCTACTATAGACAGTGTAGATAGTTGTAATTAGTATAGACAGTGCAGATAGTTGTACCTACTGTAGACAGTGTAGATAGATGTACCCACTGTACTAGTTAACACAGTCATATGTCTTACATAACAGTTTCACAAATTGGCACTACAATATAGCCTACATGAAAAAATTTTACAAAGTGACTATGTGATTTTCCACTATGCACTATATACCGAAAAAGTAATGAAATGTTTCATTTTCTCTTACCGAGAGATAATTGAGGAAAATATTCGCATATAACCCAAAAAACGGTACCTCACAAGTGTCTCTTTGTTATCCGCCGAATCAGCGCAAAACTGAATAAAAAATACCACTTTAATCGCTGAGTCATACTGAGTCATAATTGTGATACCAATATACGATGTGTCATATGTGTGCTGGATTACATCAGATTGTCTTGCCTGGTTTCATATGGGAAATCAGACAGTGTAACTTCTCTTATAGTATTTTTCCTCGTTTCATCTCATTTCCCATGATATTTTGATCATCTCTACAAAATATAATTGGAAAAAGGCGCGGGAATTAAGAAGTATTGTAGACGAGAAAAGAGCAAAGTTGTCACATGACCTTAACAACTCTACTTACGTAACGCTTTCGTCATGTTACATGAACGGGTAACGAAAGCCCGGCATAACTTAAAAGCCTGGCTGTTATTATTTTGCATTTGTAGCTGTTGTGATAAATCTAAGGAAGGAAGCTGTTGTTCTACCCATAATGAATTTCCTTAAGTCTCACTTGCGTGGAATATTTTATCCTCCGGGAACAACTCCTTTAAATTGGAGACTATTCTCCATCGTTTTCTTATCTTCGGTAAGTAATTATTTTATCTTTCCTTTAACTTTTCTATCGCAACGCGCGATTTTCCATAATTATCCTGAGAGCTTACCGTAGTGTATTTAAGAAGACAATAGGAGACTCAAACAATGCGGGAGTTAGCCATTTCCAGCACTGTAAAACAGATCTAACGCAGATTAATCAAATAAGGAGATAAATTTTTAATGAAACTCAGTGGTGCTGCGTCGGTAGGGGTATTTCAAGATGACATGGTTTTATCATCTGAGTTGATTCTGCAAATTGGCCACCGTAAAGATTTTCCAAAGCTGATGTTTCGAGCTTTAGCCCTTTATCAGAGCAAAACAGTACTGTTTTCTGTGTAGTAGTAGTTAGTTTTCTGTGTAGGTTACACCGGTTACGCAATATGTTCGTCTGACAAGGGGCAGTGTTGTTGAGGTCTAGTTCATTTGGTTTAGCGCTGATGTATTAACTGTCAGACCTTGATATTGCTCAAACGATGCTGGAGAAATAAATTCCGCAAGCAAAAGCTAGAGCGGACGTAAAGAACGTAAGAGCCACTGCTGATGATCAAGATGGGAACGCTTTAAAATTTTTTTGTTGTACTGTCGCTGATTGGCACGTGAGCATTCACGTGAAGGAGCACACGATGATCAATTTACATAAGAGAGCGAGACTAGAAGTTGCAGCTAGAATTGTTGCAACTCTGGCAGACTGATGGATGATCCATTACTTAACTTTATTATTGTAAAATTGGAACACTGCATGCGTTGAACAAAACGCTGTAAAACTGAGCTTGGGATTCCGGAGAATGTCACCTAGGATATAGCTCACTGGCTGAGTCATTAAAGTTGAAAAAATTCGATCTCGTAATTGTGCCTGGAGGTTGTTCTTAGTTCATTTTAAGAAACCAGATATCAGTCAGAATAAGCCGCTCAAAGTTCTTATCGAGAAAAGTACAATAAATAGCCACGGAAACTTGAAAAAAACTTGGAATTTCGGAGCTTCGATCAAGTTAAGTTAATTTGTAATGGATTCTATATGCTTGGGCTGAGCTACCCACAAATGCTATCCATATTTCCTTCACAAGTTGCATCTTTAACCTCTCTTTGATTTATGCTTTGAATGATGATGCTATTCACAGTTTCATAGAAGGACAGCCCTCAGGGAAGCTGGCAATGTTACCTATATGCAGCTAGATATTCTTAGCTGAGAACCAAATACGAATTCTTTTCAATGCATAAGTTCTTATGTGTTAGAGGCATAGCCTCCTGTGTTAGAGGTTGTTGACTTAGATCAAGAAGGGAACAGTGTGGTCCAAATTGAGTGAATTAAGACACTTTTAACTTGTAATTAAATTGAAAAGTGCTAGAAGAGATCAGAGGTGAAAATCGAGACACTTCTGTTAATTAATTACTATTAATAATATTCCCATTCAGGTGAAAACGAAAGGGAAAATTTTGTGTGCCATGTCCAATTTTTAAATGTGCCTCACTTGCAAATAAGCTTTGCCCTTGAGGAAGTGGAACATCGAGGTGCAAATAATATAAGAAGTGCTATGGTGCATTAATACAAGTAATTACAATTATATTTTCTTGACACAAAAGGAATTCAACAATTATGATGAATGTTGTTTTATTTTCAGTTTTGTTCTGCAATGTCCATCACCATATTGTTTCCATTTTTACCAGCTATGGTAAAGGTGAGATGAAATTATGATCAATGCTCAATTTTAAGAAATGTGTCAGCAGGCTGTATAATTATGGGGAAGGAAGCTTGATTATTGAACCCACAAAAAGTTAATTAACTCATCATGGTTTTTAAAACACCAATGAAAAATGTCTGTTTTGTACTTGATGTCTAAGATATTGTCATTAATCAAAGATTTGTCATGTGTCTGTTTTTTTTGTTTTATTTTTTTTGTCAGAGCTTTGGGATCTCAGATGAAGACACAGGTACTATGTGGTTGCATAATAATTATTTCTATACTTTCTATAAAGTTTTTGTTTAGTTACTAACTAAAGATATGAAATGCCAGGCTGACACTGGCCATAGTCATTGCTTTTTTAGTATTTGATATACATGATATGGTTTGATAGTTATACTGATTATGAAATAACTGACTTGATCTCTATTTAATTAATTTTGTTCTTTACCATGTGCTCCATCCAATTTACATCAAGGACAAGTTGCTTCCTTTCCTTATATTTATATGTAAATTATATAGTTGACAATTCACAAAGGATCACTGAATACCAGTGCTAATCGATAGAAGCCTCAATAATAAATTTACTGACTATTGTGTCCACTTTTCATAAGTTCTCAGCAATATTCAGTTATTTCCGCATTTTAAAAAGAAAAAATTTAACAAAAGTATTTGATAACAATTTCCATTTATTTCTTTCCTTTCTAGGATACTATGCAGGTGTTGTAGCATCTTCAATGTTTATTGGACGCACTGCAGCTTGGTAATTGCAGAGAAAATTTTATTTGATAAGTAAAATCTTAGATCCAGGCTGACATGTGATATAGTAACTTAACATGGCAGTTCTAGATGTTACAAATAATTTATAATCATTGAAAGATTTCCAGTAAATGTGCACCTTGGGGGCCAGGTATGTTCCTAAAGATTCTATTCTAAACTTAATGAATAAAGAAACTTTAACACAAGACACATCAATTGCAGTGGTGTACATTGATTTTATTTTCGAGAGTGTTGATGTACAAGGCACAGCAGCTATGGACCAGCAAACATTTCTAACCAAAATTTACTTGCTCCCTTTCAGTTATTTTTGGGGATTAATGACAGATAGATTTGGAAGAAGGCCTGTGATGATGATCTGCCTTACAATGACCCTGGTTGGCATGGTTTGCTTTGGTCTGTCTGTCTCTCTCTACATGGCCATCATTACCAGACTATTTGTTGGACTATCTGCTGGTAAGTGTGGTTATTGCACATTATTCATACTTTACGGTGATGATCATTTTAGCGGCATTACTAATTGATATTAAGGTTTTGTAACTAAGGAAAAGTGACAGGAAACTGAAGTGAAAAGCCTAGGATTTTGAAGATTATATTAAAGGGCTGAGGGTTTGGTGGAAAAAATTTTTGACTTGGATAGTAGGCTTGTTAGTTGAAGAACGTTGAATGTTAATACATTTTTCTTTAAACTTAGATGATCTTTTTGTGATTCACTTCAGGAATTGTAGGGACATGCAAGACAATTGCTTCAGAAGTCAGTGATAATACAAATCAGGTGAGTTAACTTTATTATGATTGCATGTGTGCTTGTTTTGTGAGGTGACAATCACAAGCAATGCAGGTGAAGTTATTTGTTATTTTATATAGTTTTAAGATCTTACTAGCTAATGTTATGTGCACTGAAGTGGTGCTTGAGAACTTAAATTCTTATTAATCCTGGACTACAGATGGTCAAATGAACAAATTTTGAAGTGAAGGAGCCCAAAGGTGGTACTGATTGTCATTTTTGAACAATATTCAGGTCAGAGGGGTATCCCTGTTGGGAGGTACCTGGGGTAGTGGCATCCTGGTCTTGAAAATTTTGGACATTTAGATAGCTCTGTTGTATGTCATTTGGAGCATTGTGGGACAATTAAACTTGATGAACAAGTCCCTGGCTTCCTAACTTTCTGTACTCCTATGGCATTGCAAGAATATTTGTGAAATAGTGAACAAATTGGAGACCAAAATTGGCCTTTGAAATCATTTAACAGAACATTTTAGCATACAGGACAGAAAGACTACATACAGAAAGTGCAATTTATTACCCTTTGGTGCGGATTGATTTTGGCACCCCTATTTTCTAGGTTGCTGTGTTCTTAAATACAGTTTCAACCCACACAGTATTTAGTGTTGAATTTTCACTCATTGTGTCTGATTTGTTTCATTAGGCAATGGCAATGTCAATTATACTGACATCTTGGAATGTGGGACTCATCATTGGTCCAGCTATAGGGGGTAAGAAAATGCTCCATGTACTCATGGACACCAAAACTAAATGATCAGCCAAAACAAAGAATGTCTTAGAATGCAAAACAGCACAATGCTGACAGGAATTAGAATAATTTCCATTGTTGGTTGGTATTCTGAAAGTTAATTATCTATACAGCTGTAACTGAAGAGATGTATTGAATAAAGTACCTTGCATGCTTAACTGAGCTTCTTCTTTATGTGTTTCACAAGGGAGTGTAAGACTATTTGGAAGGAGAGTCTTGGAGTCTTTCAGAAATCTATTTGGGCTTTTTTCCATGCACCTTTTCAGTTATTGATTTGTAAAAATGACTTGTTATTTATTTTAAATGTTATTTACTATTTCAAATGTTGAATAAATTTTAAATGATTAACAAATGTCATTTCTAATTGCAGGTTATCTTGCAGAGGCATCACAAAAATATCCCAGTGTTTTTACAAAAGGTTTGTTAGAGTGTAGTGTATAAGATTCCACTGAAAGAGGAACATTATAAGCCCAGCTAGGGAATAAAATTTTTCTTTCATGGTTTATATGTTTTAATTGTTTTTGTTTTGTGATATTAGTTCTTATCAGAATGTCTTTTATATGGTAGAGTGTTGTCACTTTGCAAGAACAGCTTTTAACAAATAACTAAAGTCACACCTTTATTAGGCAGCATCATATTAAGTGGTCACTATGAGTGGTCAGTCATCAAAGTCCTGACTTTGATTCCCTAAATCACTCAGTATTAACCTTTTAACTCTTAAGATCTCATTAGTAATTCTCCTTACTATCTGCCATACAGTTCTTTTGGTGTTTGTTTGAAGAATTTGGTACTGGATAAACTTATAATCCCTTAATTGATATTTTTCTTTATTCTCAACATTTGTTTGCTTGTCATATTGCATTGATATTATAAGGAGAAATTCTGTCTTGGTCACTCATGGGAGTTAAAGGGTTAATAATTTTGACCTCTGTTAAGCCTTTAGGTCACCTTAATGTGAGTCCCAAGGGCCTGTTTGTAGTGTTTTCCACCTGTATTGAGCAGTCACTGAAAGTGGAAATGCTCAAAGAAAATCAAGAATAACAATAAATCATAAGAACATTTCATGGCCTCAGCTTATGCATTTCTGTTCAAACATATTTCTTTTTTCAGATTCACTATTCGATAAATTCCCATTTTTCCTACCCTGCCTGTTAAATTGCGCAGCACTCTTACTTACAGTTGTGTTAGCCTACTTCTACCTACCAGAGACTCTTGTTACAAGGTTGGTAATCTTGCAATTTTTAGCTGGTTAAATACAATATAGGCTCTGAACAACCAGCTGTTGTACAGGAAATGAGCTTACGATCAGGCTTTTATTCAGCACCCTTAAGTCAGAGAGCACATTTAGTTGTTTAACTCTCTCACTTCCAAGATCTCATTAGTAATTCTAATAATTGTCTTATATACAATTATTATGATGTTAGTTTGTAGAATTTGGTACTGGATCAGCTAATAATTCCCTTGTTGACTTTTTTCTCTATTCTCATCACTTGTCTGTGTAACTATATAGTGACCATTACATTGATATTGTATGGAGAGACTGTGTGGGTTGCTCATGGAAGTGAAAGGGTTATTGTCTACTTCCTCTCATTACTTTTTCTCTTGTCCTCATTCATTATTGATTTTATTAATTCTGTTGGTTTGTTGAAAGTCATGAATTAAATTTTGTACCATTATTAGACCATCATAGATTTTTCAATTTTTTTTTGCTACTCAGTGATGATGAGACATCATCAAGCGGTTCAGAAACTGGTGAATTGGCCATGCAAAGCACAGCTTCCAACAGTTTAATTGATGAAGATGATGAAAATAGCTGCACAAAAAAAAATAGTCTGGAAGAAACAGAGGAAGTAGAAATATTCATCAATGATGTGAACAAAGAGGATATTGACAATAATGGAAACTGTTGTGGTTTTAAGAGTTGCTGTTGTCCAAGATATAGATGTTGTAAATTCTTCAGAGACAGTAAAATTGCTGTTTTATTGAGGTATTACCAATTTCCAGAGAACTCATGTTGTTTCAGGATATTTTCAGAATACTTTTTACTGTTGTACAGTGTTGATTATGCAGTTATATAAGAAAGGAATGAATTAATGCACATTTTACATTTTTTTGTAGTTCATGGAATGTGCAGTTTACATATTGGGTTTAAACAATGCTTTATACAATCCCTCAAGTGTTGTTTGAATTTGATTTCCTTGTTCTCTGTTTTCAGGGATCGTGTTGTAACCCTTGCCATTTGTGTGTATTGTACACTTTCATTCGTTGTCATTGGTTATGATGAGTTGTTTTCTTTGTGGGCTGCCACAGGACCTGAACATGGTAAGGTGTTTGTTCTTAAATATAAGTTTGCATGAATCACATTTTGAAATTTTGACCATACTGTAAAATCCCTCTTTTATAAAATATGCAAGTATATTTAGCCCTTATTTATAAATTAAGGCTTGAATCCTACTGATGACAAAATACATTTGGCTTTCAAAGATTGTTTTTTCTAAATGTGAAAAATGAAGTATATTCGAGTGATGTACATGTAGAGCGTGATCTACTTTTATGATGGTAAAGGGATGCATCAGTAGCCCCATTCAACCATCCATTTTGGCCAGAGTTACCTTATAATCATACTGAATTGAAGTTCCTTTTTAAATTGGTGGTGAGTGCATTTGGAAATCATACCCCACCCCTCACCCTTCCCAAAAAGATTGATTTCGAAAAAAAAAGAAAAAAAAGGCATAAAGCTGCTGATGGTCAGCTTATTTGCATCCAAACAGGCCCTTCACACAGCAATTAGTCAATCCTGCACTAACCTTAGTGTTATGTGTTATTTACACAGGTGGACTTGGCTTTTCTACAGACCAGATAGGCACTGCATTACTGTGTGTAGCAGGACCTATGTTAGTTCTTCAGTTATGGTTATATCCAAAGGTAAATGTTCAGGCCTTGGTCACTTGAAGGATGGATAATGCTATCCACTGAGTAAATCTCTATCCAGTGGATAGTTCCTCAGGAAGTGTTGTTAACTCTTATGTGCTGAATAGCATATCCATCTTTTGAAAAACTAGGCAAAAATGTTTGTTTATTACTGTGATTGGCTATACACATGGTTTTGAAACACATGAATTATTACATATGTGTATTGATTTGCCCTTTTTCTTGACTTCTTCCTTTTAGCTTGAAAGGCGTCTTGGATCAATCAGGGTAATGCAAGTTGTTTTAATGTCATGTTTGCATTTGTTTGATTATTTACCAAACATCATACCTGTTTTCACAAATAGATGAGAATGTGTGGAATTTCCTGATTAATTGTTGGATTTGCTCACAGGTTTTTCAATTGGCAAATATTGTCTTGGGAATCACAATTACTTCTTTGTCAGCCTTGAACACCCTACATGACAGGTTAGTTCCAAAGTAATGACCATGTTGATGTAGAGTACAATAGAAAACAGTAATAGTTGATGAAAGTTGCTAATGGCAAAAAGAAAGTAATGTAGCCAAGGGGCTTTTATAAATCTGTTTCTTAGTTCGTCTTAGGAGACCAAGGGGGTTGTATTTAAAACACAATATGGAGAAAAGTGAAGAGGAAGAATGCTGAAGAAAAATTAGTAGATAAAAAGTCTCTAAAGAGAAGAAGATCTTTCCTAAAGGCAAATTTTATGAAAAGTATGAACTAAAAAGGAGGGGTCAGGATTGAGATGGCTCAAACATCACAATCAACCTTCATTGACATCTACTAAATGATCTTCTCCAACCTCGTTACAGGTCAAAAGTTCTCTGGCCATTGATGATTGTTGTTCTCATTCCACTGAGGATGGGTATTGGTTGTGGCTTTAGCTCCACAGGAATCCTTGTCAACAATGCGGTACCTGCTTACCTCTTAGGCTCTGCAAATGGACTTGCGATGACAGCAAGTTCCATATCCAGGTAGGTGCATCTAAAATATCTTATTTCTACTGAAATGATTACCTCCCTAAGATATTCGAGGCACTTTGAGGGAGAAGGATTAGGCATTGGTTTAATACCTTTCCTCATATTGTGTGGCACTGATTGTTTTTTTAAGACCTTGAGTAACAACTGATTAGTTCCGCTCTTTGCTGTCCGTGTTTTTCTTTGGGTTCTCTTGTGTGATTAAAACTCACCTTTCTTCGACATGCATCTCTTAGCTAATTGTTTTACTTGTAACTCTCCCATATTAGCTTAGTCAACAAATTTTATTTGTATTTAGTTCATTTTAGGGTGGCTCAAAATGGTTTGTCTACAAAGGGGTTTCGTGCAAACTTTAATTTGTCGAAAAAGTAATGTAGCTCTGAACGTACATTTGCAGAAAGATGACTTTTGACACACTGGTTGTAATTCCATGATAACATGGAGATCACCACATTTTTTTAGTCATAGACCCATAATGTTAACATTATGGTTGTTTTTAATTGGCTACAGCGTGGCATGGTAATCTACAACATGTTGTTTTGAAAAACAATATATACGCTTTTCAAGGCAACTAAGTTGTAGTCAGGTTTATTGCGTTCTTTCTCTGTCAGAACCCTAGCTCCACTTGTTGCTGGAAGTGCGTTTGCCTGGTCGATAAGTAAGGGCTACAAACACGGATTCCCGCTTGATGAACACTTCGCTTTCATATTGCTTTCCATCGTGTGTTTCCTGGCTGTTCTGCTGAGCTGTACTCTTCCCAAGAGACTGAACATGAGACCGTCAGCGCCAGTGAAAGTATGAAGACAGAAGCCCGCATTCTCTTTCCCATCATTCAGTGTGCACACTGTAAAGAAAAGGGAGGGGCGGCAACACAATGACAGCACGCTTGGCGCAACGTCATATTTATGCCACTCAGGCATTCAAGACTACCAGAATGGAAGTAGCCTTATCTTTTGGAAGGATCTGCACGCTGTTTTTAGAGGAAATGACAGATGGATTAGAAGAAGAAAAATTGATTGACGTAAATTACAACTCAGGTTTGAAAACGCTGGGTTAAAGTTTAAAGATGCAAAAACTCTGGGCTCCTTTAAAACTAGAATAACCTTAATAGGACTTAATCAAAAACTCGTCAATTTTATGGTCTATTTTTTATTGTGGTACTTACATCTATTTGTTTGGTGTTGTTCTCGTTCTTGATGAGGGACGAATAGAAAAACGGTTATTTATATATGTATGCTTGAATGAAAAAATTTTATAAAGCTCGGGTGGTTTGGCGACAATGATATGCAAACAACACTTCAATTTGTTTAGCTAGCATGTATGTTATTAATTTATTACGGAAATTCACCCACTAGTTGTCTGAGGTATTTAATATATTGTTCAGAAATAACGATAACATCCATCGTCAATCTATTAAACGCCCTAGATCTTAATCTACAGCGTTATGGTACGTAAGTCTTTGATAAAGGGCAATGTTCAGTTGAGAGTCTAATCCAGGATTAAATAATATGGAAACTTTCATTATCATTTCAACTAATCACGTGATACACTTGTCGTAGTCGTGGTTAACACAAGCGTATTTCATGTTTTCATTGGCTCTTTTATTGCTTATTTATTTTTCTATTTTTTTTTTCAATCGAAAATCGTCCTATTTGGCCGACTTGATTTGAATCTAAGCATTCAAGACGTCAAATAATTTTATTAAAAATATTTCGTTTGCCATTAGCTTATTTGGTAGAAGTTGATGTACTTACACATTTACACTTGAAAAAATGAGCTAAATTTAATACAATTATACTTTTAATTTATTTATAATTTAGCAAAATATTTTGACTATTTTTTAGCATGCACATTAGTATGGAGCACTGAAATGCTTCTGCTTTTGTCGGTGTGTCTCGTGGTGGGATCTGATCTAAATTTATCAATAAGAGATAATTAGGAAAATTTTTTAAATTATCAAAGAGGTAATATATATTCAAATAATACTTGAAATTTCGCGCTATTTATTGAATTCACATTTCTTGCTGAATGAAATCAATCAATAAATAACAAGCCTTGCATCAATGTTTCAAGAGTATTAAATCTGACAATTTTGACAATATTCACCATTTACGATTAGATCAGTAATTTTTAATAATTGCTCTCCAAGGAAAAGAACAAAAACACCACATTAAACAAAAAAAACCATACATATATATATATATATCTATATATATATTTATATAGAGAGAAAATATCACGGTAACGTTCCTGGTTAAATATTATCAGAGGAATGAAATTAGTCAATGTGGGCGATGAGGGAGGAAATGAAGAGTTGGTTAAGCAAAGCGTTCCAGAAAAAAATGCGTTACCGTTCCTAAATAGTCTCTTATAACTCCAAATCAATGTCGGTTAAGGCTACCATTGGCTGCTGTCGTCTGAATGTGGAGGAGAAATCAGAGATTGCATTGGTTCTGCCTTACTTTGCCCCGTCTCCTTCACAGCCGGTCTTTGGGATGCGAAGGCGGCTACCATGCTCAATAATTGATTTGGGAAACTGGCGCGATATTCCTAGCAAATCACATACAAAACCTGAATTGATTGCAGCTTTGTACACGCACTCGCGTCGTACAGTGCTTCAGCGTGTGTGCTTGTTTTTTCTTTTGGCACTTTAAAGGCTACTTTTCATATTCTCCATCGTCCTAATTGGCCTGGGTGATTTCTTGTTGGACTTGGTTTTACCTCACTCATTAGACATGCGCTTTGATAAGCAAGTATTTTCCAACTTCGACAACAGACACACCCATCGTCCTGTCCCCCTCAATTTAATTGTAAAATCACCATGACCAAACCAGGATAATTCACTACTGCGGGTTCGATTACAAAAACCTTGAAGCTTGTTCCCGATTTGGACTCGTTTGGGCGCACGAAAATGTGTAGAACTGATGTCCTATAAGAAAATAAAGATGTCCTTTGCCTTTTTTCCTCCAACTCCTGAGACAAAAAGAGGAATCAAAGATGCATTGATGATCTAAATTGCAAACTTTTCTCGGCAATATTCATGATTTTTCCTCGCCTGCACATGCTGCAGAAGGCGTTACTCCGTCGAAGAGGTTTTGCTGCCGATTGACATCTTTTAGAATGATTCATAGGTTCGGTTTCACAGAAAGCTACAGGCCAGGACACTCTCATCTACAAATTGATCTCCGAGAAAACCTACTTGTGGCAACCTTAGCAAGAGACTGCTAATTCAGCCAGGACATGGCAAAACATCTTGACAAGGTGGAAAACAAAATGGCCGACTTATCATTTCTTACTTTCGAAGGTAATTATCAGGTGTAATTGCTATAGGACGAACTTCATCATAAGGAGTTTTATCTTGTTCCTCTCGGGGAATTTTTCCAGAATTGTTCCCAACTCTCATTTCAAGCTAAGAACGACGTTTAAGTTGGGAATGTGCCATAGGTATCACTGATTTTGCTACATTTTGTAGTATGCTCTCAAAGCAGCAATATTTCAGTTATTGCCCGCTTTTTTTCTTTTTCAAAGTAACTCCAGATCGCTCGAAAATTGCACAAAAATCGCACTTTATTGGCGTTCATACTTTTTCGTAGATTTACTGTACTCGTTTACTGTAGAAGTTTGTAACTGGGTTTCATACCAAGGAAGGTCAGGGAAACGGATGATAAAGGAGGCGAGGTGGGGGTTTAGTACTTAGGGGAAATATTTGTCTCTTTATTTCTTTTCAGTACCGCTGCCCACGACCGCCATGACAAAAGTTTTTTCATTTATGTCAAAGCTGTTTGTATTCGAGACAAAGTTATCCCAGTTTCTGTGAGGCTGTCCGAGTTTAATTGTGTTTTTCCGACTATTTCAGTCTAACTCTACCGTCTCTCTTTCATCAGAATTCTCATCCTAAAACATGCAAAATAGAAATTCAATAACTCTTCAGAAATTGGTGAGTGGAGACTGCTTTGTTTTTAGTACATCTTAATGGTTGTTGGGTTACTCATTAGACGATAAGCACCCACCTTACGATTAGGGGACACCCAGGGCTGTAGGTGATCACCCTGTCTATCAGAAAAGAAAAAAAAATGATTCGTTGTTAAAAACAATGCAGTATAACCTAAAAAATGTTAAAGTAGCGGCTACCCTGTTAAAATCAGCCAGTATGTGTTTAAGAAGTGGAAGGTAAAATATATTTACTTGGGAAGAAAAGTATATCAAGAAAAAGAGTAACAAATAGTTCAAAAGTGTAAAATAACTGAACATCGAAATATGAATCAGATGCTGAAAATATATCGTTTGTAGTACAATATTAGTAAAATAGTATTTCATGTAAAAAGATTTTTTATATGTGTAAATTTTCTATTCATTTATGTTGTCAGAAAAAGAAGAGAAAAGTTTTATTTCTCTTTTAGTAAAAAGGAAAAATGAAATAAATCAAACCAGCATAAGCATAGTACATTATTATCGTTTATTACGCCCACTTTGAAACACTGATGGTCCCTGTAAACTGATTGGCTTTAACTGGTTCGATTTATTCACGAATCACACCATATTTTGCTTTAAATCGCATCATTTTCCCAGCCAATGAGGAGGCTACACTAAAAACAAAACAACCGATCAGATTTCAAGGCTTGTTTAAAGTAACCAATCAAATTGCTGGAAAATGAAAGATAAAGAGTATCATGTGGAAAATTTTGCAACTTTTGATTCCAAAACTCTTACTTTTTATCCCCCAAAAATGGATGAATTTAATTTCAAACCGTCTCAGTACTACATCAATAAAATATTTGAACTGACCGAGTCCTGTATTTGGGCGATTTCAAAATGGATGTAATAAAGTGGTAATTGAACCGCGTGTCGTGCAATTTTGGTCTCAAATCATACTTGTGATTTCAAATCGAACTCGCGCTGCGCACCTGTTCGATTTTGAAATCAGGCGTATGATTTCAGCCCAAATTGCACTCCACTCAGTTCAATTACTATTATAAATATCACTATGAATCACTTAGCATTTTTGTACTTTTGTATTTCAAATTTGTATTATTCCAATTTAGTATTGTTCTGCGATGATATTCAGAAATTCTTTATTATAATCGAATTTAAGCCAAAAAAAAAAAGAACCCTGACCTAAAAACTGTTTCTCATTTAAAGAAAGGAGATGGGAAATGGAAATTAAAAGTCCATCAACCGTTTGAGGTGAAGTATTAATGAAAGCGAGCTTTAAAAAGAGAGAGAAGCGGGTGCAAATAGCTACCCGGTCCTGGCAAAGGGCAGGGTCGGACATATCCCTGTACAGTCTCAAAGAAAGTGACTGTGTGCTACCCAAATAAAATGTGATAAGTAGGAAGGAGATAGTGATT